CTTGTTAACACCAAATCCAAGTAGGAACATGTGACGATGTAAGAGACACTTCAGTCAGAAGATCAGGGAGCTTTAGACGAGGAGCCATGTGGTCAAGAGACAGAACACATGGAATATTTGTAGGCGTAGCACGCAGTATCTTGGTACATCTGTTGCATTTCTTAATATAAATGGACTGGCAATGAGGTCAAACTGTCTTGAAACTTTTCTCATAAAAAATTATGATAAATAACTTTTTTGAACTTTTAACCATGTTCTAAAAGTTCTCTCCTCAAAAACTCAATTTTGCGTTATTCATGGTCTTCTTGCTTTGAGCCTCAGAAATTATATTTTTTTCCCAAGATTCTGGAAAATGTAATTAAATTCTAAATATAATTATGATTAGATTTGTGATTCATGTTTAAAAAGTAGGATTCTGTTCAGAGCACATTGTTAATAACATGTGAGAGACGACATGTTTATAGTGGGTCTAAACTACAGGTTCATCCAGCCATCCGTTTTCTTCCGCCTTATCCGGGGCCGGGTCGCGGATGCAGCCGTCTGAGCAGGGAGGCCCAGACTTCCGTTTCCACACACACTTCCTCCAGCTGCTCCGGGGAGATCCTGAGGCGTTCCCAGGCCAGTTCAGAGACAGAGTCCCTCCAGTGTGTCCTGGGACCTCACCGGGGCCTCCTCCTCGCTGTGGGACATGAACGTCTCTCCAGGGAGGCGTCCAGGAGGCATCAGCAACAGAAACCCTAATCCCAGCTGCCGTGGAGGAGCAGCGGCTCTACTCTGAGCTTCTCACATGCAACTAAGCTCCTCATCTAGTCTCTGAAGGAGTTCCCAGCCACTCTCTGGAGGAAACTCACTTCGATCGCTTATATCCACGATCTTGTCGTTTCGGGCTTTACCCAAAGCTCATGACCATCGGTAAGGAACACGCACACCAAGGTTTTTCAGGGGACATTCTAATCTCTCTAACACCCAGAATTCTTGAACAGACTTTCTGACCACAATTGACCATAACTTTTGTTTTCTAAATACAGGCATTATTTTAAGTTATAAAACGTAAAGACCAACGCAAAGGTACTCAAGAACAGGTCTGAAAAGCCAAAAAAGTTTAAACAGGTTCCATATTGGTCCATGGGCATACACACGAGTCTATGTGCTCTTGTACTTGTTCTGATACAGCTCCACATCGTTCTACAGACGCTGAGGAAAGGTTCTGCTCTGTCCTGTCAATGGGACTTGTCGTAGTATCAATACCTGCCCAAATGATTGATTGATTGCTTCGATTTTATTTTGATTTGTGCCAACAGAGAAACAATAATCTTAAAAATACCCCATGTACATTGTAAACAACAGAAGAGGATTGGGAAGAAGAAAAGAGTCATATTAAATCAACCCCTGATCATGAGATAGTTTCAAAAAGGATGTGGTTTCTTATGTACAAGGATCACGTAACTTTACAAATATTTACTTATAGCAAAATAAATTTCATACTACACAGCAAAAACTGGAGGGTTAAAATTTTAGGGTAAAATATTTCAGAGTTGTTTTTAACACCAAAAGTGTTATTTTAATTCTTTGAAAGTTAAATGGTGGTTTGAGTTGGGGTTATTTGCCAGAGTGGATGTGGTTGAGGTTAATTCAACTTCCTTTAGTGTGAATTTGGCTCCTCCCATTCACCACTTCAAACTCCTGTGAGAGAAGACCAGTTTGAACCAGTTTTGTACATAATTTAATCTTAAATTAACTCAAATAAAGTCAAAATAAAATAAAACACCTCTGTGTGTTTAGTGAAATCAGGATAACTCTACAAAGTGTTATCTGTTTACTCTCAAAATGTTAATATAACTGTGGATTTCGGGGTTAAACAGTGTCCAGTGTTACTTAATTAACATTTCCAAAAATTTTAAATTAACTCTAGACTCATATAAACTCTGAGAAAATGTTTTTGCTGTGTACAAACTATTAATAATGATAAAGAAGGCACAGTTGTTTATAATCGTATCTGGACTTTATAAAAAATACACTGAATTTAAATGGAAGAAGTCTGAAGCTGCAGTGTTTTAGATGCAGGTTATTTCTACAGTAAAAGTTTCACATGTGCATTTCTTTGTGTATATTTTGCTTTGTAGAACAGCCCTTACTCGCCGAGTGTTGAGAATGCATTTCACTCTACTCAGCCTGCACTAATGACCCACTTCAAAAAGCAAAAGCACTTCCTGATCACGTGACGTTCTGAAACAAATGCAAAGTCAGTCAAACCACAAGAGCAATTTGCCTCTGTCGTGGTGAGATAACAAAAACAACAGCAGGTTACATGAGGACACTACTCAGAGAACGGAGATATTATGAGCAGCATTTTTAGAAAGAGCGAGAAAAAAAATACAGAATGATAAAAGTTAAATGTTATAATCAAATCACTTCACGTTGCTGTAATTAGTTTTACAAGCAAAAACCACTTCACAAGCCATTCTGTCACATAAGTGTAAGTACAGCTGCTTTTTGCTCATTTATTAAACGATTTTTATTGAAATAGGTAAAGCTGCATTGTGAAACTTTTCTCCAATGTTCCACAGTGTGACATTAAGCAGCTCTACTTTACATTTACACAATTACAGGTGGTTTTAGAGCTCAAAAGTACCAAGAAAAAGAGGCGTTCTGAAAAAGCTATAGGGTTTTGTTTTTCTTTTGACATCATTTAGAAATCTATTTATTACAAATGTCTTTTTAAATGTTTTGGTTGGATTCAGGCTGTGTTTATACAGCACACACCACTAGTTCTGAAACAATAACACATTTTAAAGTTTGATATACAGATACTGCTGAAGGAAATAGAAGATAAATAATAACACTGAAACTAATTTACAACCCTAAAGCAGAATTATCACCCCAAAAAACTATTCTATAAGTACAGTATCGTTAAAAAAAACATGAGCTACACGATAAATATTGACCCCCTCAAAAATATTGATCCATCTACAAGGGCTGTGTCCGACTGTCCACACTATTCCCTTATTAGAGCAGTATTTAGTGGTCATTTTTAGGAGTGTCCAAATATCCGTTTGGTTAAAGGCAATGACCTCAAAATTTGCAACTTGTGCAAAGTAGTGAACATCAGTGGTCACTAGAGTGGTTAATATAGACCACAATGCACTGGGAGAGTCGGGAAAACAACAGCGTTCAGCGACAGGTGTTTAAAGGGTCCATCTCATGTAAAATAACTCTTTTCACATTGTATCTTCTGCACATGAACAAGCACAATTTGGGTTTTGGAACATCCATTACACAATAGTTATGAAATCTTACTGATTACTCGACAGTCACAGACCAGGAATTATGAAAGACTATTGCTCATCCTCCCGCCCGTCCTGAGAAAGCACAGGCTCCGCCCTCCAAACGTGACGTAGGCGACGAGTGAGCCGCCCTTCCTCCGCCATCTCAGGGAGGGAGGGGGAGACAGACGTGCGCCCTGATAATGGCAGGAATAAACTTTTATTCATCATGGAGATACAGCGCGTTCAGCCGCATGTGTTGGACCCGGAATCAGACGAGGAATTTGAGGTGCACGAAGCTCAAGCACCGCGTCCACATCAGCTGAACATTACTGATTGGTAAAGTTTTAATAAACACTAGTAGATAAACTTATTATATCGTGTTCACTGCAGTGAAGAACAATGAGCTTATGCTGTCGCTTTTGTTTAGGTGTTCATGTGAGACGGAGACGAAGCTCTTTCTGCTACGTCAAACGCGTCATAGGTGTATCTGCCGCGTCATCGTTATAGTAGCTTTAGTTCGTCGTCACGTGGGAGGGTGGCAGAAATACGCTGCAAATTGTTTAAAAAAACGCCGAATCAATCTAAAAACCACTTCGGCGACATATACAAGGCCCACACATCACTCTTAGAAGGTAGAAAGCTCTGAAAAGTTGATTTTGCATGAGCTGGGCCCTTTAACTGGACACAACACGACAGAATGAAGCAGATAAAAGCTCTGGTTTATGGCTCTGATCCTAAGTTATCTGAAGAACTGTTCATATGTGACGTTTACAGTCTGTTCTCTCTTCTATTGTTTTTACTCGAACTTGACTTTCAACAGGAAATGTCTGTTCCTGGTCTCTGATTTTATAAAAAATAAATTTCCCCCAAAAAGTCCGACTTATATGTTTTTTCTTCTTCATTACGCATTTTTTGGCTGGTGCGATTAATACTCCGGAGCAAATGAAAAATACGGTAAGTTTTGACAGAAACTTGTGTGATTAATATTAGTCCATAAATATTTGCGTCAGTCTGATCTGATCATTATTTATGACAAAAATCAAGTTTTATCAGTTTAGTGGACGCCAGAGTCACATGATCCGACAGTAGTGAGTTGCGTGTCCTGTAGAGGGCGCTAAAGAGTGCAAGACTTGTAGTGAATAAGGAGTTAGAGACTAGAGTGGACGTTCGGACATAGCCCCATGTACTGAACCATAAGTCGATGTACTGTAGTATTTATCCTGCCTTTACACCACCTTAAAACTGTGACTAAACCAGAACTAAACCAGGACTAAAACTGGACCACACCAAGTCTATAAAACTAGAAAACTAAACCAGGACCAAACCAGGACAAATTTGTGTGAACGCAGCTTAAAAAGAAAGGGTTAAAAATATTATTACTTTTTCAAAAATCAACCCCAAGAGACAAAATCATTTAGTACATTATGTCAAAGGCTAAAACCATGCTACTCCAGAGGTCAAAAGTTACCAAAAATACCAATTATTTTAGTTTATTATTCTTGTTTAATAATTACATAAACAAGATATTCAAAATTAGAACAAAATATTAAAAAGCCACGGAGCCACTGTAGTCTGGAAAGGGACAGACATGCACGGTTAGAGATGTAAAAATGGAAAATGTTATGGGAAAAGCAGGAGGAGATGGAGACTGCAGATTGGAGATGGTCACTGGGTCAGAAGCAGAAGGAAGGAGAAGGAAATAAAAATAAATATATATTAAATTTAAAAACATACCCGAGCCTTCTCACTCAAAACTCTGTACGTTCGGGGTGAAGCGTTTTCTATGTCCGGCTAAAAACAACAGGACAAGTGGAATAAGAAGTTTTTTGTTAGCAAATTCAAAACACAAAACACAGAAAACAGACATATAATTCATTAATAAACACATTCCTACTAAAGCAAAAGACATTTTTACATTTATTTTGCTAATGTTGCTGTTTAAAGAGACAATTTTACACCATTTTCTGATCTATGTTATTATTATTGTTGTTGTTTCCTCATCAAAAACAGACATGGAGTTGTGTTTTTTTTGTTTCATTCACACGTTTAACACACAAACCCTCCATATTTAGGCGGAGTTCTTCTCTCGAACAGAAAGAAAACACTCTGTTCAATACAGGAAGTGCTCCACTGTGTTTTTAAACTCCACACACCTTCACTAGAATCATTTGGATCATTTCAGCCATGGAATTGCTGAACTCTATTGAACTAAAGGTAACTTGAAAACTACCACTTCATGACTTCACAAGGTGGTAGGGGTGTAACGGTTCACAAAAATCACAGTTCGGTACGTACTTCGGTTTTGAGGTCATGGATCGGTTAATTTTCAATACAGTTTGGGAACAAAATTTGAAAACTATTTGCAAAGTGCTGCTTGGTAATACTAATAAGTTAAATAAAATATTCTGAAATAAGCAACAAATGTATGAAATATTATAAAAATGAATTCCTTGTAAACGGGGAGTTCGGTGAGGAAAAGGGCCGCGACGACCGTAGTTTTGTGAGTATTCGCGTGGTTCGGAGGGACGGGGGGCAATTGTTGTCAAAGCGGTTGCCCTAACTATAAAGCGCTGCGGGAAACACTGCCCCAATCACGGATGAATTCTCTCCTGAATATCCAAGAGCCGAGCCTTTCGTGTAGCTGCACATGTAGTGGCAGAATGTAAACACTGTCACATTTCAGACACAGAAAGTCGTGTGTCGCTTTATTAACTGAACTCACAACAACATCAAAACTGCTAAAAACGGTAAACAGAACAGCGGGCCTCAAACGTCAACGGGTCTTAAAGGGACGGCGACTATACTGTATATAAAGCACAAACCTGAAAACTGAACACTGAACATAGGTAAACATGTAACTAATGTGTCTCTAGTTAGCGGTTAATTATGTATGTAAACATGTATGATAAAGGCACTACAACAGACACAAATTGCACAAACTCACTCGTGCACAGTCCTGCACCGAACTGAATGTCCAGTACCGTAACAGCTCAGCACGAATTCCTGAACCGCTACACTCCTACAAGACGGAGAAGAGCATTTTGAGCTTTGGGGGCAGAGGTCTGCGAAGGACAGAATTTTCAGTCCCACTCCCGCCCGCATCTATGATATTTTGTCCAGCTTCTGCCAGCAATTCCTGCACGATGGGGACGTTCGTGTTCTTAAACTCTAGCAAACACCGAGAAGCGGAAAGGAATTGTCTAAATTGTGCGCAAAATTAAACCACATATGTAAGTTTAGGCTGCTGAAAATGTTTTTAATAATGCCAAATAAAATATCCAGCACAAACGATGTAAGAGAGGAAAACATGAATCATTTGTATATTTTACTTTACACTCATTTTTAGTTTGCAGGACTGCAGTTTAAAATCCCGCCTGCCCGCTCCCGCAATGAGCTTTCAAAATGCGTCCCTCACGTTTGGAGATGTAGACAGACTAATAATAAAGAGTTACTGAAACATGTGTGAATGAAACAAAACACAACTCCAGGTCTGTTTATGAGGCGATAACAACATTATAACATGACTTAGAGCTCACCGGAGTCTTTTGCGTTATATAGGGCTTTTAAAAACTACACTCTTGCAAATATATTAAATAAGGATACCCCTCTCTTCTCCACCTCCCTTTCTCTCCCTTTTTTCTCCTTCCTCACCATCTGTCTGTCTCTTTTCCTCACCCCTTGCTGCTGCTGCTGCTGCTCTCTGCCTTTAAAAACAACAGCTCTGGACTCACACTGGAACTCTTTCATTCATTCATCTGGCGGAGAAACAGAGCGGCCATTTTGAGCTGCATTTGTGTTTAAATCGGCCATTGTCTCCGGCCTCTGTGAGCGGTGGAATAAACAGATCTGCTCTGGACCCTTACGGTGACCTCAGTCCTTCCTGGTTTGGATTTAAAGGGCCGATATGACGCTATTTTCTGATCTAGAGTTGTGTTCTTTCTCTTTATCTACCTCCCTCTTTTTCCTTTTGTGTTGTTTTGGAGGAGATAACAACATTCCATCACGTCTGAAAGCTCCAGAGTCCATTTTGAGTCATACTGGACCTTTAAAATGAAGGTTAACCAAGTTCCCCCTTTTGCTTTGTGTGGACTTCCTTTAATTGTGTTGTACGGTTCGCAACAAAAACAACAGCTACTTCCCCAAATCTATTAGCTATACTACTCATTTACAGAATTTTAGCTTATCTACATTAACAGGTTTAAAGGTGCACTGTGCAACTTTCCTGGTGGAGGGTCAGATCTGTGGAGAGGCGACTAACCCTAACCCGCTTACAGTCAGAATGTCTGTTTTTATAGGTATTTCTGAGCTATAAAACCACCTGTAACTGAATAAATGTAAAGTAGAGCTGTTTAATGTCACACTGTGGAACATTCCAGGCAGAGCAATGACGTATCCGTAGCAACGAGCAGGTGGAATGTCCCGGTACGGCATTAAACCGTCCATCCATGTTGCATTTACTCGATAACGTTTGTCTTTACTGAGCTAAAAACGAGCATTTTTACTGTGAGTGGGCTCGCCTCTCCACAGATCTGACATGTAACTTGGCTCTGTGGTGTTATCTACTTTCTCCATAGAGATAAAAAGCGTAAAGCCATATTGTGGAACATTCCAAGCAACATCTCCATGGAGAGAAGCAGGCGACAGACTCCACACCAGAAAAGTTCATTTGATGATGATTTCAAGGATTATAGGAAAAAAAAAACATTACTTACGGACATTTTCTAATATTTAAACTCCATTTTTAAATCAATGTTACAGTTTAAATATTCATAAGTTTCAGCTTTTTGTTATAGGTGAGATTTTGGGGACTTTTCACAGTTTAAAGCTTAACCTACGTTCAGACTGCAGGGCTTAATGCTCAATTTTGGATTTTTTTGTGAAATCCGATTTTTTGGCGAGGTCGTTCACATTTCCAATTAAATGCGACTTGTGTGTGATCTCCAGTGTGAACATTAAACAGCCCAAAAGTGTCCCACATGTGCACTGGAGACACGACGACGTCACACGCAGAGAAGTCGCCTAAACCTGGACGCAGCATCGAGCACCTGGAGATTTTAAAGTTGCTGTTGTATCTGAGCCAGAACATGTACAGCTTATTTGTTTTAAGGAGATTGAGAAGGAGAAGGACGAGGTTTTTGGCCGTGGCGTTTTGTGGGGCAGCGGCAGCGACGTCCGAAGAAAGAAACGTGTGAGTGCAGAGTCGCAGCCAAGAGTGGAGGGATTGTTATGTGCTTCACTGCTTCACTGATACCGAGTTTATGTACAAAATTTTCATCTGACGAGAAGAACGTTTGTGTACATTTGTGAGCGCCTACTCGTACCACTCTCACGGGAGGAAACACGTCTTCGGCGGCCTATTTCAGTGAGAAAATGCGTCGGCGTTGGGCTGTATTGGCTCACGACAGGTGCTTGTTACCGTGTTGTTATGACGTGTAGGTGGGATGAAGGTGACCTGACCGTTTAGACTGAAGTCGCATGTCAAAAGATCGGATATGTATCAGTTTTAGGATCTGATCTTTTAATGACAGTCCGAATGACACAGATCCGATTTTTTGCATGCAACTTCAGTCTGAACGGTCAGGTCACATTCATCCCACCTACACGTCAGACTCAGAGTATCGTCAATGGAGGGAAAGCGAGGTTAGCGATTAATATTAATTTATTAATATTTGGGAGGATCAATGTTTTCAGGCCAAATTGGAGGAGTCTTAACAGAACCGGGCGGTTTTTGAAATGATTTCCAAAGAAATGTCCGAGCGCGGCTACAGACGGCCCTGACTACAATGTCAATGAAAAATAAAGAGCCTGTGAGCCAAATACCAGAAGACTAAAGACTCAAACAAACAAAGCGGTCGTGGACGTGTAACATGTCCATTTTACCAAGAACTGGACCGAATTTTGGGAGACAAGCCCAGAGTTTAGGCGACTTCCTTAAACACTGAGCACATTCGCTTCATGTGACATCGTTGTGTCCTCCAGTACTCATGCGGGACACTTTTGGGGCGTTTAAAGGTCACACTGGAGATCACACACAAGTCACACTTAATTGGAAATGGGAACGACGTCGCAATATAATCAGATTTCACAAAAAAATCTAAATTGAGCGTTAAGCCCTGTAGTCTGAACGTAGCTGTAGACTTGGACAAACTTGAAAAAAAATGTCATACTTAGTTTTAAATTGTCAATCGCTATGGCAGCATTCCTCAAGGTCCTTTGTCCTAAAACTCAAGGAGAGGCTTTCTCTGCTGCCAGGACTCAGGACAAAGTGTTCCTTGTTACAGAAATCTGAGCTCTCCTGATTCGGTTAAGTCCTTGATCTCCTTTTGGGCAAAACAACAGCCACTTTTTGTAACTACAGTAGCACTGAGGGTGTCTTGCCAAAGGACACAACAACAACAACCACAGTGCGTTTCAAGCTCTAGTTTCTCACTAGCTCAACACAATCTCACTTTTTTGTATTTGTATTTAAAGTTTCTCCATTAATTTAGTAATACTTTTGATTTGCATAGAACGTTTTTAGCCGCAAGGTGTTCATTTATGACTTGTTTTTTAGAATTCTTTTGTATTTATATTTTTTTCTGAGCCTTGCTCCTTGTTCCTGTAGCCGCTCACCTTGTACTGGAAGTTCTGTTTGGGCAGCGAGTTGGACAGGGAGCTGGACAGGGAGCCGGACAGCTGCCTGGCGTACACCTGGTTCTTCAGATATTCGCAGATTTCTCGCGCCGAGTCGTGAAACAGGGGCATGATCACGTGCTCGTCATCATCGTCGTCTTCGTCGGTGAAGGAGCAGGACCTCAGGGGGCTCCGCTGCGCCGGGGGCCTCTTCAGACTGCCCTCCTCCTCCATCGCAAACATCAGGTCGTCCTCCATCTTGGAACTGCCCGAGGAAAGAGAAAGAAGTGACGATTTACACTTGGGATTTTGTGCAGTGACATTATTTAAAAGCAGAGGTGGAAAAAGTACTGAAAAACTGTAATTAAGTAAACGTATCTTTACTTTGCTTAATTCCTACTCAAGTAAAAGTCTAAAAACCTACTTGAATAAAAGTAAAAAAGTACTTAATTCAAAATGTAGTTTACTTTCAGTTATTTGACGTAAAAAAGGATGAATCATAAATCTAATCCAGCGAATACCGGCTGAAACGTCCCCTTGGCTTGAAAGTCCCATTCTCTCAGCGGGAACGTCCCCCTCCTTCCTCCAGGTGCCCCTTTCTCTTGGGCAGCACACGGGCAACTGCTGTGCCCGGGAAAGGGGGACCTTGTTTATGTCATTTTACCGATCTTCCTAAAGTGACAAACATTTTTTCAGTATGTAATATCAATATAATTCTCAGTTGCTCATTTTTACATGTTTTTTTTTTGGTATGAACTAGGGATGAGCATTCGATGAAATTTTCTTAATCGATTGTCGGGAGAATTAACAATCAATTATCGATTAATCATTAACGTTTTTATATTAAAATGATCATCATTATTATTACTATCTGCACTACTAATCTAAATAAATAAAAAAAAAAATTAACTTTACGACATATAAACCATAACGACTCTAGAGCCACATCAGCCTGTTTGACATTATAATGTGTTTAATTCAGTTTTGCGCAACTCACAGAAACAAAACTTAAACTTAAACTTAAAACATAAACTAAGCGAAGATAAAACTCCAGCTCTTGTGTCGCTGATGTGGTCAATTTCTGTCGGATTAAAAGACATGACTCAGGTGAATACAGGTTAGTGTGACCAGATTTGTGTTTGTCAAAACCAGGACACCGTACGGGGGGAGGGAGGTGGGGACTCGTCATCGACATTGCGCGACTCTCACCTGACAAAACTTTTTCCCACCGGACACCGAAACATATGTGCTGCTTCGTACACTGTGCACATGGACTCACACTTGTCCCGACTGGAACGGAAAGCGTGGAATTTCTTGTACAAATCATCGTTAAATCCACATTTGTGCTTCGGTACGTTGCAGACTGACCCACTGTTTGTGTCTCGCTCCTTCTGATGCAGAGACACATGTACACACCTGTTTGGTCACGATACACACAGCAACCTACATTCAGGTTTGTCGATTAAAATTAACGTAATCGATGAAATTCTTCATGATCAATTATCGATTAATCGACTAATCATGCACATCCCTAGTAAGAACAAATGTGTTGAGATACATTCTAACTTGCATATGTACAATATATATAATGAAAAAAAAGTAAGTTTTTTAATGTATTTATATGTATATAGATTAACTAACTTAGTTTCATAAAGGTTGTAATTCAGGGAGACTTTCCAGCCAGGGGGACTTTCCAGCTGATTCCCAATCCAGCACAAGTTGTTTTGATCAACTTTTAGGTGATACAGAGCAAACTTTGTTCAGTGCAAACTCTGTACATTCTAAAGACAGCGGAGCTCACGAACACTTACTATTTTAACACTTGCACGTTATTCCCTATTTTGTGTTTGAACGCAAATATCTGTCCAAGGTTTGGCCAGCTTTCCTCGCTTTCCTCTCGAGAATTATTCAAGGCAGCTTCTTCTTGAATATCGTCCGTGTTGACCTCGATCTGTGGCTTGGCACCAACACAATCCAAATTGATCCAAGAAACTGACTTGCAGTTCTGTACAGTGACTGAACATACTATAATGAAAATGTCGCACAGTTCCTTTCATTTCCAGCTGATTTTTTTTTTTGCATTTCTTTTTTTTCTCTATCAGTCTGATTTTACTCAGTAACGAGGGTGGGTTCCAGTGTAATGAAGTAAAATACTTGGGTTAAAATGTGCTCGAGTAAAAGTAAAATCATCTATTTCAAAAACTACTTAAAAAATTACAAATTACTCATAAAAATTACAATTACAGTTACATGAGTAAACGTAATTCGTTACTTTCCAGCCTTGCTTAAAAGGTGCATTGTGTAACTTTTCTGGTGGAGGGTCCGACAAACATTTCCATCTTCATGAAGACCAAATCAGACCAAGTTACAGGTCAGATCTGTGGAGAGGCGACCCCACTCACAGTCAGAATGTCTGTTTTTCAACGTATTTTGGAGCTATAAAATCATCTGTAATTGAATAAATGTAAAGTAGAGCTGTTTAATGTCACACTGTGGAACATTCCAGGCAGAGCAATGACGGACCTCCAACCAAAAAGTGACACAGTGCACCTTTAAAGAAGCAGTATTTACCCTGTGATCTTACAGTTATAAAAGGTAATTCAATCCCAACTGAACCTGGGCTGCCAGAGCCTGAACTTGCAAACAGAAGACAAGTTTTTCTCATTCTCACGCCTTGGCCCCATCTTATTTCTATTTCCTTGCTTCCTTCTCCTTGATTCCTTTCCACGATCCTGATTTTTTATTTATTTTTTTTACAGCTGTCAATCAAATGTGTCATATTAAGTGTCGCCCCAAAGAAAAACAAGGAAGGAAAGAGTGAACCTGAGGGAGACTTCAGGAGCAGACACCAGAGAAAAAAATAAAATAAAAAATCAAACTTTACTGGTCTCAGTGAGGAGTTTATATCCTCTCTCCTCGCTGTGTCTCCTCTGTGGGCGGGACTTCCTCGCCCATTTCCTGCAGAATTAAGGAGAGGAATCAAGGAGGAGGAAATCACTCACTAAGCTGCAGGTGCCTGGGTTTAGGGAGTGACCATTCAGATCAGAGAAAGACATTTTCTGACACATTTTAATCATCAAAACAGTGAAAATGTCAAATGTGTCGCATAAATGAGTTTCCTTCCTTTGAACATGGGTCCGGTCAAGTGGTAACGGAGGGAAACGGGCAGATTTTTTACATTCAAATGTCTCTTATTCAGAAACTAGAGGAACTATTGAAATAAGTAAAGTATCAGAATGTAGGAAAGAGTTACACTCCAACAGGGTCAAGTTAAACCTGTGATATTCTTTCAAAAAATTTAAAAACTCATGTCGGTAACAGAGGGAATGAAATATGCAGCATTTTTTGGCCAATAAATCCAAACAGTGATAACTCTTGGTTCTCACTTACATATCCTTAACAAACTGGTTTGAATATTTGCTTCATATAGTTTTCTACCATATGGTACAAGATTAGGTTGAAAAACCTCTTACTTTTTGAGATTTTTTATGAAGAAAGGTCATGGTAACGGAGGGAAAATTGTACAAACAAGTACAAGGTGCATGATTTTGCATAATTTGTCAACTTTTTTCTTCCAAATACTTTAATATTACTTCAAAATGAAAGGAAACTATTTCTATAAAATATGTCAGTCCTTCCAAGCAAATTTTTATCATTTTAAATACTTTTTTTTTTTTTGAAAAATCATGTACCTTCATCAACAGTTCAAAGATGGAATAACACAAGATATGAGGAAATACATCCATTTATTTACATGATTTTCAGGTCTTTGAAATTTGGGAAATAATTTTTGTTCCATGTTTCATACATGGTCTGTTTAAAACGTATGTAACTTTAGAACCAAAAATGGTACAGAAAAAAGGTAAACAGTTTCATAAACTAGAGTACATATGTATCTGTTCAATACATTTTTATATCAGATGCATTAACTTGTATTTTTGGCCTTGCTGTTTACTTCTGCTTGACCAGGCCCACAAGCAACAAAACTGCAGCTGTAACAAAATAATTTAGTAAAATAAACCAAAAAATACAGTTGGTGATATATCGATACAGCAGCGTAGGATATGGATGTTTCATTGTGTTTTAATCCATGTTTGAATCAAAAGAATTTAATCCATGGTGTTTTAATGTCATTTTTCTATATATATATATTTATGCACAATGACAATGTTAAATTTTTTATGTATTCATAAGGTGGAGGCTTTAATATAAGCTCTATTGGGTTTTTTGCCTTTTCCAGCACCTACTTTTTATTTAGTGTGTTTCTTTTTATTGTTATGTTATATGTGCAAAATAAATAAATAGATAAAATAAATATCAATACTGTATCATCACATTAAACCATACGATATTTCAGTATTTTTGCACATCCCTAATTATAACATAGATCAGAAAACAGCGTAATATGGGCTCTTTAAGAAAAAAAAACAACATAATATATAAATGCCTTCCTGTCTAAAAATGCGTTTTGCTTACTTGCATTTTGGCACGTTTTCTAAGTACAATTAAAGCAACCTGACTCTCCAGATGGTCGATTAGCCAATACCAACTGAACTTTTCAACACAAAGACACACTTAAACACACAGACACACACAGAAACACACACACAGAGACAGTCTCAGATCTCTATCAGAGGTGACTCAGACCAGTGCGATGTTGTTTACATTTGTGAGAATCTGAAAGCCTCTTTTACAACCGTCAGCAGACTCAGACTCAGCTCGGTCACTGTGTCAGTACGACAGTCCCCTCGGCTTCTGTCGCCAACCAGCTAAAGCACGAACACGTACACGCACACACTTTCTGATTAGGCCCCGGGGAGAAACTGAAGACAACAGGCTGTAGGTGAGAGAACAGAAATAAAAGACGATAATAAAAACAGTCTGGTTTAATAAGTGAAACATTAAGGTCATAAAAATGCACAAAACCAGGTCGAAATCTGACCTACTAAGAGACAGTTTCATGGATGAATAGAGCTGGTTTAGTCCTGGCTTAGTCCTGGCTTAGTCCTGGCTTAGTCCTGGCTTAGTCCTGGCTTAGTCCTGGCTTAGTCCTGGCTTAGTCCTGGCTTGTGTTTGTTTTATGCATATACTTGGGTTTGGTCCAGTCTGAGTCCAGTTTTAGGTCCAGGTTTTCATCCAGCGTTTAGTGCCAGTTTAGTGCCAGTTTAGTGCCAGTTTAGTGCCAGTTTAGTGCCAGTTTAGGCCAGTTTAGTCCCAGTTTAGTCCCAGTTTAGTCCCAGTTTAGTCCCAGTTTAGTCCCAGTTTAGTCTTGCTTTTCAGAATTGAAATCGCTGGTTCAGTCCCTGGTTTTATGAATTAAGGGGATATGATAACACGTTCAGGCCCAGGTTTACCCCCGGTTTAGTCCCCGTTTAAGCCCCGGTTTAGTCCTGCTTTTCAGAATTGAAATTGCTGACTGAGTCCTGGTTCAGTCATTTTATAGACCTGGTTTAGTCCTAGTTTAGTCAGTCCTGGTTGATTCCTGGTTGAGTCCTGGTTGAGTCAATGATTCAGTGCTGGTTTCTTGAATTAAGAGGATATGTTCGGTCCATGTTTGGTCCATGTTTAGCCCCAGTTTTAAGCCCAAGTTTAGTCCCAATTTTAGTCCCAAGTTTAGTCCCAAGTTTAGTCCCAAGTTTAGTCCCAAATTTAGTCCCAAGTTTAGTTTAGCCCCAAGTTTAGCCCCAAGTTTAGCCCCAAGTTTAGTCCCAGTTCAAGCCCCAAGTTTAGCTCAGGTTTAGTCCAGGTTTAGCCCAGGTTTAGCCCAGGTTTAGCCCAGGTTTAGCCCAGGTTTAGCCCAGGTTTAGCCCAGGTTTAGCCCAGGTTTAGCCCAGGTTTAGCCCAGGTTTAGCCCCACTTCAAACCTTGTAGATTAAATATGTTTCCATGCATCTTTCTAAACCAAGAGGAGCCAAAATCTATTACAAAAAATAAGAAATGCAAAATAATAAAGTTTGTAGAGCTGCAGTTTAAGTTTGTATTTGTTTGTCGAGTTCATCTGGGAGCACGGATAAAAGCAGGAAATATAAAAGTGCATGTACTTTGTTTTTAAAATGTCGATGAGATAAAGAGTTTCCTTCCTCTTCTCCTTAAATTTGTCATTCTGTTTCTGTCCACCCAAATATTACGTAACAGGACTGAAGCCGTGTGAGGAAATATGATCCCACAAATCTGACTCCTGCAGATGTCATTAAGGGCAGACCTTTTTACTGTGTTCAGGCCTGCTTTAGTCCTGCTTTAGTCCTGCTTTAGTCCTGCTTTAGTCCTGCTTTAGTCCTGCTTTAGTCCTGCTTTAGTCCTGCTTTAGTCCTGCTTTGAGTCTTTATGCATATACTTGGGTTTAGTCCAGGTTTAGTCCGGGTTTAGTCCGGGTTTAGTCCGGGTTTAGTCCGGGTTTAGTCCGGGTTTAGATCCAAGCGCTGGTCCAAGTTTTCATCCAGATTTTAGTCCCAGTTTGATCCTGCTTTGAGCCCAGCTGAGTCTTTATGCATTTGTTTGGGTTTGAGACCCGGTTTGAGACCCGGTTTGAGACCCGGTTTGAGACCCGGTTTGAATCTTAGTCCCAGTTGAGTCTTTATGTATATACTTGGGATTGGTCCCATTTTAGTACCGTTTTCGTACCAGTTGAGTCTTTATCTTTACTTAAGATTGGGCCTGTTTTAGTCACGTTTTAGTCCTGGTTTAGTAGTGGTTTTAGTCCCATTTTGGTCCCAGTTCTGGTCCCAGTTCTGGTCCCAGTTGAGTCTTTATGCATATACTTGGGTTTAATCCCGGTTTTGATCCTGGTTTGAGCCCAGCTGAGTCAAGATCTATAGACTTTGGTTTGGTCCTGTTCTCGTCCAGCTTCTCGTCCCAGTTGAGTCAAGATCTATAGACTTGGGTTTGGTCCTGGTTCGAGTTCTGCTTCTAGACCCGCTTCCAGTCCCGCTTCTAGTCCCACTTGAATCAAGATGTACAGACTTGTGTTCGACTCCCTGGTTCGAGTCCCTGGTTCGAGTCCCTGGTTCGAGTCCCTGCTTCGAGTCCCTGCTTCGAGTCCCTGGTTCTAGTCCTGGTCTAGTCCCTGGTTCGAGTCCCTGGTTCGAGTCCCTGGCTTCTAGTCCCTGCTTCTAGTCCTGGTTTTAGTCCTGGTTTAGTCCTGGTTCGAGCCCTGGTTCGAGCCTGGTTCGAGCCCTGGTTCGAGTCCTGGTTTGAGCCCTGGTTCGAGCCCTGGTTCAAGCCCTGGTTTAGTCCTAATTTTGACGTTGTGTTTATGCAAAAATGAAGGAAGCCCTACAGTGGTACAGAAGAGATTAGGGCAGTGCAATTAATCAAATTTTAAGCAAATTCGACTTCCTTTTTCACATTCTGGAAACTAGTATTGAAAACCACTTATTTTTCAGTTGGACGAAATAAAAACGATAGAAGAGAGGGAAGAAAATTCGACAGAGGGATCGTAAAAACTAGAGAGGGGGGGTTTGCAAATTATAGGTTATCTGTGTCCAACTTTATAACCTACATATTATGCAACAAGACACTGCCAAGGAAACAGTCCTGGAGCAAAATGTTCCACACGGGGATTTAAAGGCCAAAGTTGTGCTGCTGTTTAAGATTTAGAGATTGAAAAATACTGTGTACTGTTGTCTAGGAAGAAAAAAAAAAACAACTCACAAAATAATGAAAAACTATTAAAAACTCCCCATGTTACAGCCTGAATGTTTCTAATGCAGATTATGTGACCAGTTGGTGTGATTAGAGATGCTCCAATATGGATATTTGAGTTGATACTGGCATCTGATATTTGTTTTACTGATATAGCTGATAATATTGGTATCGGCAAATAACGGTTAAGTCACATATTACACAAGATTGAATTTAAGACATGTTATAATGCTGTTATCTCATCAAAAACAGGCCAGGAGTTGTGTTTTGTTTCATTCACATGTTTGAGTAACTCTTTATTATTCGTCTGTCTACATCTCCAAAGCTCAAAATGCACTGATCCACCTTGTGATGTCATGAAGCGGTTGTTTTCAACTTAAGAGCTACCTGTTTACATTTTGTTCAGTAGAAATTGGATATTCCAGAGCTGTAATTATCCAAATCAGGAGTGTCAAACTCAAATTCACAGAGGGTCAAATTTTAAAATTGGGACTAAGTCGTGGGCCAAACTAAATATTAATTGAAAAATTTCACCAACATCTGCATGTTTTCTCTTCTTTTGAGATACGTAATGTTAAACCATTTCTTATTAAAATAAATGTTTAATAATAGTTTTGCTTAAACATTTAATCCAAAACAAGCAGAATATAAAATAACAACATTTTAAATAAATAATGTCTCTATAGTCTATCTGCTCTAATACAGATTTGATATTATCTCGCGGGCCAAGTATAATTATATCGTGGGCCACATTTGGCCCCCAGGCCTGAGTTTGACATGTCTGACCCAAATGATTCTAGTGTAGGTGCATGGAATTTAAAAACAAAAACAATGGAGCACTTCCTGTATTGTATTACCACTAGGAGTGTGCAAAAATATAGAAAAATCGATATATCGTATCGTTTAATGTGATGATACAGTATCAATATCGTGGGTTGCTGTATCGATATATCACCAAGAGTATTTTTCAGTTTATTTTACTATATTGTTTTGTTATAGCTACAGTTTTGTTGTTTGTTCAGTGGAAGGAAACTCATTTATGCGACACATTTGACATTTTCACTGTTTTGATGATTAAAATGTTTGTGTTTTATATGAACTTTACACAAGAAGTGGTTTAACACTTTTAGAATCACAGCCACGATTGAGCCTTTATTTTTTATTGAACTGAATCGATTTGAAAGTTCACTGTATCGTATCGTGGCCTACGTATCAAGGTTTGTATCGTATCGGCAACTTCTTAATGATACCCAGCCCTAGCCAAGAGTATTTTTTTTAATATTTTACAAAGTTGTTTTGTTACAGCGCTTCAGTTTTGTTTTGTTCAGAGGAAGGAAACTCGGTGTTTGATTAAAATGGGTGTTTTTCATGTGAACTTTGAAGAAAAAGTGGTTTAGCAAAGACTTTAAGTATCACAGCCATGAGTTAGGCTTTATTTTTTACCGAACCTTATCGAACTGATTTGAAATATATCGTATTGAATCTTACAGAATCAAAAGCTCACTGTATCGAGATATGTATCGTATCGCCGAACAGAGCCTAAATATGCGGTTTGGTATGTGTGCAGCCATGATTTTCGTCAGTCTATATAGTTATACAACGTTAGAATAAAAGGTACATTTTACGGGACCAGACACAGCTCGTAAAACACATGCTGTACACTGTGTCTCTGTCATTTAAAACCGCTGCGTTTAACGATGCATTTAACTATTTAAAATGCAAACTTCCTCAATACGCACACAAAAATAGAGCCTAACAGCATGTGGTTGCAGAATCATCTAGAGTAGAGAGCTTTTCAGGACAGAGTCTGGTACACGAGGCTCTCTGCAATAATGTGGTTTACTGAGACAAGATACAGAGGAAAATATATGTTTTGATAACCTAAAAACAATATCATAGAAAATTAAAAGGAACAACATGATAAAATGGGAAGTACTGGTTGATACATGAGTCTAAAAATAGTTCTGGTTTAGTCCTGGTTCATTCTCAGTTTTATTAATTCAAAGGATCTCATAAATTTGGGTTTACTGATACAAGTTATAGAAAAAATATAATAACAAAGTATGAATTTTGAGTTGAAGTTGTCCGTTTTGATAACTTAAAAACAATGTCATAGAAAAGTAAAAGGAACAACGTGTTAAAATGGATTGTATTGGTTGATATGTGAGCATAAATAGTCCTGGTTCAGTCCTGGTTTTAAGTGGAACAACAACCTGCCAAGATAGGAAGTATTGGTTGATATGAGTCTAAAAATAGTCCCAGTTTAGTCCCAGTTTAGTCCTGGTTTGGTTCGGTCCCAGTTTATTCCTGGTTCAGTCCCTGGTTTGGTTCAGTCCCTGGTTCAGTCCCTGGTTCAGTCCCTGGTTCAGTCCCAGGTTCAATGAATTAAAAGGATCTGGCCAATTTGGGTTTAGTCCAGGTTTAGTCCCAGTGTAGACCTGGTTCAGACCTGGTTAAGGCCCAGTTTAGTCCTGGTTTAGTCCCGGTTTGGTCCAGGTTCAGGCCTTGTTTTAAGCGGAGCAACAACATGCCAAGATAGGAAGTAGTGGTTGTTGTGAGTCTAAAAATAGTCCCAATTCAATCCCAGTTTAATCCTGGTTTAGTCCTGGTTTAGTTCTGACCCAGTTTATTCCTGGTTCAGTCCCTGGTTCAGTCCCTGGTTCAGTCCCTGGTTCAGTCCCTGGTTCAGTCCCTGGTTCAATGAATTAAAAGGATCTGGCCAAGCTGAGTTTAGTCCAGGTTTAGTTCCAGTATTGACCTGGTTCAGACCTTAAGTCCCAGTTTAGTCCTGGTTCATTTCATATGTTGCCATGTATCTTTTTCAGCATTCAGCACCCAATATCAAATAAAAATAAGAAATATAGAAGTATATAAACTCTTCAATATAACATTAGTTCCTTTTGTAAGTACTGGTTAATATGAGTCGAAAAATATTATTTATTTTATGATGCACATTGTTATCTAAAACCAAATCTGCATGAAAATAAGATAAGCAGATAAACCGGAAATTAACTTACACTGACAATTAAATTAACTGTAATGACTTTTGTCCTATCAGCCGCTCATCTGCGAGTTTTAAAACGCATTATTATGAATAAAAATGTGCTTAATTTTGCATTTAACTAACTATTACGCAACAATGCCACGTTAAAAAGTAAAATGACAGCACGCTGGATGGCATGTGTCGAGATAATCTAAAAATGCACCTTTAAATCTGCATTTCCTCTTCCGCAAGTCTAAATTTTAAATGTTTTATGGTCTTAAAATGCAATAAAATGCGAATAAACATGCTAGCTAGTGTCCTATTGACATGTCAACACATGGCTAAACGCATGCACCCAAAAAACTACAAATGTATGCTAGCTGCCTGCAGATTAGCATGTGTTCAAAAAATGCAGAAAACCGCAAATATAAAAATGACAATAGGGAATAAATCAACAAGAAATCGCAATAGAAGGTGTTAAAATTGACAAGTAGATTTAATTGATGCCTGTAATCCTATTTTGGTACGTAAACAAACGCTACTGTACTGTCCTCTTGCATGTGTCAAACTGCAAGATCAAATCAATGGGTTTCTCTTTTAACCCCTACTTACGAGTCAGGAGGGTGAACTATCCCGAGATGAACGAATTCCGCAGCGTCCTCGTCAAGTTTGCGCTAAAATCCGTGCAAAAACAGCGGAAAACCCGGAGCGTAGATGTGTCCACGGTGGGCGCGCGCGGGTCCCTCGTGTCTCCGAAGGTCCCCGGAGGTCCAAGGACGGGATCTGGATGCGCGCACGGAGGTTTTGTTGCAGCGTTGGGGGGTTTGGGTACAGGTCCCTCCACCACTGCGCTCTGCTCGCTCTGCACGTACCAAACCAAAGCAAAACACGCGGACACGCCTCCCGCAAGCGCCGCCCCGTGGAGGGTTTCGGTCACGGGAGGTTGGATCGTGTAAATAAATTGTTCTAGTACATCCAGGCGCTTCCAAACTGCACGTACGGCAGCTGCGCGCGTTTACATTGAGATTTTATAGCTAATAATAAAGCTGAGATAAGAGGTGCAAGTAAAAGTATATGGACATGGATATGTGTTGTTAGACTAGAGTGACCACGTGTCCCTACTGACCCGGGACAGTTCCAGTTTTGAGCTCTGTGTCCTCTGTCCCAGCAGATTTATACAAAAGCACCGATTTGTCCCAGTTTTATACAAGAAATGTTTCAGGTGTCTCTATTTTTGACCAGTCTGATACCTGCATCTAGAGCAGAAGTAAAACCCAAAATGCAAAACTAAAATGGGAAGTACTGGTTGATATACGAGTCTAAAATATAGTTCTGGTTCATTCAGTCTTGGTTTAGTCCTGGTTCAGTCCTTGTTTTAAATGGAACAACAACATGCCAGGATAGGAAGTATTGGTTGAAATGAGTCTAAAAATAGTCCTTGTTTAGTCCCAGTTTAGTCATGGTTTGGTTCAATACCGGTTTATTCCTAGTTTATTCCTAGTTTATTCCTGGTTCAGTCCGGTTTAGTCCTGCTTTAGTCTCAGTTTAGTGTCGGTTTAGTCGGTCTCAGTGTAGTCCCTGGTTGAGTCCCAGTTTGGTCCCATTTCCGACTGCATTTCCGAATTTGTTTAATAAAACAAAAGAATGACCAAACACAAAAATCCAAACAGACATGACCAGTCATAATGAAAATGAACAAACCAAGGGCAAAGGAGAACACAGTGTATATATGCACACAAATGAGACACAGGTAAGACACATTAGGGCGCGGCAAACAATCAATACAACGGAAAGTCAAAACACACAGTTAGAGAAATACAAAATAGAACCAGGTCAAGAATAATAAAATAATTCAATGAAAATTAACACCATGACAAGAGGAATATATTGTAATTTTTTTTTAGGTAAAATACAGGGAAAAAAACTGCTTAAAAATCACCAAAACACAATGAAAATGTGACTATACTGACTCACATGTTTGTCATGAATGGACCGAGTGCAGAACTCATTTCACAATTTAATTATTACCAGCCACGCCAAACTAGGGGTGTCCCAGTTTTTGATTTAGACAATCTGATCACCCTATCATTTCGGATTCAATTCAATCTTTATTAAGAACACATAATACCTGGTTCATAGTATATAAAAAAAAAAGAAGAATAAAACATGTGAATACACAGTGCATGTTATAATGTTTACAGACAAGAGCACCAGTATCTCCGCAGCTCAGAGGTGAATCTGAAAGAGCTCCTCACAGGACACACTACTAGAGCTTGAATGATTTGATTGTTCAGATTCATGGCTCTACACATAAATGAATAAATACAAACATCTGATTGTGACAACACAGGATCTCACATCACAGTTTAGAAACATTTCACTGGCGCTACAAAACCTCGGCATTTTCAGTAATATTCTCCTTTGTTTGGGTAATATAATATGCTGATTTTGCATTAAAAGTATACTATTAGACCTATACTGTCATACAAAACCGTGCTTAGAAGAGGTTGCACACATTTTAGATTGGCTTTTTTATAGTCAGAAATAAACAGATGAAACAAGTGAAAGTATATGGCTTTTAAAAGGCCCATTTTCTGATCCTGGTTATAATGTTGTTTTCCCAGGGGTGATTCTAGGAACGGGCAATGAGTCAGCTGCCCAGGGCCCTAACTTTTAGGAACGGCATGTTTTTTCTTCCCAGATATGCACATTTTTTACATAATTTTATTTTTTATCAGGCCCAGATGTGGGATGTGGGATGTGGGATCTCGTCCAGGACTCCAATCAGTGTAGGATCGCCACTGTTTACTCGTCACAAACATACCAACAGTTGAGATTGGTTCAATTAAAACAACACTTCTGGATATTCAGGATGTGTTCTTTTCTCTCAAACAGAAAACACCACCTTGTGAGGTCATGTGGTAATGCAGTCCACTGTGTTTTTGATCTCCACACACCTTCACTAGAATCATTTGGATATTTTCAGACGTGGAATTGCCGATCTCTACTGAACTAAAGGTAAAAGGAACTGAAAACTATCACTACTACCACTGAAATTATAATGCTGATCACCATATACATTTCTTGGCACTGGTGATACTCCTCCTCCCAGTTCCTCAAGTTCTCTATTGTTTTATGTTGTTGCCTTTTTTTTTTTTCTTCTCTGTTAAAAAGCAAATAAAAATTGCAAAAAAAAGAAAAGAAAACTACCACTACATGACCTCACAAAATGTCCAACTCCAGGTACATTTTTTTTATGAGTTAACCACATTTTAACATGGCATAAAGTTCACAAGAATCCATTTTGTGTAATGTAGAACCTTCAAACAAGTGAAGTTATTACTGGTTTTCTGATGTCATTATAAAATACTGTTAGTCAATAATAATATTTAATACAGATGGAGGCAGGTCAGCTAAAATATTATAATTTTGCTTCAAAAATACAATCATACAGAACTTTATTTAGAACAGGCTGCATCCGTTTTACACTGATCTTTTTATAGCCTGCAACAGACAACAAGCAAACCGATGCAAGTGAAGTGAAAGTACACGGTGTTTAAAGAAGGGAAGTTATTTGAATAGGCCTGATATAGTTTTGCATTGCAGTATAGGCCTATACTGTCATACAAAACTGCATGTAGGAACAGGCTGCATGTTTATATAGCAACAACAATAATAAAGATGATGCAAGAGAAAGTGTATGGCTTTATGGCTTTTTAAGAAGAGAAGCTACAGCCTATAATTTTGCATAAAAAATCTACCAAACTGTTACACAAAACTGCTTGTATGTTGCATTTTACATCTACAAACAAGTGAAAGTGTACGGATTTTAAAAGAGTAAAACTATTTGAGTGACAGACCTGTAGTTTTGCATTAAACATATACAGGTTGCATTTTATATCGATTAGTGTTGTAGTACTCAAAACCGGTCTTGGTCTTGAGACTGACCTCAAGACAGGTTTTTTGTGGTCTTGGTCTCGTCTCGAATTTGACCGTGTTTGGACTCGGTCTTGTCTCGGTCTTGAAGGCACTTGGACTCGGTCTTGTCTTGGTCTCGAGGTCTGACACTCCACGAGAGATAAAATGGAGAGAGATAAAAAAAACAACAACATTGATATAACTGTGCCAAAATAACTGTAAAATACAAATAAATGTATAAAATTACAAAGGTCTTTGGTCTTGTCTCGGTCTTGACCCTCAGAGGTCTTGGTCTTGTCTCGGTCTCTGGACCCTGTGGTCTCGGACAGTTCTTGGTCTCGATTAGTATGGTCTTGGCTACAAGGCAAGTGAACATCTCCTTTGAGTAGAGCAGTTGTTTGTGTAATTTTACATTCGTAGCTGCAGGGAGGAAAGTGAGGAACACATAGAAACATAGTGAAATCATAATCTCCCGCAAAAGACTATAATAATAATACATAATAATAATAATACATAATACACAACAAAACTGTATTATTGATCATTTGCAGCTAATGTCGTCAATATTCTCTTGGGGTGTGATGCTAACTGTAGGCACGCTCTGTCTGTGGCTTTGTTAGACTTTAACACAGTTTGACCAGAAAGAACTCTTAGTTTCTTAGTTGAAATAACAACAGTTGTGCAGATACTGTCAAACAAGTCTCGACACATAAGATTACACTCACAAGACACCTTGCATTAGCCAACTGTTTTTCACTGAGTCTGTTTGTGTTGAAACTCTTAAAGACAGGACCATGAACACTCGTATTGATCACAGACTCCTGAAAATGTCCTGTCTAAATCCAGTATCCTGTATTGTATTGTATTTACTGTATTTATGGAGGTTTCACACAGTCTTAAAACTTTTTTGACAGTGTTTGTGAATGTGTGCATTGTGTCTTCGGAGTAACAGCTGAACATTCCATCACAGAGACACGTGTAGAACACCCCTACCCATGAGGTCACTGCAAAGTATAAAATTAGACAATACTATGCAATTATATATTAAACTAAAATAATAAATAAGAAAAAAGCGGGGGAGAAAAAAAAGAAAATGTCTTTAAAATTATGCTTTAACATTGTAATAAATAGTAAAAGATGATGAAAGGAAATTATGATGATGATGAAAATTATATTAATATAAGGATAGTGACTATAAATGTTTATTTACTAAAAAAAATGTGTTTAGGGGGTTTTGTGTTTTGTTTTTATGTTGATTATTGTATTTTGTTAAATGTTATATTCTGTTGTCTTTAATTAGAATTTTTTTAAAAATAATAATAAGTTAACTTCTGCATTTACACTAAAATCGTGCAGTTTCATAATAATTTAAAGGTACATTGTGTAACTTTTCTGATGGACGATCCGTCAAATGCTTTTCTCCATGGAAATATTATTGCTTTGTCTGGAATGTTTCACGGTATAGCATTAAACTTTTCTATGTTCATGGAGACCAAACCTGACTCAGTTACAGGTCAGATCTGCGGAGAGGCGACGCCGCTCATAGTCAGAACGTGTGTTTTTCTAGGTATTTTTGAGCTATAAAACCACCTGTAATTGAATAAATGTAAAGCAGAGCTGTTTAATGTCACACTGTGGAACATTCCAGACAGAGCAATGACATCTCCATAGAAACAAGCAGCTGAAAGACCCCTAACGATGCACCTTTAATGTAGCCTGTACTATTCATTGATATTTTAATTACTGCTCTTATTGTTTATCTCGTTTTATTCTGTTTTTATCTGCCTTGTGCACAGTTTCTTAAAGACGCTCTATAAACTTGAGTAAGACATGTCAACACTTCTCTCAGTCTGTTTTTGTTTCACACACCGTCGGTTTTACTGACTGGGTAAATATGCGAGTACTCTGGTCTAATCTATTTACTTTTTGTTTAAATATTTGTATATTCTGTGTAAACAGGATCACCTTATAACTCGGCATGTTTGCTTTTTGACCAGTTCACACTTTACAAGCTACAGATCTGCATTATTATTTTGTATCCACAGAGAACTTTTCACCATCCAAAAGATATAATATTTTGATTTGATTTGCTTAATTGTGATGAACACAGAAGACGGTTGCCAGAGCTTGAAACTCACGAATACACTGCCTTAAAGTTGCACTAGGTAACTTTTCTGGTAGACGGACTGTCGGCTTGTCTCCGCATGAAGTTATTGCTTTTCCCTGGAATGTTCCACAATATGCTCAACGTAACAGCTAGATATCTCCATGGAGACAAGTTACAGGTCTGATCTACGGAGAGGTGGCCCCATTCACAATAAGAATGTTTTTCTTGGATACTTTCAGCAATTAAAACATCTGTAATTGAATAAAATAAAATGCAAGATCATTTAAAATCTGTATTAGAGCTGTCGCTGCACACAAATCGACTATAGAGACATTATTTATTTAAAATGTTGTTATTTTATATTTTACTTGTTCTGGATTCAATGTTTAAGCAAAACATTTATTTTAATAAGAAAAGGTTTAACATTACATATCTGGAAAGAAGAGAAAACATGCAGATGTTGGTGAAATTTTTCAATAAATATTCAGTTTGGCCCATGACTTAGTCCCAGTTTTTAATTTCGGCCTCTGTGAATTTGAGTTTGACACCCCTGTTTTAGAAAATTATAGCCATAGCAATGACCAGAAAAGCTACACAGTGGATCTTTAACATTTATCTTATCTCATCACTTATTAATGTGGATTTTAATCTTGTTGAAACATAATGCAGTTGTATATGTAACCTGGGCCTATATAGTCTGACACCTCTTACTGACAACATTAAATCCAAAGTTTATGATCATTTTAGGTCTACTTTGGTCTTTAACTTCATGAAATAAAGATTAGTGTCCTTGTAAACCCTAAAATCTATGACAGAGATACATTTAAAGCAATTCTTAGCCTGCATTGGGACGCCCCCTGCTGGCAAAACAAAAGAAATCTAAAGTAAGTGTTTTCAAGCAAGTATACACAAACCACTGTTGCACAGAAGGGGGCGCTATTGGATAAATTTAATGGTGTTTTTTCTCACCTTCATCACTAGAAATATAATCTCCTGGAATTTATTGAACACACTAGGAAAAAAAACAATATCTGGGTAAATTAAAATGACTTAAATTAAGAAAATTTTACTTTATTTGAGTCGATTCAACTTGATAAGTCAAATTATCTACCAATGGAATAAGTGTGTTTTTCTTAATTCAAGCAACATTCGATTTTGTTTCTTATTTTAAGTGCAAAAAGTTGTTGTTTTTCTTATTTTAAGTGTAGCAAGATGTAATTTCATATTTTAAGTTCAAAAAGTCTTATTCCACTGGCAGATTATTTTACTTGTCAAGTCAAATTTACTCATTTAATCATGATAAAACTTTTTTAATTCAAGTAATTTTAACTTGACTGGATTTAGTTTTTTGCAATACATTACATAATACCCTATTATAGATAATAAATATTAGGCCTAAATAAATAAAATAAATGACAACCATAACACAGGCTGCTGGAAATGTCAATATTGTGTGTGTAGACTTTTTGTTTACTCATCCAAAACAGACCTGGAGTTGCGCTTTGTTTCATTCAACGCTTTATTATTAGTTTGTCTACCCTGAATGCTTTGTTCCACTTTGTGATGTCACGAAGCTGTAGTTTTCACGCAGGATTTGTGTGTTAAACGTGTGTGAATGAAACAAAACACAACTTCAGGTCAGTTTTTTTATGAGAAAACATTACAAATTACACGTTATATCAGAAAACGACGCGATTTAGGCCCTTTAATTGTCTTTTTTTGTGTAAATATGTGCATTTTATAACCATTACTTTTACTTTCTGTTATTATCACATAATTTGTGACCTACAATTGTGTCCTAAATAATTTCTCTAATTGTCTGATTACGAAAACAAGGTGGGGTCAAGCGGTTAAAACAACATTACCCAATAATTTCCACGTGAACTATATTTTAAATTAAAGTATTAAATTTAATTACATATTACCGCTCCCATCTTTATTCAACACTTTATTTTTATCTCTTTTTTTTAAGCTCCTCCCCTTACCTGCCCGTAAGCCCCGCCCACCGTGACGCACCTGTGCCGAAACCTGCACCGGAGTCCTGCCAGTTCGTCCTCTGCGCTCCCTGATCCTGATGGAGACGCCAAACTAGCGCATTTTAACCGGGATTATGGGCACAAAACACGTATTAATCGCATGTCTAGCGCTATTTTACGTTTCCGGTGTTTTTAGTGAAGGTAAGTCGGTGTTTTTGTCGCGTAATGTGCGCGAGATATCGTAAATATAGCCGAAAAATGTGATGTCCACCGTCTTTGCGGTGAAAACGATACAAAATTAGCATTAGCTTACAGTTTTTGGGGCATATTTCACGACAAATTAAATGTTAATGCTGTTTTTCGTTTTATTTCCCAGATATTTTAAATGGATTTCTTTCAAAATTGTCAAAATATTCAATTGTACAACCGCGAAGAATTCACAGAACAGCGAGGAGCATCGACAGAGCAAAAAATAATGTAGGCAAATTTATATATTATTGGAAGTATATTTGATTCATTTTGGCAAATACTTAAAATAACTTAAACTTCTGTTTTTTTTAGAATGAGCTAGATGAATCTATTTCCTATTTAATCGAAATAAACCACAAGAAACATCGATTACACCTGGAAAAAAACAAGTGAGTGAACTTAGCAAGCATGTTTTTAGCCAAATACATCGTCAAAAGTATCAGTTTTTAGCTTTAACTATATTTTTTATTGTTTTTACAGAGATTTCCTGCACCCAAACTTGTTTTCTGATGACAAGTTTAAAAAAGTACCAGTAAGTCTCCTTTCACTTCCTTCTAATATAAATGGAACCACTGCATTGACTATGATAGATGGTTCGCATAGACCTACCAGAATTTCCAGTTGTCCTAAATATTTTCTGTAATGTCACTGTGTTTTGTTTTAAGATTATGCCGAGAATGGCTGTGTCATCTTTAAAAGTGGCAGCAATAAGGTCCTATATTGCGCAAAATTGACTCTTGTGAGGTTTAAGACGTGTTATGATGCTTTTATCTCATCTAAAAACTACCTGGAGATGTGTTTTTTTTTTCATTTGCACTTGATTTTGAACTCCAAAGCTCAAAACGGTCTGTTCCATATGTGATGTCACGAAGCGGTGGTTTTCAAATTAACAGCAGCCAGCGTTGGGGACTTGCAAGTCGTGACCTGGACTCGAGTCAGACTTGAGTCACTATTTTTAGGACTTGAGACTTGACTTGATAAAATAGAATAGAAATAGAACAGAAAGCCTTTATTGTCATTATACAGTATAATGAAATTCAAAGCTGCTCGGTCAAGTGCAAGAATTAAACAAATAAATAAAACAAATTAACAGTTCTCATTCAGTAAAAATGGACTAAGACTTGGGACTCGACTTGGACTTGAAGGTCAATGACTTGGGACTCGACTTGGACTTGAAGGTCAATGACTTGGGACTCGACTTGGACTTGAAGGTCAATGACTTGGGACTTGAGGCCTGTGACTTGAGAAGACTTGATGTTTAGACTAGTTGACAATTTAACTGTTATTAAACACTATTAAATCTTAACTCTTTCCATTCTGACCGTAATAATTCGCACTCTTGTCAAGACATTTAAAAAGGATAAATTAGCATTTCTACACGTCTTAAAAAAATACTCTTTTATAAATATACCATGACGCTTTAAGTACAGTTTAGTTTTAAAAATCGTATAAATTGCACTTGACTTGAAATGACTTGAAGCTCAAAGCAGACGACTTGGACTTGACTTGGACTTATGGACCAGTGACTCGAGACTCGACTTGGACTTGCCTGTATTTGACGTGGGACTTGACTCGGACTTGAGGCAGAAGACTTGAGACTCGCAAAACAACGACTTGGTCCCACCTCTGACAGCGACCTTTGACTTTTTGTTTAGTAGTCATAGGTGATTCCAGGGCTGAAATGATCCACATGATTCTAGTGAAGGTGTGTGGAGTTTAAAAACACAATGGAGCACTTCCTGTACTGCCACATGACATCACAAGGTGGAACAGAGTGTTTTCCGTTTGAGGTTTGCGTTTTAAACGTGCGAACAAAACAAAACACAACTCCAGGTCTGTTTGTGATGAAGAAACAACATTATTTATTTATTTGGTTTTTGTTTTGTCACTAGGGCTGGGCATCATTAAGAAGTTGCCGATACGATACATATCTCGATACAGTGCACTTTCGATTTGATACGATATATTTTGAATCGTTTTGATATTGTTGAATAAAAAAATAAAGACTAAATCAGGAGTCTCCAACCTGTAGCTCTCCGCCCCCTTCCAAGTAGCTCGCCAAGGGATTTCTGAATTACCCGTATTGTGCTGAATAAGTAAAATTTGATTAATTTTATGGAGCTAAATTATTCCCCGATTATGGGAAAGATGGACTGGCGTGGGTAGTGATGTGCTTTAGTTTTAGTTTTTCCTCGAGTGAAGCAGAAAAGAGCTTTTACCATTGTACATGTATCATTTGGATGTATAACTTTGTACACTAATAAGTGGATAATGGTTTATGTTTTATAGGCTGTACCTCATTTAAGGTTCGCTGAGGCCCTTATATTTACTAAAGTTCTTGTGACAGCTAAAACTAGTAGCTCTCAGGCATTTTCGGAAAAAGGTTGGAAACACTTGGCTAAATGTTGACTGTGATACTAAAATTCTTTGTGAAACCACTTCTTGTGCAAAATTCATATGAAACACGCCAATTTTCCTCATCAAAACTGTGAAAATGTCAAAAGTGTTGAGTTTCCTTCCTCTAAACAAGCGGCAAAACTGTAGCTGTAACAAAATTATTTAGTAAAATACACCAAAAAATAGTCTTGGCGGTATATTGATACAGCAGCCTAGGGTATCGATACCGTATCATTACAGTAAACGATATATAGAGATTTTGATATTTTTGCACACTCCTGTTTAGCGGGGACAGTGTTTATTAATCAATATGTCTGTAAATGTACCAGAATTTGTCAGAGAGACTATTTTTCATCTGTAGTCCCTGGACAGATGGTAAACTCGGTCACCCTAAAACGCAACAATAAGAATTATACAAAAAAGTGCAGTAACAGTTCAATTAAAACGCAGCGAGAACACAGACACTAACAACCAAAACCACAAAGTTCACAATGAGAAATAACACACACTTTGGGTCACCTTGACACGATCTGCGTGTAGGTCTGAAATATACAGTTCTGACACTTATATGCATGTTGTGATGTCCTCCTGCACCTGAACTGGACCACGCTACAAAAACACAGACAGGCCCTCTTATCTTATTGGAAATGTAGAAATGTTAAGACATGTTTTCTACAATTTTTTATCTTTTGTAATTATTTTGTTGACTATTTTGTGTCAATATTGCTGCTTCAACTGAATGGTGAAAAGAAAAAGAAATGAGCTCCATTTAATGTCAAATAGGTGACGTATTAATAATTTTATTGCTGGTTTAATGATTGTTTTTCGTTGTTTTAAAACTTGAGTATTAATAATTGTTCAGAGACACGATCACTCAGTCAACAATAAAATGTCCTCATTAATGTTCATTAATGGTCAAATCCACATTTGTCCAACACATTTTAGGCACAATTTATTTATTTATTGCTCATGCTTTTATTTTGTTGGCATCAATTTAAAGAGAACAGCAACAACAAAAAATCAGAAAATGAACATAAATACATATTTCTACAATTATTTGTCTTGCATTTGCTGCATGAACGAAAGGAACAGGAAGGAGGTAACTCTTATAAACATTGCTCCTTTCACAGATCAAAAAATTAAACATGTCTTTGACCTTTAACTTCTTTTTCAATAAGCCATGTGCATGTTCCAGTATCTCTCTTGTGCTTTCATTAACTTTAAACATTTTCCTAAGTCACATCGTCCATCATTATTTTATCCTTGTACATTTTCTTCAATTTCAAAACACTGGTGCAACTTTTAAAATCACCATTTAACAACATTTATTTTCTGATTTACGAATAATGTCTATTGACTTGGGTCGCGAAGGTTTGTGACTTTCAAAATATGGAGGTTTGATGAGTTATTAGCCAGTTCTTAATGTTTTTTGAATAGATTGTATTATGTTTGGTCTCTTACGCTGCCAAGGACTGAGTTATTAGACTAGAAAAACGGCGTAATATGGCTCCTTTTAATTTGTTTTTCTAATTATGACTTGGTTTCACAGGATAGTACCTATAGTAATTGTTTAGTATTTAGTTTTATCTGTAAAGTTGCAGTTTGTGGGGGGAAAAAAAAGGTTAGAAGAAAAGTATAAAATTACAGGAAGTAAAGCTGAGTTCTAAAACAAACAGAATGCCTCTCCCTATGTCATCAACATGGAAATCTCCATTCAAAATGCATCGACAATTTACGAGGAAGGAAGTAGCAGTTTAAACTTTGATTTAACAAAATAAAAGTCGTTAGATCTGTCATGATAATTATTATATCGACTTATCTTTTCATATATGAAAGTTGGAACAGTATATTTTGCAGTTAGTATTTATTGTCTGTACATTTTCTTTGCACTAATTTGAAATATTTGGCTTTTTTTTTTTTTAAAGATTTGAGCTGTAAAAGTTTGAATTATTGACTCCCATGACTCATTACAGACGTAAACTCAGTGCTGAAGTATTTCATTCTGCTGTTTATTGCAGTTCATGCTTTTTTTTTTTTTTTTTTTTAAAACAATATTTTAGATTTTGAATAGTTTCTGTGGTTTAACATTCCATTTTATAGTTTATAGTCTTTATTAACTTCAGCAATATATCAAATTTCAAAATTTGATATGGTGACATATAAACATAAACTTCAAATTAAAAACACACCATGAAAATGACTTAATCTTGTCATTTTTATAACATTTTATAACTATTACTACTAATATTATACAGTAATACTGTAATAGTAAAATACCATTACTATCATTACTATGGCAACTACTCAGAATACTACTACTTTGCAGACTACTATATAAAAACTAAGGGTGTCAAATTATTGCGTTAATTAAGAACTAGAACTAAAACCAGGTCTAAACCAGGACTAAACCAGGAACTAAAACCAGAAAACCAGAAAAACCAGGACTAAAACCAGGACTAAAACCAGGACTAAAACCAGGACTAAAACCAGGACTAAAACCAGGACTAAAACCAGGACTAACCCATTCCAGGACTAAACTAAGACTAAAGTAGGACTAAACCAGGACTAAACCAGGACTAAAACCAGTGATCTCATATATAAAGCATTTCTCTATCAATAATATTTTTAATCTGGTTAAGGAAAGACTGGACTTTTTATTGTCTTTAAGTAGACAAAAGTTATTATGTTCAGATTTCCTCGTCTTTGCTACTTTACAGCAAACAGTTTCTTATTCATGGAGACTTGGGCTCAACAGACAATTTGGAGAGATTTGTTAAACAATAAATGACTTTATAAAGTCACTTTTTTTTGTTCTATATCAGTGTTTTGATCTGCCACAATAATGTAATAATGAATTTAAATGAAAATATCTCAAATTGAAGGCTTTTCTCAGCAATTTTTAGGTGAGATTAAAAAGAGATTAATTAATTACAGATCATAATTAATCTCTCAATTTTTTTAATCGCATGACAGCACTAATAAAAACCATTGTTAAAATGTGAAGAATACTTTTGTACTACTACTGTCGTGAGGTGTGTTGACACGTAAATTGTCTCGTCTAGTTGCAGTATGTAGATTATCTCTGTGTTCGGTATTATAGGGGTGGACGAAATACGAGATTGGATCTATGAGAACGAGATGAGATTCTGACATTATTTAGGCTTTAATAAATACATTGTGCCATTCAGTTTCCAATTTTAGGCTCCCCACTTTTGATTTACTTTATTTAATAGTTCTTCTGCCACTGTAGCTCTGATTTTTGGGACTAGGTGTTCTCAGAAAATGGAACTCGGCAGTTCTGTTTTTCAATCCAAACATAAAAACACGAGGAAAAAATCTGTGCACAACCTCGTGGCAATTTTGTCTTGCGAGATCTTGAGGCACAAAATCTTGTCTGGGACCCTGTGATGCCGTTTTGTAAGTGAAAATTGTCCTTGGAAAAACTACACAATGTTAGTAAAATTTTTCATAAGAGGCCAAACAAAGTAGACTTTTCAGATTGTAATATCTTGGAGCAGAAATGCACACAACTGTATCAAAAAGTTTACATCTTAGTAACCCATATGACAACATTTTTATTTTTAATTCTGAAGGACAAAAGGTCTGATGGTTGAAGTATGACTCAGACTGAACACTCCCTACACGCAAATACAGTTTTGTCATTTTATTGTAATGATGTAGTAAACGGCGACAGTAGCTCAGTTGGTGTTGGCTTTTGTCCACTGATACGAAGAATCCGTGGTTCATTCGTTGATCTGTTTTTTCAAAATAAAACCAAAAATAGGAAAACAAAAAAAATATATATATATATTTTCTTCATTATTTGTCTCCAAAACCAGAATGAATAAACAGATAACGATCTGTTTTTTCAGTTTTCGATTTTGTGTTTAAATGAAAAATGGAAAAAAAAGTTTCCTGTTTCTGTGACTTGAACTGCATACGGACTGAACCAGGACTAAACCAGGACAGAAGCAGGTCTAAGCCAGGTCTAAGCCAGATCTAAACTAGGGCTAAACTAGGACTAACCTTGGACTAACCTTGATCCTGTCTTAATCCTGGTCTGGTCTCAGTCCTGGTCTCAGTCCTGGTCTCAGTCCTGGTCTCAGTCCTGGTCTGATCAAGACTGAGACTGGGACTGTTTTAGACCTGTTTTAGACCCGTTTTAGTCCCGTATGTATGTCTGTATTCTCACCATTAGCAGGGCTGCCTCTCCACAGCTCTGACTTTAATGCTATACTGTGGAACATTCTAGGCAAAGCAATAACATCTCCATGGAGACAAGAAGGTGACGGACCAGAAAAATTACGCACTACACCTTCACCTTTAAGCATTGCTACATCGTTACATTAAAATAACAAAAAAGTGATGGCATTACCTGCTTGTTTCCACAGAGATGTTATTGCTTTGCTTGGAATGTTCCACAGTATGGCATTAAAGTCGGTTATGTGGAGAGGCGGCCCTGCTAATGGTTAGAATACTGAGAATAATGTGTTTTATTATTATTTTTTTTTTTTTTTTTAATACAAATGTACAAAATGTAATGCCATACTCTGGAACACTCCTGGCAAAGCAATAACATCTCCATGGAAACCAGCAGGTAGAAAAGCTGCAAAAGTTACACAGTGCATCTTTTGAGGTAGCTATGTTTATGTTGTAGCTTGTTACATCTACTTCGTGAACACTGTGGCAAAATTATGCAAATCTGAAACGGAAAAGCTGCAGTATGTAAATTTCTGCAGGCGGCGTGACTCCATGGAAATAGAAAATTAAAACTACTTGTACTTCTGAACATTCTGCGTGGAGAGAGTAACACCAGTTTTTCCAAGTTTGGGCTAAAAAAGTTAGATACTGTGGCTTTAGTTAAACATTTATAAATTTCCTGAACAGAAGCTCTTTCAGCACGTCGGAGCTCATGGTCATTATATTGTGTTTTGTGTTTGTTTTTAAGGTTCATTGCTATTACCATGGAGACGTGGAGGGATACACAGACTCTATGGTGGCCGTCAGTACATGCTACGGACTCAGGTATAGCACTACTACTACCACTACTGCAAGTACTATGACTGCTACTACTACTACTACTACTACTGGTACCACCACAAATACCATAGAGATAAAAAATATTTACTGTTATAAATGTGCATATTATTTTTATTAGGTAAGTATGTGTCTTCGAAAGTGTAGTACTACTGCTAGTATTACCATAACAACTACTACTACTGCAACTACTTGAACTACCACTACTATTACTAATGAGGTGAAGAGTATATGTGCTATTACTTAACTTTTACCAGTACTACTACTACTACTACTGCTGCTGGCATGGTTACTTTTATTGCTACTACTACAAATACCATAGAGATAAAACTACTTGCCGTAATAAATTGTGCATATTATTTTTATTATATTATTAGGTAAGTATGGGTCAGCTACTATTACTACAGCAATTACTACTACTACTACTTCTACTACTTCAACATATGCTATTGCAACTACTGGAACTAATACTACTAACAAGGTGAAGAGAATATGTACTACTTGCCATTGTTACTTCTGTTTCTCTTACTATTACTACTACTGCTACTACTACTACTACTACAAATATTAACATGGCGATTAAAAAAAATTATTACTGCTACTAATCACTACTACTACCAGCTACTACTACTTACAAATACCATCTTCTACTTAAGCCAAATTTATGGCCGTGCATGAAATCGTCTGCGTCGCCTTGAACCCCCTAAAATCTGAATTACTTGGCGGCGCATAGACCTCGACGCAGATCCATAAATCCAAAACGACAGTGACAAGGCGGCGGCGACAGTGTGCGATGACACGGAACTGTTATTCAGCCTTTACTCGTGATGGGTAGATGAGGCCTCAGGTGTGTAACACATTTCCAACTCTTAGGCTGCGTTCAGACTGCAGCCTGAAGTGACACAAATCCGATTTTTTGGCCCCTATGTTCCTGTATCTGATCTTTTAATGACAGTCTGAACCACACAGATCTGATTTTTTCAAATGCGACCCAGGCCACTTGGATATGTGCTCCTAAACACATATCTGATCTTTTGACATGCGACTTCAGTCTGAACGGCCAAAGCGCATTCATCCACCTACACGTTATCAACAAGACACAAACGTCACTATTCTGCGCTGAAGCAGGCGAAAATTGTCAATGAACTCCATGACACTGAAGTGAAGCACATCACCACTCACCACTCTTGGCTCCGTCTCCACATCCACACGTTCCTTTAAACGGACGTCGCTGCCGCTGCCCCACAAAACACCACGACCAAAAACCTCGTCCTTCTCCTTCTCAATCTCCTCCTTAAAACAAGTAAGTTGTTCATGTTCTGGCTCCGGTACGAGAGGAACTTTAAAATCTCCAGGTGCTCGATGCTGCGTCCATGTTTGGACAACTTCTGTAAACACAGAGCACGCTCGCTGCGGTTGACGTCGTCGTGTCTCCAGTGCACATGTGGGACACTTTTGGACCGTTTAACGTTCACACTGGAGTCACATACAAGTCACATTTAATTGGAAATGTGAACGACCTCGCAACATCTGATTTCACAAAAAAATCGGAATTGAGCGTTAAGCCCTGCAGTCTGAACGTAGCCTTTGTTGGTGCGTTCTATGGCGCCATCTGGTGGTTTAAAAAAATGAACTGCTTCCTCTGCAGAAGCACTGACCCAGCGCAGGGTTTGTTCATTCAGACACAAACACTCATTTGTGATATTTGTGATCTGATATCCAAAGAATGAAAGAACTGATCAAGTAGGTGATGCAAACTAAATCTGTAATGTTCTACACTTGGGACTTATTAAAATGAGTCCACACAGAACAAGCCTGTGATGAACCGAGACACTGCGACAGATTTGAGTCTCGCGCTCCTCGTTCTAAATGAGCCATCTCAGCGCTCCCGACACGAGACGCACCAAAGGACACAGTCGATGTATCGGTCACGTGACTTTTCTTAAAGTGATACACAGAGACACAGCTCCACACAGGCGACACTTACTGAGCTTGATAAAAGTTTTGGCCCATCACTACTACTTACTGGGGATGTAACAATAACTGAAATATCGTGATATCGTATCGTCAGAAGTCTCACAATAATATTGCAGACTGTTGCAATATATCAAATCACAAGTTCCTTTACTTAAATACAGGTTTTATAGTAGCAACAGCTTATAAACATCAGAAACTACATATCCCATGATTCATTTCACTGCAAATAACATGAAGAAACATGTTTTTTACTTGAATTCTTGGAATTATGACGGAAATGATTCACACCAAACTCTTGTCAGGGTATTTTAAAAGCAGAAACATGTTCTATCTCTCCAAAATATTGTACCGTGAGATGCAAATCGTGATATCGTACCGAGAGATTTGGATTCTACACTAAATACTACTACTGAATACTACTACTACTTGCACTATTGCCACTGTTGTTATTTCCAGTAAGAAACCGCAGCATTGTAGTAAAATTCTCCAGTTTCTCCAGTACAGTGAAGACTTAAGTGAGCGTGTACAGTTACTTGGTGATATTTTCTGGGCTGAAACTTGACCTAAAGGAGTTTTCACAACAGTTACTTTTTCTTCAGACTGTTTATTCACAAAGCATCAGCCTCGTCTTTTCAACGGTGTCACCTTCCCTTTGTCTGGAAGACTAATGAGTTTCAGATCATAACATCCAGTGTCCACGTGTGTCAGATGCCCTCCCAGCCCTCCCCAGTGTGTCAGATGCCCTCCCAGTGTGTCAGATGCCCTCCCAGTGTGTGATGCCCTCCCAGCCCTCCCAGTGTGTGCCCTCCCCAGTGTGTCAGATGCCCTCCCAGTGTGTCAGATGCCCTCCCCAGCCCTCCCAGTGTGTCAGAGCCCTCCCAGCCCTCCCCAGTGTGTCAGAGCCCTCCCCAGTGTGTCAGATGCCCTCCCACACTCCTATCTTCTTTTGGTCCTCGTTCGGTCCTGGTTCAGTCTTTTTTCAGTCCAGGTTTAGACCAGATCCAGGTTTAGACCAGAATGAATTTGGTTTAAAAATGCAAAAATGCAACACAAAGAGTTGAGTCCCGGTTGAGTCCCGGTTGAGTCCCGGTTGAGTCCCGGTTGAGTCCCGGTTGAGTCCCGGTTGAGTCCCGGTTGAGTCCCGGTTGAGTCCCGGTTCAGTCTTATTTTAGTCCTGGTCCGGGTGGACCTAAATTTAATTTTTGTTCCTGGTTCAGACCTGGTTCAGACCTGGTTCAGACCTGGTTCAGTCCTGGTTCAGTCCTGGTTCAGTCCTGGTTCAGACCTGGTTCAGTCTTTTTTCAGTCCTGGTTTATACTGAGATTTAGTCCATTTTCAGTCCCGGTTCAGCCCTGGTTCAGTCCTCCTGGTTTAGTCCTGGTTTAGTCCTGGTTCAGTCCTCCTGGTTCAGTCCTCCTGGTTTAGTCCTGGTTCAGTCCTGGTTCAGTCCTGGTTCAGTCCTGGTTCAGTCCTGGCTCAGTCCTGGCTCAGTCCTGGCTCAGTCCGTCAACTAAATTCAACTTAAGACTCTAACCATAATGTGCATTTTCTTTCTTTGTGCTTTTATTTTGAAGGGGCATCATTGTGCTTGAAGATGAGACGTACGGATTAGAGCCGCTTCCTGGATCCGACTCAAATGAACACGTTTTGTATCTTCTGAACGACGTAAACTCCGAAGCGACCACATGTGGAGTTTCGGAAAACGACGAAAAAAAATATGCAGAAAAATCGCAAAACGAAACTCATTTTAAACCTGGACACACGCTGACGTCGCTGCTGCGGGTGAGAATCTGCTTAAGTGGTTTTGTGTTTGGTGTGTAAATAAAGGTGTATTGCCTGAAGGTACGATGGAAGAAAACGTGTGTGTTATTGTTACATTTTGTAGAGACACTAGAGATATTTCTTGTTTCTGTTCAATTGAAAAACGCTTATTTATCTCAGTTCAGTCCTGGTTCAGTCCTGGTTCAGTCCTGGTTTAGAGCTGGTTTAGACCTGGTTTAGTCCTGGTTTAGTCCTGGTTTAGTCCTGGTTTATACCTGGTTTAGTCCTGGTTTAGTCCTGGTTTAGCCCTGGTTTTGACCCTGGTTTAGACCTGGTTTAGTCCTGGTTTTGACCCTGGTTTAGTCCTGGTTTAGCCCTGGTTTTGACCCTGGTTTAGTCCTGGTTTTGTCCTGCTTCAGCTCGGGTTTAGTCTTGGTTCAGTCCTGCTTTAGTCCTGGTTTAGCCCTGGTTTTGACCCTGGTTTAGTCCTGGTTTTGTCCTGCTTCAGCTCAGGTTTAGTCTTGGTTCAGTCCTGCTTTAGTCCTGCTTTTGGCCCTGGCTTAATCCTGGTTTAGTCCTGGTTTAGCTCTGGTTTAGTCCTGGTTTAGTCCTGGTCCCGTCCTTCTTTAGCCCTGCTTTAGTCCTGGTTTAACCCTGGTTCAGCCGTGGTTTAGTCTTGGTTTAGTCCAGTTTTAGTCCAGTTTTTGCCCTGGTTTAGTCTTGGTTCAGCCCTGCTTTAATCTTGGTTTAGTCCTGGTTTAGTCTTGGTTTAGTCTTTTCATTGTTTTTTTTCTATTTAACAGAAAAAGCGTAATTTACCAGACACCAGTTATGTGGAGTTGGCTTTGATTGTGGACAACCAGAGGGTGACTATCCAATATCACATACTTTTTAAATTACTTTTACCTTAAAATTTTAATTACAAATGTTTTTTTTTAAATGTTTATATTTCAGTACGTTTTCAAGAAGAAAAACGAGACGGCGATTCGTGAGGAGATGGTGGAAACAGCCAATTTAGTCGATGGGGTGAGAATTACAACAGAGATTCATATTATTAAGTAAAATTAAGGAAAGGACAGGGTCAAAGGAGTAGTGTACTTAGAGTATTATTTGTAGTAGTAGTAATTTTTGTATTCCCTCAGTACTATAGCAGTATTTGTAGTAGTAATAACATGTATATTCCCTCAGTTCTATAGGAGTTTTAGTAGTATTATCACTGTTCTGTATATTTTCTCGATACTGTACTAATAATGGTAGAAGTACTTGTGTGTATTTGCTCAGTATTGTAGTAGTAGTAGTAGTAGTAGCAGTAACTTGTGTGTACTTCCTCAGTACTATAGCAGTATTTGTAGTAGTAGTAACTTGTGTGTACTTCCTCAATACTGTAGTAGTATTTATTGTAGTAGTAACGTGTGTGTACTTCCTTAGAACTACAGTAGTATTTGTTGTAGTAGTAACATGTGTGTACTTCTTCAGTACTATAGTAGTATTTGTTGTAGTAGTAACATGTGTGTACTTCCTCAGTACTACAGCAGTATTTGTTGTAGTAGTAACATGTGTGTACTTCTTCAGTACTATAGTAGTATTTGTTGTATTAGTAACATGTGTGTACTTCTTCAGTACTATAGTAGTATTTGTTGTAGTAGTAACATGTGTGTACTTCTTCAGTACTATAGTAGTATTTGTCGTAGTAGTAACATGTGTGTACTTCCTCAGTACTACAGCAGTATTTGTTGTTATTGTTGTAGTAGTAAGTTGTGTATACTTCCTCAGTACTACAGCAGTATTTGTAGTAGTAACATGTGTGTACTTCTTCAGTACTATAGCAGTACTTGTTGTTGTAGTAGCAGTAGTAGTAACATGTGTGTACTTCTTCAGTACTATAGCAGTACTTGTTGTTGTAGTAGCAGTAGTAGTAACATGTGTGTACTTCTTCAGTACTATAGCAGTACTTGTTGTTGTAGTAGTAGTAGTAGTAGCAGTAGTAACGTGTGTGTACTTCCTCAGTACTATAGCAGTATTTGTAGTAGTAGTAGTAGTAGTAACATGTGTTTACTTCCTCAGTACTATAGCAGTATTTGTAGTAGTAGTAGTAGTAACGTGTGTGTACTTCTTCAGTACTATAGCGGTACTTGTTGTTGTAGTAGCAGTAGTAGTAACATGTGTGTACTTCTTCAGTACTATAGCAGTACTTGTTGTAGTAGTAGTAGTAGTAGTAGTAGTAGTAGTAACGTGTGTGTACTTCTTCAGTACTATAGCAGTACTTGTTGTAGTAGTAGTAGTAGTAACGTGTGTGTACTTCTTCAGTACTATAGCAGTACTTGTAGTAGTAGTAGTAGTAGTAGTAACGTGTGTGTACTTCTTCAGTACTATAGCAGTACTTGTTGTAGTAGTAGTAGTAGTGTGTGTACTTCTTCAGTACTATAGCAGTACTTAGTAGTAGTAGTAGTAGTAACGTGTGTGTACTTCTTCAGTACTATAGCAGTATTTGTAGTAGTAGTAGTAGTAGTAGTAGTAGTAGTAGTAGTAGTAGTAGTAGTAGTAGTAGTAGTAGTAGTAGTAGTAGTAGTAGTAGTAGTAGTAGTAACGTGTGTGTACTTCTTCAGTACTACAAGCGTCTGAACATCCGGGTGATGCTGGTTCATCTGGAGATCTTCACAGAGTCAAACCCGTTCAGTGTGGACGGTTCAGCTGGAGACGTCCTGGGACAGTTCGTCAAGTGGAGGAAAGAAAACCTGATGCCCCGAATACGGAACGACGTGGGACAACTGGTCGTGTGAGTGCAGGAAAAACACACACAAACAAACGCACAATCACACACAAACTCACAAACACACAGCCACACTATCACACAACCATACAACCACACAAACACACAATCACACACACATAAACACACAATCACACAAACACACAATCACACACACATAAACACACAATCACACAAACACACAAACACACAATCACACAATCACACAAACACACAATCACACTATCACACAATCACACAACCACACAAACACACAAACACACAATCACACAATCACACAAACACACAATCACACTATCACACAACCATACAACCACACAATCACACAATCACACAAACACACACACATAAACACACAATCACACAATCACACAATCACACACAATCACACAATCACACAACTGCACAATCACACAACACACAATCACACAATCACACAAACACACAACACACAAACACACAAACACACAATCACACAATCACACAAACACACAACCACACAAACACACAACACACAATCACACAACTGCACAATCATACAACCACACAAACACACAACTGCACAATCACACAAACACACAAACACACAATCACACACACATAAACACACAATCACACAAACACACAAACACACAATCACACAATCACACAAACACACAATCACACTATCACACAACCATACAACCACACAATCACACAAACACACACACACATAAACACACAATCACACAATCACACAATCACACAACTGCACAATCACACAATCACACAACTGCACAATCACACAACCGCACAACCGCACAACAACACAAACACGCAAACGCACAAACACACAATCACACAAACACACAACCGCACAAACACACACACATAAACACACAATCACACAAACACACAACCGCACAATCACACACACATAAACACACAATCACACAAACACACAACCGCACAATCACACAACACATAAACACATAAACACACAATCACACAAACACACAACCGCACAATCACGCAAACGCACAAACACACAATCACACAAACATACAAACACACACACATAAACACACAATCACACAAACACACAAACACACAACCGCACAATCACACACACATAAACAAACAATCACACAAACACACAAACGCACAAACACACAAACGCACAATCACACAAACACACAATCACACAAACACACAAACACACAACCGCACAATCACACACACATAAACAATCACACAAACATACAAACACACAAACGCACAAACGCACAAACACACAAACACACAATCACACAAACGCACAATCACACAAACACACAATCACACACACATAAACACACAATCACGAATGATGTTGCTTTAAAGGAGCATTGTGTCACTTTTCTTTTTCAGTCAGAACACCTGTTTTTTTTGTTTTGTTTTGTTTTTTTAAGGTATTTTTGAGCTATAAAACCACCTGTAATTGAATAAATGTAAAGTAAAGCTGTTTAATGTCACACTGTGGAACATTCCAGGCAGAGCAATGACATCTCCATAGAAACAACCAAAAAGTTATTCAAGCTGTTTTCAGGTCGGCCAGAACACTGCTTGTGCCGGTTCTCACACCAGTTACACAGGGAACCAGAGTGTTTACCGACGAACGAGCCGCGTTCAAACCGTTTAAGTGAACCCAAGATGCGTCATCGACATCGTCATCGAGGGTGTGGATTTGCCACCAAATAAAAATATATGAAAAAAACATGACAAAAGGGGAAATTGTCGACTGGACAAAAGTTTATTTGGTCGAATTATTTGGAGTTTATTTGGAGACTCCTCCCCGCAGAAATATAATAAAGTGTCCACTAGGGCTGGGTATCATTAAGAAGTTGCCGATACGATACATGCCTGGATACACAGGCCACGATACAATACATATCTCTATACAGTGAGCTTTCGATTCAATACGATATATTTCAAATCGATTTGATATGGTTCAATAAAAATAAAGGCAAAATCATGGCTGTGACACTAAAAGTCTTTGTTAAACCACATTTTGTGCAAAGTTCATATGAAACACAAACATTTTAATCATCAAAACAGTGAAAATGTCAAATGTGTCGCATAAAAAAGTTTCCTTCCTCTGAACAAGCAGAAAAACTGTAGCTCTGTAACAAAATAATTTAGTAAAATATACCAAAAAATACTCTGGTGATATATCGATACAGCAGCCCACGATATCGATACTGTATCATCACATTAAGCGAGACGATATATCGATATTTCAATATTTTTGCACACCCCTAGTGTCCACCAATGTCTGACCAGAACTGAAGAACCAGTTTGGATGAGCTGCAAAACGTATTAGACCAAATAAACTTTTGTCCAGTCAACAAATTAAATTTCTCCTTTGTCATGGGTTCTACCTGGACGCCTGAGGGATTTTTCACATGAGCAAAACATATGAAAGCGAATGTCACAGCAATGAAAATAACAATCATGGATTTATACTCATACAGATTATTATTTATCTGCTATGAGCTTTGTTACAACATCTGCTGTGGTGAAGGCGGGAGCGACGCCCAAACCAAAGACGTAACCTGACCACGCAAACATGGATATACAAATATTTGGTCTCCTCCTGCTCAATCTTCTTGTCACTTGGTTTCTCCACCATCTCCACACACATGTTTTCTTTGTTTGTTTATTTTACCACCTGTGACCTGGATGAACCTGCTGACGTCTACTGTGTCATCATCGTTCGCTTAAAAAAAAACGTTTTGGGAACTGACTTTTCGGTTCCCAAATGCTATGATTTTTGGCGTGAACACATCAGTCGGTTCGAGATTAGGTGCGGGACCCGGAACAATTCCCTGTTGGCCTGAAAAAGCTCAAAGTGCATCTTTAAAGATCCTATATTACACAAAATCGACTCTTTTTGAGCTTTAAGTTATATTATAATGTTGTTCCCTCCTCAAAAACAGGCCTGGAGTTGTGTTTTGTTTCACTCACACATGTTTGAGTAACTCTTTATTATTAATCTGTCTACATCTCCAAAGCTCAAAATGCTCTGTTCCACCTTGTGATGTCATGAAGCTGTAGTTTTCACGTTAACAGCTTCTTTTACCTTTTGTTCAGTAGAGATTGGCAATAGGCGAGTTTCAGCTGACGTCATTGTTATTAAAAGCCCGCGTTGCTGCTGGGAAATATTTTGGTCGGAGGCAAGAAACAGGATAGCGTCAAACACAGTGCGTAACCTCGCGTATTTATCCCCGATAATGGTCAATTCCTGCTGCATTATCGGATGCACAAATAGAAGCACAGAAGAAGGAAAATGTCTTTTTCGTATTCTGAGTGAAAAGAACCACTAACGGTGAATTAAACGGCTTTCAAACATCCACAGAGCAAACGTAGAAGATCCTAACAAACCGTGGACTCCAACAAGTTCAACAACACATCGAGACTCTTGGAGGTTTTCATCTTTTCTGCTGTGAATGGCCCAGGAGTTTCCACCAAGTCATTGTGGATATCAAAGAAGTGAATATTTGTCCAGGTAGTTGGCGATTCTGACCAGAAATTTGGTTTGGTTTCACCTTTTGTAGAGGTTGAAAAGGGTGATTTGTCGTCCGTCGATGCTTATGACCAATTTCTGGTCAAATGGTCTTGGGTCCTCTGCTGTTAGAGTGGATAAATAACCGGGATCAATACCCTATATGTGCTTTCTCGCTCCGTCCATCATGTTGAATTAGTGTTTCTTGCCGCCGACCAAAATAATTCCCAGCATGCAACGCGCGCTTTTGTCAACAATGAAACTCGCCTATTCCAAAACTGAAATTATCCAAATGATTGTAGTGAAGTGTGTGGAGTTTAAAAACACAGTGGAGCACTTTCTGTATCACCACATGACATCACAAGACAACTCCGCCTAAATCTGCAGGTGTGTTAGTGTGTTAAAAATGTGTGAATGAAACAAAACACGAGCCTTTAAAGCAGACACATTGTGCTTGTGTTTGCTCTATAGTTATAATCTACGACACCCGTGGATCATTGTTATAATTTGAACATTTTAAATCACAATATTGATCTAAAACGAGTAAATAAAAGAAACAAGTCCAAAGACGTCTGTGTTGGAAAACTGCGATGCCCAATGGGAGCTGATGTTATATATTTTGAGTATTTAGTTAAGTATTTTTGTGTGTTTTTTTCTCTCAGTGGTCGTCCTAACTCGTACGGCGGCGGTGTGATGGGAATGGCTTTTGTGGGGACGGTCTGCTCCTTGGCCACCTCCGGAGGCATCAACGTGGTGAGTTTGATTTTTATTATTATTTTTATTTCCAAATATTAAAATTAAGTTCACGGATCACTTTTTAAACTCATCCAGAATCATTAAAGGGGCCTTATTACGTTGTTTTCTGATCTATTTTACAATGTAGTTTCCTCGTCACACACAGACCTGGAGTTGTGTTTTGTTTCATTCACACATGTTTAACACACAAACACACCTGCAGATAGAGTTCTTCTCTGAAACAGAAAACACCTTGTTCCACCTTGTGATGTCATGTGGCAGGAAGTGCTCCACTGTGTTTTTAAACTCCACACACCTTCACTAGAATCATTTAGATTATTTCAGTTTTGGAATTGTCAATCTCTACTGAACTAAAGGTAAAAGGAGCCGTTAACATGATGACTACAGCTTCATGACATCACAAGGCGGAACAGACAGACGAATAATAAAGAGATACTCATAAAATGTGCGAATGAAACAAAACACAACTCCAGGTTAAGGTTTTAAGGAAGTAACAATATTAGAACATGGCTTAAAGCCAGTTTTGGGGAAGTTACTTTAAAAAAGTGGTGTTTGCTAATTGCTTGTTACTTCTTTAAAAAGTAATCCCTTACTTTACTTAGTTACCCTCTATAGCAAATGTCAAACTCAGGCCCAGGGGCCAAATTTGGCCCACGATATAATTATCTATGGTCGATATAATATCTGGTCTGCGAGAGCATATCAAATCTGTATTAGAGCTGGTACTACTACTGATAAGAGTATAGAGACATTATTTATTTAAAATTTTGTTATTATTTTATATTCTATTTGTTCTGGATTCAACGTTTAAGCAAAACTATTATTAAACATTTATTTTAATAAGAAAAGTTTGACATTACGTATCTCAAAAGAAGAGAAAACATGCAGGTGTTGTTGAAATTTTTCAATAAAATTTTCGTTTGGCCGCACACACAGAAAAGTAACTTTGCACTGAAATTTTATAGGAATTATGTTTTGTTTGCAGTTTTTTTTACCTGATAAAAGTTTTTTGTAACACATTACACCCAACACTGCTTAAAACTCAGATTGAGTTTTGCGTAATGTAGGACCTTTAACTGTCTTGACCTGGTTTATGGTTCATATCTTTTTAATTACTGTGACTATCCGCATGAAACAAAAGTTCAGTTTTCCTCTGCCAGTATAAATAAACAGAAGTCAAATTACCTTTTCACAACAGCTTCAGAAACTGTTGCCAATATTCAATCCCAAAAATGTGAGTGCTGTAAAAAGAACTTTAAAGATCAATAAGACAAGTTTGTGGAGCCAGTTCCAAATAAATAACAAGAAGGAAAAACATTTGTGGATCAGACATGTACAGATTTCTTTCAAAATCAGTGAACTTCCCATAGTTATGAAGTACATAGACCGACCCTCCATTTAAAACTGTGAAATCATCAAATTTAAAGGACAGGAATGTGACCAGTTTCCAGTACTTTTCTCTTCTTTCTTTCGGTTCAAACGCTTCTTAACTTGTGACACCTGCTGCCTTCACACGTCCCTTTGTCCTCGCGGAAACTGATCTCTCTACATATTTTATGAAGACAGAGAAGACAAAAAAGAGAGAGAAGGACACACCTCTTCTCTGTAACAGACGTCAAGCTGGTTAGACTAGAATGTCCTGCAATAAAGCTTTATTTGCCTTCCTCACATAAGTATAATTTGGCTCCACTTTAGATATACTGAAGGATTAAAGGAGCTGTGTCTGATAATGTCTTAAAAACAAAACAGAACCAGCTCCTTTTAAACAGCTTACAGTGGTTCAAAGTTATTCCTCACTTACTTTACGTCAGACATGGATCAGACATGGACACGGATTTAAATAATGAATTCAACATTTTGGAACATTGTACGCAAACCTGTGAACCAAAAAAGAAAGCAACAACTATTTAAAGATCCATGGTTTATTATTTGTCTGAACGTTTTAATTCTGGGGTGTAACGGTTCACAAAAAACACTGTTCTTTGTACTGTACTTTGGTTTTGAGATCACGGTTCGGTTCATTTTTGGTTTAGTTTGGAAACAAAATACAAAACCATTTGCTTGCTGTTTATTTGTGTTTTAATTAAACCAACAATTTGTTTTAACATTTTACAAACGGGAAAATAAAATAAATGCGAAGTGCTGCTTGGTCATACTAATAAGTTAAATCAAATATTCTCAAATAAGCAACAAATGTATGAAATATTATAAAACAGACATGCCAAACTTGCCAAATTTGGCCCGCAATATGATTATATTTGGCCTGCGAGATCATTTCAAATCTGTATTAGAGCTGCCCTCCAACTACAGACAGACTATAGAGACATTATTTATTTAAAATGTTGTTATTATTTTATATTCTGCTTGTTCTGGATTCAGTGTTTAAGCAAACCTATTATTAAACATTTATTTTAATCAAAAGTTTAACATTACATATCTTGAAAGAAGAGAAAACATGCTGATGTTGGTGAAATTTTTCAATAAATATTTAGTTTGGCCCACGTTCCAGTTTTTAATTTTAGCCCAGTGTAAATTTGAATTCGACACTCCGGCCTTATGTATTCAGAACATCCTAAATATTCAGCACGATGACTTTATAAGAGCTTTTCACAACCACAGCAGAATTTTCACAATTGGGGTAGGACATTATAAGTTTTTTTTTATTTTAAACTTCATCCTTCTCCTTTTGAGCACCAGGTCCCAAATATGTCCATCTACATATCCTTGTTTTTGTTTAGTTTTTTTTGTTAGTGTTGTTGATTTTGTTTTATCTTGCTCAAATAAATAATAATTAAAAAAAATAAATAAATAAAAAATGTCATGATAAAGCTAACACTAGCACTTATAAAGGGCTTTATAATTAGACGGGACACAACAGACTTATTTTAACTTCAAGAGCTGTTTATACAACATATCTGTACTGTGTTAGGACACATTTTGCTCAAATACATACTTAAATTATTGACATATTTTATATTTATTTATTTGTTTTTATTTGTTTATTTCATTCATAAAGTATAAAAAGACATTAGCCCAGTGTCCTAATATTAAACACACAAGAAATGCACGAAAAGGAGCAGAAAGAAGAGCCGTCTTTTGTTATCTGCCTCCTCTTTCCTTTTCCAGACAATACATTAATACTATACTTACTTTAAAACGTTTCAACTTTAATTTTTTTTCAATGACAAATATTAATCAGTTGCAAACAGAAGTATAATTTTATATTTTATGTCTCAAGATCTGTTTGACTTTTGGCTTTTTTTGGTTTTAGAATAACATTAATTTGTGAACGAGGAAAGTTTTGTCTTAAACGATTAAACTGGGACCGGACCGGGGACTTCTCAAGCCTTAAAGGTGCACTGCGTAACATTTCTAGTGGAGGGTCGTTATTGCTTTGTCTAGAATGTTCCACAGTACAGATTAAACCGATCTATCACGAGGGAGACGAGCAGGTTACGGCACTATTCACAGAAGGAATCATTGTATTTTTTAGCAAACACACATGATGAGTAAATGCGAGATGGATTTGATTAAAGTCACTCCATGGAACATTTCAGGCAAAGCAGTAACATCTCCAACATCTCCACCTTTGAGCATCTGAGGTCATGTTGTTGACCACATTTACTGACAGGGAGGTTTTCATCAACACATTATACTTCTGTTTTGTCTTATCCATATTCACGTTTACGTTTACCCTGCAGTAAAGTCTGTCCTCTCCAGTTCACAGACACTGCCACTGTGTCGTACTTCTCCACCATCGTCGCACACGAGATCGGGCACAACCTGGGCATGGGCCACGACAACTCCCGCTGCACCTGCGACGGAGGCTGCATCATGGGGGCAGGAGGGTGAGACACACAAACACACACATCATGGGGGCAGGAGGGTGAGACACACACACACAAACACACACATCATGGGGCAGGAGGGTGAGACACACACACACACACACACACACACACACATCATGGGGGCAAAGGTGAACACACAAACACAACACATCATGGGGCAGGAGGGTGAGACACACACACACACACACACATCATGGGGGCAGGAGGGTGAGACACACACACACACACATCATGGGGCAGGAGGGTGAGACACACAAACACACACATCATGGGGGCAGGAGGGTGAGACACACACACAAACACACACATCATGGGGGCAGGAGGGTGAGACACACACACACAAACACACACACATCATGGGGCAGGAGGGTGAGACACACAAAACACACACATCATGGGGGCAGGAGGGTGAGACACACACACACAACACATCATGGGGGCAGGAGGGTGAGACACACACAACACACACACATCATGGGGGCAGGAGGGTGAGACACACAAACACACACACATCATGGGGGCAGGAGGGTGAGACATACACACAAACACACACATCATGGGGCAGGAGGGTGAGACACACACAAACACACACATCATGGGGGCAGAAGGGTGAGACACACAAACACACAAACACACACACACATCATGAGGGCAGGAGGGCGACACACACAAACACACATCATGGGGGCAGGAGGGTGAGACACACACACACACACATCATGGGGGGAGCAGGGTGAAATACTTTGCTGAACTGTGGTTTGGACGGAGCCAGAAGTGAAGAGGCCAAGTGAACTAAAATAAACACAGTGACATTACATTAACATACATTAATCTATTATAGGGGAAATATTATTTTGTTTTGAAAAACATGCAGAGATGTGCTTTGTGTATTTGTGCACGTTCAGATCACTTCCACCTACAGCAGATTGATGTGTAGAACTCAATTCAGAGAACTTTACATCAGTCTGACGTTAGCCAGGTTATGGTCACATAAATTGTCTCCATGGAAAAGCTGCTTTGTCTGGAATGTTCAGACCTACTATTCACAGTAAGAATGCAGAGTATTATACAGCAAAAGAAACACCTGTAATTGACACCTGCAACTGAATAAATGCAAGATGTCATTGCCAACACTGATTAAAGGGTAAGGTTACAGCATAATTAGGGGTGGGTGTTAATTACAATTAATTAATTACAAAGACAATAATGCATTAAAAATATTAACACATTTTATTGCAGTTTGCCAAACAATGTGGAGACAATTATACTGACGCACACAGTTGCGACTACAACAATCCATGAGCACGGCATGAAAGCGCTCTACTATGTCTATTTAAAAAACTACCCGATGGAAGTATTGACAAAGGCGTCATTTATTGCAAACTCTGCAGAAAAGATTTTGCAGATCACAGAAGCACCTCAACCCTACGATACCATTTACCAAACTCGAACAAATGACATCCTGTGCTTTAGTCCCGGTCTCTTCTGTTCTTCAGTGGAGCAGTGTTCAGCACCTGCAGTGCAGATGATTATGAGAAGCTGGTTCTCCGAGGAGGAGGAGAGTGTCTGAAGAACCTCCCGTCTCACACTGACGTCGTGGGCATCGCCAAGTGTGGAAACGGGCTCCTGGAGGACGGAGAGCAGTGTGACTGTGGAACCCCCCAGGTCAGAGCCGCGATGTTAAAGCTCATGTGACGGGTTTTCATGTTTTTATAATTATGACTTGGTTTTGTTGGATAGTACGTGTGGTAAATTCAAATATTTTTTAATGGCAATTGGTGTGTGTGAGGTTAAAAAAAACATACAAAAATACAGGAAACTGATTTTTTGGTTTGTTATTTTCAGGAGTGTAAAAACAAATGTTGTGATGCAGCCACCTGTAAGTTCACCAAAGGCTCTGCGTGTGCGGCCGGCAGGTGCTGTGAGGACTGTCAGGTTTGTACCAATGGACTTTAAACTGTAAAAAATGAAACTGAATTTAAATAAGTTTTTTCACAACCGCTTCAGAAAGTGCTGCCATTATTCAACCCCAAAATTCTATTAATCCTTTTAACCTGTTTTGAAAGTATGGAGACTATATGTTGTGCTTTCATACTTTTTTTTTTTTTTTATAAAAGTGTTCAAATAAAGTAAGAACTGTAACTCTAGAACTTTAACTCTCGAACTCTTGAACTGTAACTCTCGAACTCTCAAACTCAACTTCTCGACTTTGACTTCTCGAACTCTTTGAACTCTCTAACATTCAAACTCTCAAACCTGAACTCTCGAACCAAACTCTTGAACTCAAAACAAACTCTCGAACTCGAACTCTTGAACTTAAAACAAACTCTTGAACTCGAATTCTCGAACTCCTGAACTCTCTAACATTTTAACTCTCAAACTTGAACTTTCTAACTCAAATTCTCAAACTCAAACTCTTGGTTCCGAACTCTCAAACTGAACTCTTGAACTCGAACTCTTGAACTCTCCAAGATTCGAACTCAAATTCTTGAACATTCGAACTATCAAACCTGAACTCTCGAACTCGGACTCTCGTACTCTCTACCACAAGAACTCGAACTCTCTAACACTAGAACCCGGACTCTCAAATTCTCGAACTCTCAAACTCTCGAACTCTAATCTAACCGTTCTGTCCTGTGTGTTTAGCTCAAAGTGGCTGGGACTCGGTGCAGAGGCTCTGAGAACACCTGTGATCTGCCTGAGTTCTGTTTGGGGGATAGTGCGTTTTGTCCTGATGATTTTTACCTGATGGACGGACTCGAGTGTCAGAACGGAGCGGCGTACTGCTACGAGGGACGCTGCCAAACCTACGACTACCAGTGCAGACAGCTCTTCAGCCCAGGTACACGGATTTAACAGGTTTAAGTATTAGCACTGTTACTTTAATATGAGGTTAAACTGTGAAAAAGATCTATTGTGCTTGTGGCTGTAGATCATTAAGGTTATAAATCTCAATATTGATCTAAAACGACTTAATAAAAGAAACAAATGAGAAGGAAACAAGTACAACATGGTTAAAAACTCTGAAAAGAAAAAATTTGCTGACTAGTTTTCTGCTTTAACAGTGACTTGATAATGTTATTTTTCAGATCCAGCCACAAAAGCTGCTGATATCTGCTTCAGTTCTTTAAACATTCGAGGAAACGCGTACGGCAACTGTGGTCCCACTGCCTCCGGGGGCTTTAAGAAGTGCTCCACTGCGTAAGTCTAATATTTAGAACTATAAAACAAACCAGCCTGGTTTATCTCTACAGTCCCAGTTCTGCAAAGGAATTTCCTTAAAAGCACATAGGTCCCGTGCATGGTCCGGTTTATTTTTTTTTTTGTAATAAGACACCAAAATAAAATTACATTCAGAATGTTTAATGTTCAACTCATTAGTGGGCTGCTTCTAAAATTAAATTGTTTTCTGTTGCTATTCTTTTTTTAATCACCCTTGCATTTATATAGATATATAAATATATAGACAATATCTTAAAAATATGTTTAGAAGTTTAGATAAGTGACTTAGTCTACGTTCAGACTGCAGCCTGAAGTGACCCAAATCTGATTTTTTTTTGGCTTCTATGTGACCTGTATCTGATCTTTTAATGACAGTCCGAACGACACAGATCCGATTTTTTCAAATGTGACCCAGGACACTTGGATATGTGGTCCTGAAACCGATACATATCTGATCTTTTGACATGCGACTTCAGTCTGAACGGCCAAAGTGCATTCATCCACCTACACGTTATCAACAAGACACAAATGTCACTATTCTGCGCTGAAGTAGGAAAATTGTTAATGAACTCCGTGTCACTGAAGTGAAGCACATCACCACTCACCACTCTTGGCTACGTCTCCGTATCCACATGTTCCTTTCAACGGACGTCGCTGCCGCTGTCCCACAAAACACCACAGCCAAAAACCTCGTCCTTCTCTTTCTCAATCTCCTCCTTAAAACAAGTAAGTTGTTCATGTTTTGGCTCCGGTACGAGAGGAACTTTAAAATCTCCAGGTGCTCGATGCTGCGTCCATGTTTGGACAACTTCCGTAAACACAGAGACGCTCGCTGTGGTTGACGTCGTCGTGTCTCCAGTGTCACATGTGGGACACTTTTGGGCCGTTTATCGTTCACACTGGAGTCACATACAAGTCACATTTAATTGGAAATGTGAACGAGCTCGCAAAAACATCGGATTTCACAAAAAAATCGGAATTGAGCATTAAGCCCTGCAGTCTGAACGTAGCCATAGATGAGAGATCAGCACAGTTTATGCAAATGAGCAATGCTGTTATAAGTTTTGTGTATGTTAAACGTAAACAAATATGTGCAAAGCCGCATTAAACATATTATAACCACAAACGGCTGATGTGGCTCTGGAGTTTCCTCTGCTGAAGGAGTTCATGGTGGTTTGTATTTTTTCCTGATTTATTAAATATATCATTTTTGCACCTGCACATTTGTATGATTATGTCAGGAAATAAGGATACTACATTTATAACCGGGAAACCGATGTGCATGTAAACACACTCAGAGAAGCAATGGTAATAAATTCTAACACTCTACTTAAAAATTTAACAATTACTTAGATTAATAAAGTGAAAGTGCTGAATACTGATCTCTTTTTTCCCACCTTGTTGATAATTATTGTGAGAAATTATGAACGCGATCAGTATCTTCACATAGATGACTATCATTAACAATTAATAATGTATAACTAAAGGCAAACTGAGCACATTTGTTATTTCAGAAGAGTGTATCAAACTGGGAGCCCTTCGTATGACTCAGTACCCATGAAGTAGCTCTCCGTTTCAAAAAGGTTGCTGACTCCTGCTTTTTATGTTCTGTTTTAGTTGCAGAAATGTGATGTGTGGGAAGGTGCAGTGCATGAACGTGGACGCCAACAACCCTCCACCAGGAGCCAGCATCAGTAACCAGGTCATAAACGGGACGAACTGTGTGAACGCCGACTTTAACCTGGGACCTGACGTACTGGACCCGGGATACAGTAATCCGGGCAGCCCCTGTGCTCCGGGCAAGGTGAGAAACGCTGATCAAGCAGGAAAATAAGCAAAAAGGCCCATATTACCGTATTTTCTGATCTGTTTAATAATGCTGTTTTGTGTTGTGTTACTGAGATGTGTTTTGTTTCATTCACACATGTTTAACACACAAACCCTGCAGATTTAGGATGAACTTTTCTCTCAAACTGAAAACACTCTGTTCCTCTTTGTGATGTCATGTGGTGATACAGGAAGTGCTTCATTGTGTTTTTAAGCCATTTCATTTGGATCATTTCAGCCCAGGAATTTCTGGAATTACTGACCTAAAGGTAAAAGGAGCTGTTCACTTAGGTGGAACTTGAGCATTTTGAGCTTTGGAAATGTGGACAGACTAATAATAAAGAGTTACTCATGTGTGAATGAAACAAAACACAACTCCAGGTCGGTTTTTGAGGAGATGACGTTCAAACATGACTTAAAGCTCACAAGAATCAATTTGGCATAATAAAGGATTTTTAGTCCACCCAAAATCAGAAAAAAGTCAATAAAAAATACAACAAACAGGTATAAACTTTGAAAAAATATTACAAAAATAAACGGTATGGACAGAACAGCAGTGTAAAGCAGCAGAGGAAAACAGATGAAGTTTGGCTCACGTGAATTATTTAAAGTGTTGTCATAAAGAGGTGAGAAACTGACACCTGCTTGTCCCATGAAAACGTCACTGCTTTACCTGAAATGTTCCACAGTTGGTTTTAAACTAATCAAACAGCCCCCCCTAGTGGAGTGTTTTCTCTGGCTTTCAAAGCTTTGTGAGTTGTGTGGTCACCAGTGTATTTTGTGATTTTACTTATTTCATTCTTTTTATTTTATGTATTTTTCTTAGCCTATTATTATTTATTTATGCATTTATTTTTGTGCAGCACTTTGGAAACATTAGTAAATAAAATCTGCTGTATAAACGTTCAGTGCGCTCAACATCGCCCTCTGGTGGTCATGTGGGACTCATAGAACTGTACTTCCGTCTGTTTTACGCCAGTCTGTGGAACATTTCAGGCAAAATATGGAGGTTCAGAGCGACCGTCCACCATGAAACGACACAGCATTAATCACCAATAAATGCTGTATTTTTCGAACTATAAGTCACTCCGAAGTATAAGTCCACCAGCCAAAAAATGCGTAATGAAGAAGAAAAAAAACATAAAAGTCACACTTTTGGGGGAAATTTATTTTCTAGAATCAGAGACCAGGAACCGACATTTCATGGTGAAAGTCAAGTTGTGGTAAAAACAACAGAAGAGAGAAGAACAGACTGTTAACATCACATATGAACAGTTCTTCAGATAAACTATAACATCAACAACAGAACAGAACAAGTTTAACAAACTCTCCATCTCACTCCAAATCACTAAATCCATTCAATTCTTCATCCTCGGTGTCACTTCTGAGCAACTCGGCCTCAACCTCTGGAGGTAAACGTTGCGCCACTTCCTCTTCTGTGTCTCTGTCGTCAGACTCAGCATCAGTTCCAGTTAGAATTATTCCGGCCTTTCTGAATCCCTCCTGGTTACCGTGTTTCTGTGTTCTTCATCCCCGCTTTCCACCAGTCTCTCACAAGTTTCTCGCTCATTCCAAACTTTCTTTCTTCTGCTCGATTACCGTTTTCTTCTTGAGTATTTCATGACTTGCAGCAGGACAAGGCTCTTTCTGCAGGAGACATGTGCAGTAGAGCCAAGTGACAGTGGTACAGGAGGAACAGGAGCAGCAGATACTGACAAACAAGACTAGAACCTTTCGCCGCTTCAGTGTGAAAATTTTAATATATAAGTCGCACCGGAGTATAAGTGGCAGGAAACAAACAAACCATGAAAAAAAGTGCGACTTATAGTCTGAAAAATATGGTACTCAGATATTTAAAGATCCCTTAAATATCTGTGCTGTTTTCTGATCTAGGGCTTTTAAAATGTTTGTTTTTCAGACGTGTGTGGATTTCACTTGTGTGAACGCTTCAGTTCTTCTGCCAAAACTCGACTGTGATGCCAAAACCACCTGTAACGGGCGAGGGGTGAGAACAAAGAACTAAAGAACTCATAAGAACTATTAACCTAGTATTTACTTGAATTTACAGATGTGTTGTAATTTACATTTGTGTTCAGGTTTGTAACAATTTGGGCCACTGTCACTGTAACGTGGGCTGGGCTCCTCCAGACTGTGCCTCTTCAGGTCGAGGAGGCAGCGTCGACAGCGGACCAGCCACTATAGGTAATATTTTCTTATTTGTTTACATAATACTAATACATAATAATAGATATTTTAGTATTATTGTAAGGTTCAAACATTTGCAAAGCCTGTTTGACACTTTGTGCTCCCAAGTTCCACCTCAGCTCCACAAAGCGTCTTCTGATCTGTCATAATGTAGTTTCCTCGTCACAAACAGACCTGGAGTTCTGTTTTGTTTTCTTCACACAAGTTAACTCACAAACCCTGCAGATTTAGGCTCGACAATGCTCCTGGATTTAAATTTTTTTTTTTTTTTTTGCGGTGTTGAAACAAAATTTGCGTCCACACACGTGTCGGATCAATAAATATTCACGTTCAGATGACAACAGAGCACTGAGTGAAAACGATGTAATACATGTGCCTCACCTGTATGTGGCTCTGTAAACAGGATACAGCCAGAGCCGCTGGACACACAATACTACAAAGAGCACATGTGCATGAAGTCCTTCCTCTTCTGCAACAAATAACAGAGTAGATTAAAAGGTTTTGATGCAACAGTGCAAATAAAGTTAGAAGTGTCCGCAGCACAAACTCAACCCTGTCGTCCACCATGGTTGTTCTTATAGTTGTTACGGGTTGTTGCGCAGGGTTCTCTTCTGGTCTCGTTTTCCCAAAGCTGTGGTTTGTTTGTCCACACGACAACGCAACGCCAGCCTTCTCAGATTTCTCCACTCTGGAACCTGTTTTCAAAAACCAGTTTTCGCCCACCTGAAACACCAGCGCCGTGTGGACAAAAGAGCAAACCATTTCAACCAAAAAACGTTGTCGTGTGGACATCACCTTAGGCTGAGTTCTTCTTTCAAACCGAAAACACTGTTCCACCTTGTGATGTCATGTGGTAATACAGGAAGTGCACCACTGTGTTTTTAAACTCCACACACCTTCACTAGAATTTTCACAATTTCAGCCCTGGAATTGCTCATCTCTACTGAACTAAAGGTAAAAGGAGCTGTTCACTTGAAAACTACTGCTTCATGACATCACAAGGTGGAACAGAGCATTTTGAGCTTTGGAGATGTAGACAGATTAATAATAAAGAGTTACTCAAACATGTGAATGAAACAAAACACAACTCCAGGTCTGTTTTTGACCCGTAATATAGAGGGATTATCAGAATACGTCACTTCTTGCTCTACTGCGCATGTCTCCTGCAGAAAGAGTCTCTGTCCTGTCTGTTTTCTGTTTCATGTCAGTGTCTTGTAGGATTTCAGCAGATTTCAGACTCTCACGGGGGCGGGGGTAGGTGTATGGATCAGGTATGAGTGGATGTCCAGCTACTAAAGTTTGAGACGTTTCTTCTCATCATTTATACACTCACCTGCATTTAACGCATACAGGTCATTTAGACGTATCACACTCATGTTAGTTTAGAGCATCATAACGATAAACTGTTTAACAACTTCATGTTAATCGCACAGACAGCAGCGCTTTCTCCACTCAGTTGATAAACAAATAAACTTGCCCCAAAATTAAATGAATCCACGGAGAGCCGAGCGCACTTAAAAACTCTTTACTCAATCCTCACATATTTAGGACACACAAAGAGAAACAAAAAGGGAAATTTTCAGACAAAGGACGATGTTAACCAAACAAATGACCAAAAATAACCACAAATAAATAAAACAAAAAAGTCAAATTTGGGGAATCCAGTTACAGGGCCTTTTCTCAAGAGTCTGTGCTTGTGTGTCTTTCAGATTACTCACTGAGAGATGGACTCCTGATCTTCTTCCTGTTGGTGGTCCCTGTTGTGGTTTTGGTGATTTTATTGTTTCTCTACATATTCAGACGAGACACGCTGGACCCCTGCCTCAAGAAAAGACACAAGTAAACATCTCCTCTGCTCCTCTGCTCTTCTGACCATCTCCTCTGCTCTTCTGACCATCTCCTCTGCTCTTCTGACCATCTCCTCTGCTCTTCTGACCTTCTCCTCTGTTCCTCTGACCCTCTCCTCTGCTTCTCTGAACTTCTCCTCTGCTCCACTGACCTTCTCTGCTTCTCTGACCCTCTGTTTTTCATCCTCTGGTCCTCTTCTCTTCTCTTCTCTATCTGACCCTCTGCTTCTCTGACCTGCTCCTCTGCTCCTCTGACCCTCTTCTACTTGCTGCCATTTTGATTAGTTACCTTAATTTTGCTCATTCAGTTTGCAATTTTGTTTCAAATAATGCTTACTTTCTATAATACAATTTAAAATGTGAATGTTACTGATCCAAACAAAAACAAAAAAGTCCCTAAAACAAACAAGAGTCCCTAAGTCCCTCAGTCGTCTAGAAGTGGGCCATAGTAGTCGACAAAGTGAGACAATCTGAATAAATCTAGAAAACAAATATTAAACTGCAGCTTTGATAAAGTAGAAATCCAATCCAATCCAACTTTGTCTTGTTTATAAAATGCGCTATACAAATAGTTCTTAAAGTACTTCAGCATAGTAATGTAAAACATTTAACTTAAAAGAAAATAAAGAATCAGCAGAATTATGTTCCAACCATGAGGAAACTAATAGAATCAATCAATAAATTAAAATAACAATAATAAAATCAATGAACAAAAATAATAAAATAAATACATGAAAGCAGTAAAAGCCGAAAATAAAATTAATTAATTATTAATTAAAAAAAAGACACAGAGGACCACACAACTCACACTGTATTAAAAGCCAGAGAATAAAAGTGGCAAAGTTTGGCATTAAATTATCTCCAAGGACACAAGCAGGTCTGGCCACATTAAGAATGCATGTTTTTCAAGGTAGTTATGAACAATAAACTTTATAAAGTGTTATAAATCCACAAGGAAAATGGGTGTAATTGGCTATAAGCAAGATATACTTTTAAAGCCATACGGTGGAGCATTCTGGGCCATCCCATAACATCAGCAACACTTACTCATGTTTTTTCTTTCCAGATCTCGTAGCACCACAGACCGTGCCCCTGCTCCGGCTCAGAGGACTGCACCTGCCCCTGCCCCTGCCCCTGCGCCTGCCCACACGTACCCCCAGTCTCCAGCGCCCCCTGTGGAGAGGGTAAATGTGTCTGCTGCTTAGATCTGCTCTAAAACTGTTTATGTGAGTTTAATATGAGTCAGGTTCACCACCGGGACCAGACGACACTGAGGTGACGAGGTGACAGACACTGGTGTTAAAGATAATACTCACGTTTTTATTATGGTACATGCAGAGGTGGATGAAGTAGACAAAAATGTACTCAAGAAAATTACTGCTAAAGGAACTGTATGTAGTAGGGTGCATCATTTGCCCAATGTTTTGAAAAATGTGTCTGTACCTAGTGTCATTTTTTTACACTTGCCAAAGTAAACTCCCATGAGAAATTTCATGAAATTCTATTATTGGGTCCACCAAGCCTCTGAAGTTTAGTGCTTGCGGGAGCCTTAAATCTGAACTGAAAAATCAAATTTTTCTTCAATAGCATCAAAAATTATTAATTTAGCCCAATAGTATCAATAGAAGTTCAATATAAATCTGAATATTGCAGATCATTGGTTTTATGTCACTATCGTAAAACTGAGATATGGCAAAAGTGTTATTTCTTTGGGACTTCAAGGACCTTGAATAAGCAATATTATAAAAAAATATATATAGCCAGAACTTTATGGACACTGTTAGGATGAAATTTAAGAGGCTTGGTGGACCCAGTAGATATTCAATTGAGCTAATATTCCACAAATTTTCTTTTAAACCGGTATTGTCACATTTTAAAATTTGGTGCAAGTTGAATTTCTGACATTGGGGCAAATGAGTATGAGTACGTATGAGTATGAGTACCCTAGAATGTAGTCTGTGTTATTACTGTTTAAAATATGTATTAATTTCAAAACTGAACCTGTGTTGCCAAATCCTTCACCTGCAAACGGAGACAAGTCCAAGTTTGTCTCATTCTCAGTAAATGGACAGACCAGGCCTCGTGTGAAAGCTCAGAACCTCCAGAATTCCCTCCCTGAGCTGCAGAGGCTGCACTAGCACTGACTCAGAATTGGCTGCGGGTGCTGGGGTTTGGGTAGAGACCATTCAGATCAGAGAGAGGTATTTTAGGTTTAAACCAGCTGAATTTCAGCATCGAAACTGGCAATGCAAAGGAGAGAGTCACGTCAGGCTCTTTCTGCTTTCTGGATGGATCTGATTGGAAGTCTTGAACTAAAACACCAAATTATAACAAAAACAACTTGTCCATCATGTCCAATGTTTTTGTAACTAAGAATAAATCCGTAAAAGCTGTATTTCTCTTGAATATATGTTTGTCGTATCTGTGAACACGGGTAACGATTCTGAAATTTAAAACCAAAATCTTACATACAGTTTCTTTTTTAAATAGTATAACTCAAGTGGAAGTTAAAAGTAGTGGTCCAAAATAACTTTATAACATCAGAAAATAACGTAGCGATGAACAAGTCAAAACAAAATATTACATCTGAATGGTCAACTGTTCTCAAAATGTCAATGAAGAGTAGCATCATTTTTTGGGTCCTTTTTTCACCTATGCCCAAAACAATAACTTTTACATTTTGATGAGTTTAATTTCTTTTTGTTCATTTAATAATTCTGTTCTGTTTTTTTTTATGTCCAGGCTGGATACGCACCTTCATACAACAATGAGCCTGGGTAAGAACTTTTACAAACTGTATTTTGCCTGTAATAAGACTCTGTAGATTAGATTAGATTTATTGTCATTGTACAAAATACAGTGAAACTTCAACAGAGCAGAACTGCAGCAGTAAAAATGAATAAATATAGACACTTTCTCACATCCATATCAATAAAAACATTGAATAAGTAAATAGATTAGTACAGAAATAGAGAGTCCCTTAAGATCGTTTATCTGTGCCTGTGCTCCTGGAGCTCGTGGGTAGAAGCTGTTGTGCAGCTGTTTGTGCATGTGTGGGGAGTTTGAAGTCTTCCCGAGGGGAGAGTACAGAAGAGGCAGTTTCCAGGGTGTGTGGGGTCGTGCAGAATGTTGGAGGCCCGTGTGTGCAGACGTGAGGAGTAGATGGTGTCCAGGTTCGGGAGAAAGGAGCCCACCGCCCTCTCAGCTTTTCTGACCACTCGCTGCACATCCTTCTTTCTCAGCAGCTGTGCAGGCTTCGTACTAGTCAGGCTGGTGCCACCTAGTGCCTCCGCTCAATTTCATTTCTCTCCAGGGACTAGGTCAGAAATCGGAATACACTAGACGGTTCGCAAAAACCCCGGAATTGTGAGTTCGGGCAGCAGCCAATCAGAGAAGAGCCAGACATTCAGTGTTGTCAACTATTCCCGAGATCGAGGATTTAAAGCCGGAACAAAGAGAATGTTTTGTGAATTTTATCAAGGGAAATGCATTATTGTCCTCTTTCCTACAAGATTTGGGAAAAGCTTAATATACCAGTTAGCCCCATTACATACGTCATGACCAAATAACAGAGATAGGTTAAATAAAAAAGTACCGAACGAATCCTAATGCTGTGAGGTCAGACTGTTTCCACGAAGTGAAACCGGCTGATGAATGAGGCTAGCTTCGCACCATAATGTGGAGAAATATGTCAGAATGCTTTCAGTGGTGCACAGGTAGAAGTTGATCAGCAGTTTCTGGGAGAGCTCATTGCGGCACATAAAAAAAAACAAAAAACAAACAGTCTCTGCTGGGCACGCTTTATAATGCTGGAAGTGTTTAGGCTCCAGCTCAGGTCCTCACTGACTTTTACTGTCTTAAAAAGTGAAAACATACCTGACTGTCTGCAGGGCTCCAAACGTATCCCTCTTTTCTTTCCTATTTATTCATCACGATTATGGAAGCACTGATCCAGATTGTTCAGTTCAGTTCAGATTTCAATAGTATGGACTTGGATATATTTCACTGATAAAGATTTTGGTTCAGACACGGTTCAACTTCACTTTTCTCTCCTTAAATCACACGTTTCTGAGTTTGTGTGTTGAGAAAATAATTATGGTGGGTGAAAACAACAGCTCCATGGACCAGAAAAGCAAAAAAATACATTATGATCTGTTAAAATGCCCATAGTTTTGCTTCAGGGTCACTCAGTCTGAATGTTGAGGAGTATTTTTCTAATAAAATGGAAAGAGGAGTGCAAAATAAAATTAATATCTGTACAGGGCCCAGACAAATTTTTGTTGATTACACAGACACTTTGAAGGTAGTTACTCAGGAAGAGACGAGACACAATTTCCGCTAGACGAGATACGAGATTGAGCCCATGAAAATGAAAAAAAAAACAAAAAAAAACAAGATTTTAATTCCTAACAATTCCTAACATATAAATTTCATAGTTCAGTTTCCAATTTTTAATTTTTTGATTTCATAGATTTGTTTCCATTCTATTAACACTTTTTGGCTTTTTGTAAGAGAGATCACTTACTAACACATGACCATTACTGAGCTGTATTTTTCTTTCCCAGTTTGAGATATGGAGAGTTGGATTACTGGAACTCCCAAGACCCGGACAAGCCTCAGCCCGGGGTCCAAACGAGACCTCCTCCCCCCAGGCAGGGCCCCGGAGTCCCCCGGCCGATCCCCCCAAGAGCCCCTATGGACACATGACTCTGGAACTGTAGGGAACATTTTAAAGCTCTCATATTTGTCATATTTTTCCGTGACTTGACAATCTTGCCTGTTGCTACTGTTTGACTCCCCACTGTGACCAGGAGAGGGCGCTAGCTTCACAAGCCTAACTGTGAAAGGGGGAAAAAAACATCAGCACTAACTCAATGAGGCCATTTGTACATAAAGCTCAGGTAAATATATAAAAGAAAAGATGTAATAAAACATAATGTGGGAGCTTGAAATCTAAAAAACGTTCACATGAAGACAGAATTTGTACTTTTAAATGAATGTAAAATATGACACACTGGAAATAATATGTTACAAGAGAAAATATTATGTATTTTAAATTAATTTGTGTAACTTTTTTGGAACTGTTTTGAATGAATTGTAAATTAAAGTGAGTTTCTAACATAAAAACGCTGTGTTTCTAGAATCTTCTGTGTGATAAAGCTGTGTGTACACTTACTGTGTCAATGCAATTCAGAGCATATTCCTCTATGATACTGTGCTTTTCTTCAGATTTTGGTTTTACAAAGCCTTAAATTGTATTTGTTAGGTCCAGCAGCCCATAGTGCACTAAAAACATAAAGCACAATCTTGTGTGTGCAGACGGTGCACTACAGACACTACCAGACATAACAATGGAAATGGAGGTTTATCACAGACTGTGATTATTACATTATTACTCTAAGATGGCTCACCTTTCCACAGATCTGATCTGTAACTTGGCCTGGTGGTGTTACTTGCTGCAGTAGCTTTTGTTTGGACTGGTAACAAGTCCAGCTCCTTACAGGTCTGAGGAGGCATGATTTTTCTACATGTTTTTTCTCAATATTCTCTAGTCAGTGAGTTCTTTGCTCTCAAACTGCACATGACAGGAAATAATTTTATAAAACTTTCTAGTCACTTCAGTTGGAAATTCCATCCCTCCATCCATTTTCTGCAGTTTTATCTGGGGCAGCAGTCTGAGTAGGGAGGTCCAGACTTCCCTCTCCACACACACTTCCTCCAGCTCCTCCAGGGGGATCCCGAGGTGTTCCCAGGCCAGTCCAGAGACAAAGTCCCTCCAGAGTGTCCTGGGTCTTCCTCAGGGCCTCCTCCCGGAGGGACATGCCCAGAACACTTCCCGAAGGAGGCGTCCAGGAGGCATCTGGAACAGATGCCCTTTGTTTTGAGGGTTGCCCCGAGAGAACAGGTCCCTCCTCGGTTCATGAGGCCAGTTCTTCCTTCGTGCGTGACTCTCCAGCCGCGCAGGGAAGCGTCTGTGAGCTATGACCATAGACCCACAGGGGCCCCCATAGTCAGGAATATGACCTTACCCAGAGCTTTGTTTTGTTTCATTTACACATACTTAACACACACACCCTGCATATTTAGGCTAATTTCCTCTCAAACAGAAAACACTCAGTTCCATCTTGTGAGCACACACAAAATAGAAATTTATATATATATATATATATATATATATATATATATATATATATATATATATATATATATATATATATAGATATATAGATATATATATATATATATATATATATATATATCTATGTATGTGTGGTAGATCTGGGCCTCTATTGTTCTAGTGCTCAAGGCCTCCTCCTGTACTATTATACATGCACATTTGTGGGTTTTTTATTATTAGTTCTTTTTTATTATTTATTTATTCAAATTCTTTTATTAGTAGTGAGGAAGATGATAACCAAGAATTGGCTGAAGGTTCTGCCCCCCACAGTGGAGCAGTAGCGAGAAAAAGCTTAAAAAGAATGTATTTGAAGGAGAAAAACACAGCACAGTCTAATTTTTATTTAGGTGGTTATTAAGGAAGAGGTCATTAGCATCACACACTCAGGCTATAACTGTGGTTTCCTGTGTCAGTGTGGACAACCTCATGTCTCACACCATCACTCACATTCTGCTGAAGCACCAGAGTTTAACAGATCCTGATCCTGAGTCTGTGATGGCCACTGAGCTGGTTTATATAAATATGGAGGAAGCAGCAGAATGGGCCAGTCCAGATGAAAATATTTATGAAAACTTTGATGAGGACCCAAATGAGGACTTTGTGGCTGCTCCATCAGGTCAGAATTGTTTATTTCAATTTTCTGTCGGTCCAGTGCAGATGACAGGTTTTCATGTAGTTCTAATTCTGACTTGGTTTATATTTATAAAGGTTTTACAGTTAAGTGGATGTTTGTGAAGATAAGAAAAAGAAAATTACCAGAAGTAGAGCTGCAGTCTAAAAGGGAATTCCTCTGGCATCAAAATTCTATCCAAAAGCTCAGACATTTTACACACAAGGAGCACAATTTTCTTACAGTTTAAACATTAATGCAAGAAAATAAAGTTGTTGTCATAAAAATGATGAAATTACTTCCCAAGCCCAAGTCCAACCAGGAAGTTAAATTATAAACTTCACCAAAAGTGTGTAAATATATAGACTGTAGGTCAGTCAAAATCATCTAGAATGTTCAAATTATATAATAACTTTGTCCATAACCATTCACAGTGACAGAACCAGTGCACAGTTCCGTGTCTGACAGGAAATTGTCCACAGCTCCGTCAAAGGACGAGCCCCGCGCTCACAGAGGAGTTGTGTGGACAGTGGTCATAGTTCTGCTCTCTGCTCTGCTGCTGGCTGCGCTCGTCTTCATCGTGTTGAGTATGTTTCAGATTTCACTTTGTCCTGCACACAAACCCAAATGACACATGTCTTTGTCTTTAAGCCAAGATCGGAGAGAACACAAAAACCAGTCAGATGAAGATGTGGATCACCAATCTGACCAGTGAGAGGGACGAGCAGCAGGAGAGGAACATCGACATGAAAACATCTAACCACAGCCTGAGTGCACAGATAAACCTGCTGGAGGAAAACATTCAAACTTTAGATGGAGATCGGAATAAGCTGAGGAAAGAGCTCCAGGACCTGAAGGAGAGACATGCAGACCTCAGGCGCATTATGGGTGAGTCCTGGAGACTAAAGGGTTAAGGTGGACTTTCTTTATTGATTTTTATTATTTCTCCCTATTCTGTACAGAGTCCAGGATGTTTTGAAAGGCTCTTATGAATAAAATGTATTATTATTGTTACTGACATGAATTTCACAGAGCAGGTTACCTCCACTTAGACCTATCACATTTTAAAAACGAACAATGCATTTGAAGTGCACTCTGAAGCGTTGCAGTAAAGCAGGAAGCAGTTTTTGTAACAGGCTGCGGTGAAAAGTTTGGTTTAACATTGACCCCAGGGCTTAGAAAAGGCGAACTATTGCTCCTTCTAAAACCTGTCTGTGTTATGTCCTACATAAAACGTGCAGAATCCCTTTGCATGCCGCTCCACAGATGCAAAGGGAGGGAGGGTCAGCTCTATGTTCCACAGCTCCATGTTCACATGCAAGAGCACAGGTTTGGTCTCAGCTTTGGTGGGGACATTATCAGTTTTGCACATCGCAAAAACCAAACAGCACATCTTTATAAGAAAAGGTAAAATGGGATAATTCAATTTAATATAATGAATTCTTTCCAAAAACACACAGAGTCTGGGCAGGTCCAAATAAGTGAGAGGTGGTTTCATTTTTCAGTTTGTGTCCATTGCCCTAAGATGATTGTTTAGCGGAGAACAGTAGAAGTTTGTAGCAGATTTGTCTTTGCTTGTTGGTGATGAGATATTTGTGAGGTCATGTCCCTACATTTTTCTGTGGAATATTGTTAGTAATGGCGGGACGGTGGCTGAGTGGCTAGCACTCATGCCTCACAGCAAGAAGATTCGATCCCCAGGTCGCCCGGGCCTTTCTGTGTGAAGTTTGCATGTTTCTCCCCGTGTCTGGATGGGTTTCCTCCGGCCATAGGTCTCCAAAAACAGTTAATAGTCAAGGTCAATTAAATACAATCAATCAGAGACATCAAAAGACACTTCATCAACATTGCCTAGTATGAAAGTGGTGTGTGTGTGTGTGTGTGTGTGTGTGTGTGTGTGCCTGTGTGTGCGTGCGCGTGCGTGGTGATAGTTGCTCTTTTTCCACAGTGACTCATTTTAAGACAAGTTTAATTGAAGATGAAGCCAAGTAAGTTCCTTTTGAAGAGTTTTTGAAAGTTTGTTGCAGCGTCTTCACTCACGTCTGCTCAAGCCACCATCTTCAGGTGCGGCCCTGTCCTGCCGCTTCCCCAGTTTAGGCTCCAGGCTCCAATAATGACATCACTTTGTTGCAGCCAATGAAATAACGGCAGGTGTAACCCTGTCGTCATATCACTGAATACATCTCAGAACGTCTAATAAACAAAATGTGAACTAAAACATGTTCAATTAATACTATTGAGTTTGGAATTATATTGGTGGAAATTTATATTTTTGTTTATTAAAATAAAATGGCAAATATTGGTTGTGACATGTCCCCACCGGTTTGAGTTGTAAGGTTATGGTTAAGGTTAGGGCCAGGGTGACGGTAAGTGTCATGGATTTACTTTTAAAAATATCTTGAAGACAATGATAAAAAACAAAAAAAACAAAGCTTTTTTTTTTTTTTTGTCTTTTGATAGAGACCATAAGTTGCCCTCAAAAGATGGGTAAGATTTGGAAACAGCATATATCTGTTTTCAGAAATTGCAAAGAACTGGACGAACAGCAGACAGCAGTGTGAGGAGCTCGGGGCCAGTCTGGTGATCATCTCCAGCCCAGAGGAGCAGGTGAGTCCACTGACACTGCACCATCCAAAACACCATCCAAACATGCTACAGGGGAACTGTCACTCATAAGGTTTATAATGTGTTTTTGTGTTTAGGCTTTTGTGAGTGAGTTGACTCCTCAGAGTGTGTGGATCGGTCTGACAGACAGAGAAACAGAGGGCGTGTGGAAATGGGTGAATGGAGAAGCAGTAAACACCACGTACGTAAGACCTTAACTTAGACAGCAGCAGTTCAACAGGTCATCAAACCTTATAACTAAAAATTATTAATCTGTCTGTAGGCACTGGAGACCCAATCAGCCAGATAACTGGAGAGAAGAAGACTGTGGAGAGATTTCTTCTTATAAACTGTGGAATGACAGAGATTGCAGTGAGAAAAAGCACTTTGTCTGTGAGAAACAGATTCCTGGTGTGTGTAACTGTCAGTTCTAGTGCTCCTGGAGTTGTCGTCACAATTCCAAGATGCACCTCCAAACCACAAAGTTTGATATGGGCCACGGACCTTTTCCGCTCATTCTGATCTCCTCTATGATATTGTGCTTTTCTTCAGATTTTGGTTTTACAAAGCCTTAAATTGTATTTGTTAGGTCCAGCAGCCCATAGTGCACTAAAAACATAAAGCACAATATTGTGTCTGCCAGTGGAACAGCAGACACTACCAGACATATCAATGGAAATGGTTTTTCATAGACTGTGATAAAACCTTTGAAGACATTCATTCTTACTCTTAGATTTTGTTTGGACTGGTAACAAGTCCAACTCCTTACAGGTTTGAAGAGGCATGATTTTTCTACAGGCTTCTCTGTTTTTTCTCTGTATTCCTGTGACTAACCAGCTTTAGTCAGTATGAGTCCTTTGCTCACATCCTGCACATGACAGGAAATCATTGTATAGTATTATAGTATTATCTTATTAGTGTTAATAATTGTTCTATTCCTATTTATCTATGTGCTTATTGTGGGTCTTGTATGTCAATATCTTTGTTTTTAATATCTTTATAAATCTTAAATGTATGTTTTTATATTCTGTTTATAAATGTGAAATTTTGGGCATACTATTTTGTTAATAAATATATTTTTTGTGGAATTGATTGTGTTGTGTTGTATTAATTTACAGTAAATTCTAGAAGCATTTATAATATTTATACTATATTTACTATCAGTAAAAAAAAAGTATAATATTTGTATTTTGGGCTTTTAAAAAAAATAATTTTCCTCCAAAATGACAATCAGCGTTTGTCCACTGATCTGAAGGTTGGCGGCTCGAATCCCTCTCTTGACATAAAAAACATCATTGGTTGAGTTGTCAGATCCACTGGTTGGCTGGTGTGATTCCAGCTTCCACAGACGAATGCTGTGTTGTGTTGTTGGGCAAGACACTTAACCCAGAATGTGTGAGTGAGTGGTTCGTTGTTGTGAAGTGCTCTGGAGTGCCTTGAAGGTGGTAAAGCGCTATAGAAAAATCTGACCATTTACCATTCTAGTCACTGTGTTGTTTTGGGTCTGACTGAACACAAAGAGAGAGAGAGATGATAAGTTTTTACCATCCGACATCCTGTAACAGAGCTTAAAACTACCACAGTTGGAAATTGATTATTTTTATTCAGCTCTATTCATTTCTTAAAGTTATAATAATAAATAATAATAAAATGATGAAACATTAAATAAGTAATAAAAATCATATTTGTGTTTGTATTTTTTTGTTGGACGATTTAACACGTGACCTCACTCCTCGCTTTGATTGGTCGAACGCTCAGCTCTCAGAATCATAACACGGAAGTGCTGGTTCTTGTTTACCTCATGGCGGCTCCTTCATTCTGTTCTTATTTTCATTTTTAAACACATTTCTGTGGCTCCATGGCTTCGGGGCTTGACTCGCGGGTTTGCCTGGTTGTCCTGTGCGGTTTGCCGGCGGTGGGTAAGTCCAGTCTGGCCCGGGAGCTGCGTGAGGCCGCGGCGGGGCTCGGGTGGAGGACGGCGGCGCTGAGCTACGACGAGCTGATCCCGGAGGAGGCGTTTGTCTCCCGGGGAGCGGAGGACGAGGAGGAGACTGGGGATAAGGTGACAGGAAATACATGTACAGAATATTACTGCAAACAGCTACCTATAAAATCTGTTTAATGGCTAATTTATGGTAATTTGACACATTTTTAGGTTAGGAATAGGAGATCATTTGAACTTGTACAGGTGGATCAGTCCACGCCAAATCTCCGAATGCCCCGCTCCACCATCTCACATTTGACTGAAAACATTCTAGGAAGTTCACACACTTTCAAATGAGAAAAGTCCCACATTTTAGCTCCCAACTCCTTATAGTTTCGTCCTTAAAAATATTTTGTCAAGTCTCCCCTGACATGTTTTGAGCAGAGTGTAGTGACTATTTGTCAAATAAAAGTAACAAACAAAAGCGTGGGCAAACTCAGAACTAAACATAACTCAAATAATTACCTTTGGGCACCATGGGTATGTGGTTTTACAAATCAATGTCCATGACTAGAGATGATTTTCCAAGATTTATTTTCCAGTTTTTTGGCAAGCAACAAGGAATACATGTTTAAGGCGACTCCTGCTGCCTCTCCTCGTGACTGGCAAAAAACCATAGGCCCACCCAGGTGCACTCTGGTCTACGTGTACCACCCTCCGAAACACGAAAACCAGTCAGATGAAGACGTGGATCACCAATCTGACCAGTGAGAGGGACGAGCTGAAGAAGAGACACGCATACCTCAGGTGCATCATGGGTGAGTCCTGGAGACTAAATATCCATCCATTAAATGGAAGGATTTTCTTTATTGTCATTCAACATGAAGCTCTGACCACAGGTACATACACCTACACCCAGACATCTATGTCCTAATAAGAATCCCAAAATAGTCTATATCTAGCACCTGATAAAAATAAGTTGAACAAAATAGATTTGAAGTGTTTGTGGTGGACCTCTGAGCAGGGGTTCCTGCTGCTCAGCCACAGCAGTGTTTGGCCCAGGCTGTGGTGGAAAGTGTGGTTTGAGCTGCTTCAGTGCAGTGAGAAACACACCTGTGCTGTTTATATAAAACTCTTTCTGACAATGCTCTAGCCATGAACAGGGAGTTGGTCCTGGTCTTTGTTACAAATGATGGACTTCAGTTTTTTGTCTTTTGATAGAGATTAAAAGGAGCCATGAAAAATGTGTCAGATTTGGAAACAGCATATATCTGGTTTCACAAATGGGAAAGAACTGGATGGACAGCAAAGAGGAGTGTGAGAAGCTCGGGGCCAGTCTGGTGATCATCTCCAGCCCAGAGGAGCAGGTGAGTCCACTGACACTGCACCATCCAAAACACACCATCCAAACATGCTACAGGGGAACTGTCACTCATAAGGTTTATAATGTGTTTTTGTGTTTAGACTTTTGTGAGTGAGTTGACTCCTCAGAGTGTGTGGATCGGTCTGACAGACAGAGAAACAGAGGGCGTGTGGAAATGGGTGAACGGAGAAGCAGTAAACACCACGTACGTAAGACCTTAACTTATACAGCTCACAGCAGTTCAACAGGTCATTAAACCTTATGGCCGACTCATTGAGATGTTGATAATTATTTAAAAATGCTTTAGAAATTAGTTTCAGTTTATCTGTGTAGGTACTGGGGACCCTATCAGCCAGATAACTGGAGAGAAGAAGACTGTGTACTGATTTCTAAGAATGTTAAAATGTGGAATGACGTAAAATGCAGTAATAACAGACACTTTATCTGTGAGAAACTGATTTCTGATGTGTGCAAACATGGACAACTGGACATTCTGATTCTGACGATTCTGGTGACTGCTCTGGTCTTTGTGGGGGACAGCTATGTTCTTAAAGTCTATGATTTTAGTCCAAAACTTGAGGAAGAATTCCATCTGGACAACTGAGAGATTACATAGACATTACACACATTATTGCTTTGTTTCATGAAAAGTAGAGCTGCACAATCACAGTCACAGTTTGTTTAATATCTATGTTGATGAGCTGTCTGTGCATCTGAATGAATGTAAAACTAGATGTTTTGCTGGTGATTATCTCTATAACCATTTACTGTAGCAGTGTGAGCTGTACAGGCCAATATGCTCGTCCGTGAGTTCTCCATGTGCTCCAGTGATGTCAAAATTGCACTTTTTAAATGCTTTTGCCCTTGTTTACTGCGCATCTTTGCAAACTCTTTTTCTTGTAGTTGTGTCAGAGTTTCACAGTGGTTTATAACAACTCTTTGAGAATATTACTGCAAGTGCCGAAGTTCTGCCAAGGATGTTTGTATTTATTCATTTATGTGTAGAGCCTTGAATTTGAGCACTCAAGTCACTGAAGCTCTAGTGCGTCCTGTGAGGAGCTGTCACTTTCACCTCTGAGCTGTGGAGACATTGGCGGTCTTGTCTGTAAACATTATAACATGCACTGGATGTTTAATTTTTTTATTCTTACTATTTTTTATTCTTACTTTTTTTTTAAACTATGAAACAGATATTATGTGTTCTTAATAAAGACTGAACCTAGGGAACTGAGTCATAGTCATGAAATGAATAGGAAAAATTGGCAAATCGCAAACACTGCAATTTTAGAAGTGCTTATAATTTCTTACACATACAACAAAATATCTAGTCTTATTCTGCAGAAAAACTCCTAACCCTAAAAGCCCTTCTGGTGTCTGTAAACAGAGCACCCACATTCATTCTGTTACATGCTGCCATTCTGATTTTGATATCTGATTGTAAATTTTTTTCAAACAGTTTATCTTTTTATTCAACATTCCACCATTCCAACACACAAGGTAATTATTAAGTTATATTTGGTCGTGACGTATGTAATGTGCCGCTAACGGAGTTAACTGGTATATTAAGCTTTTCCCAAATCTCGGAGGAAGAAGGACAATAACATCTTTCCCCTTGATAAAATTCACCAAACATTCTCTTTGTTCCGGGTTTAAATCCTCGATCTCGGGAATCGTTGCCAACACAGAATGTCTGTGTTCATCTACATCCATCTCGACGCTTTGTTTACTGTTGTGCTGTTGCACAAAAGGGACACTGACAAGTTTGATGTCATGGTTTCACAGCTCTTCACTGATTTTTCGATGCACGCTCTACAACTTCCGGGGTTCTTGCAAACCATCTTGTGTATCCTGATTCCTGACCTAGTCTCTGGAGAGAAATGAAATTGAGCACTAGGTGACGCCAGCCTGGGCACCAAAGTCCATCTGTGACATGTTAGTGCCACATGAACCATCTGCACTGTGAGGACCTAAGGGACCAGTCTTCTGCTGGTGCCCAGAGTCAGGACTAAACACGGAGAGTCAGAGTTTCAGGTTCACGCAGCTAAAACCTGGAACAGTCTGAAAATGTGAGACAGACTCCACTTTGACACTTTTTAAATTCAGACTCAAAACACTTCTGTTCAGCTGCGTTTGACTGAAAGGTTTTCATTTTTCATTCCGCACTCTTCTCTCTTATTTAATGTCTCTCTCTTTTTAATTCTATGATGATTATTTTTTATTTGATTGTTTTGTGATATTTCTTATTCTGTAAAGCACTCTGAATTACTTTGTTTATGAATTGAACTGTGCTGTACAAATAAACTTGCCTTGCCTTGTAAAATAAACTCTAAAAACAACATGGTGCCATTCATTACCCATGAGACTACCCAGGTTTAGTCTCATGGTGCAGGAGCTCTATACACAATTTATCTAAAAAAAAACAAAACAAAATAGAGTTAAAAATATATTTCTACCAAAATCATATTGAAGAAATAAGTTGAAACTGAAAGCCTTCAAATCAGCATGAGAGGACACACACTACAGATGTGGTTTCCTGCATCAGGGGCCTGACACCATCAGTAACATTAGTGTAAAAGCACCAGAGTTGAACAGGACCAGGTTCTGAGTCTGTGATGGAAACTGAGCAGGTTTATATGAATGTGGAGGAAGCGGCAGAATGGGCTGATCTAGATGAAGATATTTATGAAAACTCTAATGTGGACTTAAAAAAGTGTGTGACCGCTCCGTCAGGTAAGAATTGTTTATTTCAGTCTTCTATGTCGGTCCAGTGCAGATGACAGGTTTTCATGTAGTTCTTATTCTGACTTGGTTTAGTGAGATAGTACCTGTGTTACATGTTTATAAAGGTTTTACAGTTAAATGGACGTTTGTGAAGATAAGAAAAAGAAAAGGCAGATGATTATTGTTATTCACACACAGGGCAAATAGACATTGTTGCTGTTTACACCCGGGTGTATTTAGCGTGGCACATAAAAAGGCACCCGGGTGTTCCTAGACAAAAATGCTATTTACACCCAGGAAAAACAAAACAAAAAAAACCTCACTGACAGTACAAACATAAAGGCACCAGCCCAGTGAAAATCAGTAATATTTGATGTTTTATAATCAAAATGATGTGGAATCATCAATCAATCAATCGCAGTCTGCACCTAATGGTTTAGTCCTGGTTTAAAACTAGTTTAGTCCTGGTTTAGAACTGGTTTTAGTTCTGATCAACTAGCATAACCACTAGCTATACATCGCACAAGCTAAATAAACTGCCCATGATACTGTGATACTTTCAACTTAATTACTCAAATAGTAATGGTCGGACAGGCATTGCAAATATATTTTGTAGCAACACTGACTTATCTTTTACCTTTTACCTTTTACCTTATCTTCGGTTTGAATTTTATTTCTTTGGATTCTCAAATCCAGCTTCCCGCACTTTTCAAAGGAAACGACGTGAGCAGACACGTCACCATTCCCTTTTTTCTTGAGATGGGTGTAAATAGAAGAATCGTGTCCATTGAATTAACACCCAATGTGCAAATAGACACTCTGAAAAGAAAATGACCAGAAGTAGAGCTGCAGTCTAAAAGGGAATTCCTCTGACATCAAAAAGTGTGCTCAGTTTCCTTACAGTTTAAACATTAATTACATTTTCTTTGTCAAATACACTATTGGTCAAAAGTTTTAGAACACCACACTATTTCCAGTTTTTTACTTTTTACTGTTGACCAAAACATATTAAAAACTTTTGACTGATGAAAGTGTCGACCTTTGGCAGATCTAACAGCTGAACACACTCGTGGATCGTTCTTTTTACAACACAAATCAAATATTGTTCAGAAAGTTCTTCCCAAGTCTGTCGCAGAAGTTTCCATAAATGTGTGGCACTTGTCGGTTGCTTCACTTTTCTGTCCAGTTCATCCCAAACCAACTCGATTTAAGGGGTTTAAGTCTGGACACTGTGCTGCTGCTGGACACTCCAGGTTTTCAAGTTTAACCATCTTGTTCTTTTTTCCTGAGGTGGTTTTGGCAGAGCTTGGACTTGTGTTTTGTATCTTTTATCTTTTTGTTTTAAATTTCTATCTGTTCAGTTTTAACCTTTGTACCATTTCAAGTGACTCATTGGACTTGCACAACTTGAATTGCAATAAATAACTGGAATAATTAGGGTGTTCTAAAACTTTTGACCGGTAGTGTATCATGTAACAGTTATGAAATTACCTCTGTGTACGTCACAGCTGCTGCTCATGTCCAAACAGAAAATCAAGTAATAAACTTCACCAAAATTGTCAAACTGTGGAAAACTAGGCTACAAGATTTGTTAATATATTAAGATTATGATTTGTTATTATATCAACAGAACCATGCACAGTGACAGAACCAGTGCACAGTTCCACGTCTGACAGGAAATTGTCCACGGCGCCGTCAGAGGACGAGCCCCGCGCTCACAGAGGAGTTGTGTGGACAGTGGTCATAGTTCTGCTCTCTGCTCTGCTGCTGGCTGCGCTCGTCTTCATCGTGTTGAGTATGTTTCAGATTTCACTTTGTCCTGCACACAAACCCAAATGACACATGTCTTTGTCTTTAAGCCAAGATCGGAGAGAACACGAAAACCAGTCAGATGAAGATGTGGATCACCAATCTGACCAGTGAGAGGGACGAGCTGCAGGAGAGGAACATCGACATGAAAACATCTAACTACAACCTGAGTGCACAGATAAACCTGCTGGAGGAAAACATTCAAACTTTAGATGGAGATCGGAATAAGCTGAGAAAAGAGCTCCAGGACCTGAAGGAGAGACATGCAGACCTCAGGCGCATCATGGGTGAGTCCTGGAGACTAAAGGGTTAAGGTGGACTTTCTTTATTGATTTTTATTATTTCTCCCTATTCTGTACAGAGTCCAGGATGTTTTGAAAGGCTCTTATGAATAAAATGTATTATTATAGTTACTGACTTGAATTTCATAGAGCAGGTTACCTCCACTTAGACCTATCACATTTTAAAAACGAACAATGCATTTGAAGTGCACTCTGAAGCGTTGCGGTAAAGCAGGAAGTAGTTTTTGTAACAGGCTGCGGTGGAAAGTTTGGTTTCACATTGACCCCAGGGCTGAGAAAAGGTGCTATTATAAACTATTGCTCCTTCTAAAACCTGTCTGTGTTATGTCCTACATCACAGGTGTCAAACATAAGGCCCGGGGGGCCTCCAAGACCTTTAATGTGGCCCTCGGCTGATTTTCTACTAAAATATTTTAGGGTCAGCTCTATGTTCCACAGCTCCATGTTCACATGCAAGAGCACAGGTTTGGTCTCAGCTTTGGTGGGGACATTATCAGTTTTGCACATCGCAAAAACCAAACAGCACATCTTTATAAGAAAGGGTAAAATGGGATAATTCAATTTAATATAATGAATTCTTTCCAAAAACACACAGAGTCTGGGCAGGTCCAAAATAAGTGAGAGGTGGTTTCATTTTTCACTTTGTGTCCATTGCCCTAAGATGATTGTTTAGTGGAGAACAGTAGAAGTTTGTAGCAGATTTGTCTTTGCTTGTTGGTGATGAGATATTTGTGAGGTCATGTCCCTACATTTTTCTGTTGAATATTGTCAGTAGTGGCGGCACAGTGGCTGAGTGGCTAGCACTCATGCCTCACAGCAAGAAGGTTCGATCCCCAGGTCGCCCGGGCCTTTCTGTGTGGAGTTTGCATGTTTCTCCCCGTGTCTGGATGGGTTTCCTCCGGCCATAGGTCTCCAAAAACAGTTAATAGTCAAGGTCAATTAAATACAATCAATCAATGAACCTGTCCAGGGCACTGGTGCTAGTGGCTAGACACTTCATCCACATTGCCCAGTATGAAGGTGGTGTGTGTGTGTGTGTGTGTGTGTGTGTGTGTGTGTGTGCGTGTGTGCGTGTGTGTGTGTGTGTGCGTGTGTGCGTGTGTGTGCGTGTGCGTGTGTGTGTGTGTGTGTGTGTGTGTGTGCGTGTGTGTGTGCAGCTGTGCCTCTTTCAGTCTGCCCCAGGGCAGCTGTGGCTACAACAGTAGCTTACCATCACCAGGTATAGAGTGAATGAATAATATATGCTGAATGTAATGCTCTGTAAAGCATCTTTGTGACAAAATGTCTGTGAAAAGCGCTATATAAATGGGGACTTACTTACTTCGGGGTCTCACAGCGCACGAGTAGAGCTCTGTTTGGGAGGTGCACTTGTGGTGATAGTTGCTCTTTTTCCACAGTGACTCATTTTAAGACAAGTTTAATTGAAGATGAAGCCAAGTAAGTTCCTTTTGAAGAGTTTTTGAAAGTTTGTTGCAGCGTCTTCACTCTCGTCTGCTCAAGCCACCATCTTCAGGTGCGGCCCTGTCCTGCCGCTTCCCTTTTAGGCTCCAGGCTCCAATAATGACATCACTTTGTTGCAGCCAATGAAATAACGGCAGGTGTAACCCTGTCATCATATCACTGAATACATCTCAGAATGTCTAATAAAAAAAAAGTGAACTAAAACATGTTCAATTAATACTATTGAGTTTGGAAAAATATTGGTGGAAATGTATATTTTTGTTTATTAAAATAAAATGGCAAATATTGGTTGTGACATGTCCCCACCGGTTTGAGTTGTAAGGTTATGGTTAAGGTTAGGGCCAGGGTGACGGTAAGTGTCATGGATTTACTTTTAAAAATATCTTGAAGACAATGATATGAAAACATAAAGTTTTTTGTTTTTTTTTTGTCTTTTGATAGAGACCATAAGTTGCCCTAAAACATGGGTCAGATTTGGAAACAGTATATATCTGGTTTCACAAATTGCAAAGAACTGGACGGACAGCAGACAGCACTGTGAGGAGCTCAGGGCCAGTCTGGTGATCATCTCCAGCCCAGAGGAGCAGGTGAGTCCACTGACACTGCACCATCCAAAACACCATCCAAACATGCTACAGGGGAACTGTCACTCATAAGGTTTATAATGTGTTTTTGTGTTTAGGCTTTTGTGAGTAAGTTGACTTTTCAGAATGTGTGGATCGGTCTGACAGACAGAGAAACAGAGGGCGTGTGGAAATGGGTGAATGGAGAAGCAGTAAACACCACGTACGTAAGACCTTAACTTAGACAGCAGCAGTTCAACAGGTCATCAAACCTTATAACTAAAAATTATTAATCTGTCTGTAGGCACTGGAGACCCAATCAGCCAGATAACTGGGGAGAAGAAGACTGTGGAGAAATTTCTTTTGATAAACTGTGGAATGACAGAGATTGCAGTGAGAAAAAGCACTTTGTCTGTGAGAAACAGATTCCTGGTGTGTGTAACTGTCAGCTCTAGTGCTCCTGGAGTTGTCGTCACAATCCCAAGATGCACCTCCAAACCACAAAGTTTGATATGGGCCACGGAGCTTTTCCGCTCATTCTGATCTCCTCTATGATATTGTGCTTTTCTTCAGATTTTGGTTTTACAAAGCCTTAAATTGTATTTGTTAGGTCCAGCAGCCCATAGTGCACTAAAAACATAAAGCACAATCTTGTGTCTGCCAGTGGAACAGCAGACACTACCAGACATAACAATGGAAATGGTTTTTCACAGACTGTGATAAAACCTTTGAAGACATTCATTCTTACTCTTAGATTTTGTTTGGACTAGTAACAAGTCCAACTCCTTACAGGTTTGAAGAGGCATGATTTTTCTGCAGGCTTCTCTGTTTTTTCTCTGTATTCCTGTGACTAACCAGCTTTAGTCAGTATGAGTCCTTTGCTCGCATCCTGCACATGACAGGAAATCATTGTATAGTATTATAGTATTATCTTATTAGTGTTAATAATTGTTCTATTCCTATTTATCTATGTGCTTATTGTGGGTCTTGTATATCAATATCTTTGTTTTTAATACCTTTATACATCTTAAATGTATGGTTTTATATTCTGGTTCCTTTTCAGTCAGAAAATATTTACTGACTGGCCTGGAAAATGTGAAATTTTGGGCATACTATTTTGTTAATAAATATATTTTTTGTGGAATTGATTGTGTTGTGTTGTATTCATTTACAGTAAATTCTAGAAGCATTTATAATATTTATACTATATTTACTATCAGTAAAAAAATTGTATAATATTTGTATTTTGGGCTTTTTTAAAAATAATTTTCTTCCAAAATGACAATCAGCGTTTGTCCACTGATCTGAAGGTTGGCGGCTCGAATCCCTCTCTTGACATAAAAAACATCATTGGTTGAGTTGTCAGATCCATTGGTTGGCTGGTGTGAATCCAGCTTCCACAGACGAATGCTGTGTTGTGTTGCTGGGCAAGACACTTAAAGGTTGTATGGAGGATTTTTTTTTTGTTTCAAATTGTCAATGATAGCATTATAGAGGTGCAGTAGCCTTGTAATTATGATGACCAAAAAAAAGAGAATAAAAATTCATCAACTCTGGACGTGGTGGGGCTAAACATTTGCCAATAGATAACGACACTGCCTCGTTATCTGTTAGCTGATAGGCTGTCAATCAAACTCCCTACGTCCATCCATCCATCCATTTTCTTCTGCTTATCCGGGGCCGGGTCGCGGGGGCAGCAGCCTAAGCAGGGACTCCCAGACTTCCTTCACCCCAGACATGTCCTCCAGCTCCTCCAGGGGGACCCCGAGGCGTTCCCAGGCCAGCCGAGAGACATAGTCCCTCCAGCGTGTCCTGGGTCTTCGCCGTGGCCTCCTCCCGGTGGGACATGCCCGGAACACCTCCTGAGGGAGGCGCCCAGCAGGCATCCGGAACAGATGCCCGAGCCACCTCAACTGGCTCCTCTCGACGTGGAGGAGCAGCGGCTCTACTCCGAGCTCCTCCCGTGTGACTGAGCTCCTCACCCTGTCTCTAAGGGAGACGCCCAGCCACCCTGCGGAGGAAACTCATTTCGAGCGCTTGTATCCGCGATCTCGTCCTTTCGGTCACTACCCAGAGCTCATGACCAGAGGTGAGAGTAGGAACGAAGACTGACCGGTAAATCGAGAGCTTCGCCTTTCGACTCAGCTCCCTCTTCACCACAACGGTCCGATACAGCGACCGCATCACTGCCGAAGCTGCACCGATCCGCCTGTCAATCTCACGTTCCGTCCTTCCCTCACTCGTGAACAAGACCCCGAGATACATGAACTCCTCCACTTGAGGCAAAGACTCTCCACCCACCCGGAGAGGGCAAGCCACCTTTTTCCGGTCGAGAACCATGGCCTCGGACTTGGAAGAGCTGATCTTCATCCCAGCCGCTTCACACTCGGCTGCAAACCGCCCCAGTGCACACTGCAGGTCCTGGCTCGATGAAGCCAACAGAACAACATCGTCCACAAACAGCAGAGATGAAATCCTGTGGTCCCCAAACCGGACCCCCTCCGGCCCCTGACTGCGCCTAGAAATTCTGTCCATAAACACAATGAACAGAACCGGTGACAAAGGGCAGCAATGGCGGAGTCCAACATGCACTGGGAACAGGTCTGACTTACTGCCGGCAGTGCGAACACAGCTCCTGCTCCGGTCATACAGGGACCGGACAGCCCTTAGCAAAGGGCCCCTGAACCCCATACTCCCGGAGCACCCCCCACAGGACACCACGAGGGACACGGTCGAATGCCTTCTCCAGATCCACAAAAACACATGTGGACTGGTTGGGCAAACTCCCATGAACCCTCGAGCACCCGATGGAGAGTGTAGAGCTGGTCCAGTATTCCACGGCCAGGACGAAAACCACACTGCTCCTCCTGAATCCGAGGTTCGACTATCGGCCGAATTCTCCTCTCCAGTACCCTGGCATAGACCTTACCGGGAAGGCTGAGGAGTGTGATCCCCCTATAGTTGGAACACACCCTCCGGTCCCCCTTCTTATACAGAGGGACCACCACCCCAGTTTGCCAGTCCAGAGGTACTGTCCCCGACCGCCACGCGATGTTGAAGAGGCGTGTCAGCCAAGACAGCCCCACAACATCCAGAGACTTCAGGTACTCAGGGCAGATCTAATCCAACCCCGGAGCCTTGCCACCAAGGAGCTTGCCAACCACCTCAGTGACTTCGGCCAGGGTGATCGATGAGTCCGCCTCCGAGTCCCCAGCCTCGGCCTCCTCCTTGGAGGACGTGACGGTGGGATTGAGGAGATCCTCAAAGTATTCCTTCCACCGCCGGACAACGTCCCCAGTCGAGGTCAGCAGCTCTCCCCCCGCACTGTAAACAGTGTTGGTGAAGAACTGCTTTCCCCTCCTGAGGCGCCGGACGGTTTGCCAGAATCTCTTTGAGGCCGTCCGACAGTCCTTCTCCATGGCCTCCCCGAACTCCTCCCAGCTCCGAGTTTTTGAATCCGCGACCACACGGGCTGCAGCACGCTTGGCCCGTCGGTACCCGTCAGCTGCCTCAGGAGTCCCCCGAGCCAGCAAGGCCCGATAGGACTCCTTCTTCAGCTTGACAGCATCCCTTACTTCCGGTGTCCACCACTGGGATCGGGGATTGCCGCCGCGACAGGCACCACAGACCTTACGCCCACAGCTCCGAGCAGCTGCATTGACAATAGAGGCTGAGAATGAAGCCCACTCGGACTCCATATCTCCGGCCTCCCCCGGAATCCGGGAGAAGTCCTCCCGGAGGTGCGAGTTGAAGGTCCCTCTGACAGAGGGCTCCGCCAGATGTTCCCAACAGACCCTCACTACACGCTTGGGCCTGCCAGGTCTTTCCGGCTTCCTCCTCCGCCAGCGAACCCAACTCACAACCAGGTGGTGATCAGTTGACAGCTCAGCCCCTCTCTTCACCCGAGTGTCCAAGACACGCGGCCGGAGGTCAGATGACACGACTACAAAGTCGATCATCGACCTCCAACCTAGGGTGTCCTGGTGCCACGTGCACTTATGGGCACCCTTGTGCTCGAACATGGTGTTCGTTATGGACAAACTGTGACTAGCACAGAAGTCCAATAACAAAACACCGCTCGGGTTCAGATCAGGGAGGCCGTTCCTCCCAATCACCCCTCTCCAAGTGTCACTGTCGTTGCCCATGTGGGCGTTGAAGTCCTCCAGGAGAACAACGGAGTCCCCGGTCGGTGCACTGTCTAGTACCCCTCCCAAGGACTCCAAGAAGGCCGGGTACTCTGCACTGCTGTTCGGCCCGTAGGCCGACACCACAGTGAGAGACCTGTCCCCGACCCGAAGGCGCAGGGACGCGACCCTCTCGTTCACCGGGGTGAACTCCAACACACACAGCGACTGAGCTGTGGGGCAATGAGCAGGCCCACACCAGCTCGCCGCCGCTCCCCGCGGCCAACGCCAGAGAAATGGAGAGTCCAGCCCCTCTCAAGGAGTTGGGTTCCAGAGCCCAAACTGTGTGTGGAGGTGAGGCCGACTATATCTAGTCGGTAACGTTCAACCTCCCGCACAAGCTCAGGCTCCTTCCCCCCCAGCGAGGTGACATTCCATGTCCCCAGAGCTAGTCTCCATGTCCGGAGATCTGGTCGCCGAGGCCCCCGCTGTCGACTGCTGCCCAGATCTCTCTGCACCTGGCCCCGTATGGATCCTCCCGCGGGTGGTGGGCCCACATGAGGACGGCCCCACGTCGCTCCTTCGGGCTGAGCCCGGCCGAGCCCCGTGGGGGGAGGCTCGGCCACCAGGCGCTCGCTGGCGAGCACCCACCCCAGCCCTGGCTCCAGGGTGAGGCCCCGGTGACGCCAATCCGGGCGACGTAACTGGCCTTGCTGGTACACTCATCATAGGGGCTTCTGAACCGTTCTTCGTCTGACCCGTCCCCCCGGACCTGTTTGCCTTGGGTGACCCTACCAGGGGCATGAAGCCCCCGACAACATAGCTCCCGGGATCATTCGGGCACTCAAAACCCTCCACCACGATAAGGTGACTCCCTACGTGTCTAGTATAACTGACTTGCCTGCGCGCTGCCATTACGTGGTTTACGTACGCCTGTCACGCAGTCCACAGACGCACAGACGCTGTTTACTCCACCAACGCAACAGTTCTTAGCGGCTTTTTGGACCTATATCTTCCTCGCAGTTTGCACAAAGTTTGTTGCAATGGCAGACAAGAAAACAGGAGCAGTTCGCCGCAAAAGAAAGTCAGTTTTTGAGATTGCTGAAAGAAGAAGACAAGGGGAAAAGCAGCGAAGCCAAACTAAGGTGATTCTTGGAGATTCATTCCAGCGATGGCGCGACTGAAGCAGACGCAGGGTCTAAAGACTGACACACTGGTCCACAAATTACTCCTGGACAGGAAACTTCTGCTTATTATGAAAACGTACTTTATTTCCAAGAGCGAGACAAACGTTTTTCAGGACACGAATGCGATATCCTATGTCTGAAAACGTAATTTTCAAGGCAAAGAAAGAGTCCACTTGCTGCTGCGTGTTGTAGCTAGTTCATTCGCACGGAATTTCCGCGCACCCTTCTCTGCTCCCTTTCCTGCTCCTCTCCCCGCTGCCCGTTCCGCTCTTCCCCCTGCTCCTCACTTCTCCGGGCACGGAATCTCCGCGCACCTCTCCTCTCTGCTCTCCTCTCTCCTCTCCTCTCCTCGCTCCCTGCTCCGCTCTTCTCCCTGCTCCTCACTTCTCGTCCGCGAACGAAATGTCCGCACACCCGCTCCCCCCGCTCCTCACTTCTCCGCCTTGTCTAACCAACACTGTAGTTAGCTGTTTACAAGTCATGTGCAGCTCACCGGCTGTAAACAAACCTGTTTCTGGCGTAAAGAGGAGGCGGGAGGAGGCGTTTCTACGTAGGGAGCTGTAGGGGAGGGGGGGTGGTTTCACGCATGCGCAACATTTGAAAAAGGACAAACAGTCGCTGGATTTCTCGTTCCTTGGAAAATCCTCTATACAACCTTTAACCCAGAATGTGTGAGTGAGTGGTTCGTTGTTGTGAAGTGCTCTGGAGTGCCTTGAAGGTGGTAAAGCGCTATAGAAAAATCTGACCATTTACCATTCTAGTCACTGTGTTGTTTTGGGTCTGACTAAACACAAAGAGAGAGAGAGATGATAAGTTTTTACCATCCGACATCCTGTAACAGAGCTTAAAACTACCACAGTTGGAAATTGATTATTTTTATTCAGCTCTATTCATTTCTTAAAGTTTTAATAATAAATAATAATAAAATGATGAATAATAAAAACATTAAATAAGTAATAAAAATCATATTTGTGTTTGTATTTTTTTTGTTGGACGATTTAACACGTGACCTCATTCCTCGCTCTGATTGGTCGAACGCTCAGCTCTCAGAATCATAACACGGAAGTGCTGGTTCTTGTTTAAATCATGGCGGCTCCTTCATTCTGTTCTTATTTTCATTTTTAAACACATTTCTGTGGCTCCATGGCTTCGGGGCTTGACTCGCGGGTTTGCCTGGTTGTCCTGTGCGGTTTGCCGGCGGTGGGTAAGTCCAGTCTGGCCCGGGAGCTGCGTGATGCCGCGGCGGGGCTCGGGTGGAGGACGGCGGCGCTGAGCTACGACGAGCTGATCCCGGAGGAGGCGTTTGTCTCCCGGGGAGCGGAGGACGAGGAGGAGACTGGGGATAAGGTGACAGGAAATACATGTACAGAATATTACTGCAGACAGCTACCTATAAAATCTGTTTAATGGCTAATTTATGGTAATTTGACACATTTTTAGGTTAGGAATAGGAGATCATTTGAACTTGTACAGGTGGATCAGTCCACGCCAAATCTCCGAATGCCCCGCTCCACCATCTCACATTTGACTGAAAACATTCTAGGAAGTTCACACACTTTCAAATGAGAAAAGTCCCACATTTTAGCTCCCAACTCCTTATAGTTTCGTCCTTAAAAATATTTTGTCAAGTCTCCCCTGACATGTTTTGAGCAGAGTTTTCCAAGGAGCCACTTTCAGATTGCTGTAACTAAAATATGCACATTTTCAAAAATTAATTTTGAGAAAATAAAGCAGAACACCATCACACATTTTGGATATGTTAAAAACAGACATCTTGTCTTTCTAAAACAGTCCATTTTATGTTGGTGGGTGCTGTCATTTTTTTGGTATAACACGGTAAAGATGGCACCAAATTAATTTTTTCCCATTTTTTAACACTTAATGTCTTCTAGATCAGGAGTGTCATACTCAAATTCACAGAGGCCAAAATTAAAAATTGGGACTAAGTCGTGGGCCAAACTAAATATTTATTGAAAATTTTCAGCAACATCTGCATGTTTTCTCTTCTTTCAAGATATGTAATGTTAAAACTTTTTTTATTAAAATAAATGTTTAATAATAAATGTTTAATAATAATTAAACACTGAATCCGGGACAAGCAGAATATAAAATAATAACAGCATTTTAAATAAATAATGTCTCAAAAGTCGATCTGTAGCCAGCGAGCTGCTCTAATACAGATTTGATATGATCTCGTGGGCCAAATTTGGCCCCCGGGCCTGAGTTTGACATGTCTGTTCTAGAGCGTTCATCACAGAGAGTCATTTTTAAAATATAAAGTCCACAGTGGCATGTGTGGGAAGGTGTGTGTTTAATATCAAACCTCTGTCTTTGAAACTGAACTTTCTACAGTCCTTCAAAGACGCCCTCAGATTTGAAGAGTAGAATTTTCAAGCAAATTCAAGCCCCCAGAAATCTGTAATAAACCAAAAGCACATGTGTAAAAGTCCAGATTCTACAAGTACATCTGACAAATTTTAACCCTTGAAAATTTGAAGGGCCGACCTTAAATAGTTTTTTAGATACAACAATCTGAAAGTAGCTCTGGAAAACTGCTCAAAACAGGTCGGGGGAGTTGACAAAATATTTTTGAATGACAAACCTATAAGGAGTTTGGAGCTAAAATATGGGACTTCTCCTATTGGAAAGTGTGTGAACCTCCTACAGTTTTTCCAGTCAAATCTGAGATGGTCGATTGGGGGCATTCGGAGATTTGGTGTGGAATGACCCTAAAGTAGATTTGGATTTGGAGAAAAGATAGAGCACAGAGGAAGGAGAGTGACTGTGGTACAGAGGAGGGACAGAGAAGAGACAGAAGGCCTAGAGGAAAACCAAAGAGAAAATTTATGGATGAAGTGAAAGAAGAAGCAGTGGAGACGGAAAAATATTTAAAGTATCTAAAAAGGTACTCAAACTTGTTGATTATTGATGTCAGGGCTTGTTAAAAAGTTTCTTAATATTTCATAAACATTTCATGGACTAAATTTGTTGTAAATCCTTCTCCAGCACACCGAGTGGAAGCAGCATCGTCAGGCCGTGTTAAAATGTATTGAACGCTTCCTGGACAGTCCGAGCAGTGACCAGACACATCTCCTCAACGTCTGTAACATTATAAACAAAGGATCGTGGGAAAAATGCATCCAGGATCTTCTCAAACCTTCACCCAAACCTGCTCCAGTGATTTTTCTCCTGGACGACAACTTCTACTACCCCAGCATGAGATACGAGGTCCACCAGCTCGCAAGGAAACGTGAGAAAAGAAGATTATTTAAATGCAAATAATTGATTCAACGTGTCTATGTACAAAAAAATACACAATATACTTATGTGCAACAATTCTGAGAGTATGACGCAGTGAAAGTTTCTCAAATAGATGACACAGGCGGATTTCTTCATTGGAACATCAGTGTTTGCATTTTTTATTGAACACGGCAGCAATGGACCTGCATTTAGCTTTTTTAGAGTAGTCAAAATGGTGGTTAAAAAACATTATTTTCATCCTGTCCAGAAGAGCTGAAGTTGCCAATACATTACACACCTTGATACAGTGAGCTGTGCCTGTGATACTAAAGTTTTTGTGAAACCACTTCTTGCGCAAAGTTCATATGAAACACAAATATTTTAGTCATCAAAAAGAGTGAAAATGTCAAATGTGTCACATAAATGAGTTTCCTTCCTCTGAACAAACAACAAAACTGCAGCTGTAACAAAATAATTTAGTAAAATGAACCAAAAAATACTCTTGGTGATATATCGATACAGCAGCCCACGATATCGATACTGTATGATCACACTAAACCAGGGGTGTCAAACATATGGCCCGGGGGCCAGATCCGGCCCTCCAAGACCTTTAATCTGGCTGTTGGCTGTTTTTCTACTATATTTTAGTAGAAAAATGATATTTTCTATTAAAATATCGTTAATTTTTTGAGGTGCTTATCACAGCAGCGTCTCCAGTGTCTCTGTACGTGGCCCCTCCCACCAGAGCAGCACAAATTAAGACTTGTCTCTTTCCAAACGCTCTTAACCCATTGACGCCGGATGCTGTGCAGCACAGCGCTGAGTCTCCTCCCGGTGTTCCGGATTGTCTGGCGATCAGCGTAACTGGTAAAGGCGGGGCCACACCTGGAAGCATGGGGGGCGTGTCCTCCTCTCGCTTCATTCACTCCCATAGAGAGACGCAAAACTGCCAGAGCTGTATTGTCGCGTTAAACCTTCTTTATCGTGGCATATTATTTCCCCATTGAAAAATAATCCAAATGTATCCCATCAAGACCTGGTTTGAAGTAACAAACGTTGCTCTTTACTGCCAGAGCATGAACGCGCTCAACCACTTGATCTGTTCACTGTTCCAGACGTCCTCCTGTAACAGGTGCCATAACGCTATGTCGTGTAACAAATAAACACGGTCAAACACAAAAATGCTGACAGTGACAATGACAGTGAAGACACGGACAACATTTTGTGTTTGGGTTAAAGGACGATCCTTTTGACTGTTGACCGTGACACCCTCATCAGAAAAATGTCAAAAATGAGAAAAGTGGAGCCGAGTGCAGGATTTTCCAAGAAAAATGGACTTATTCCTATTTGCAAACAAGTTAATGTTAAAACATTGTGTTGAAATTACATTTTTCTTAAAGTTTCAGGTTGTTCATAATATTATAATATTTTGTAAAGAAAGAGTTAATCAATTAAAAAAGATTTCTGTAATAGATTTGTGTTTCTCTGCACAAATATTTTAACTTATTGTTATTTTTGGGGTTTATATGACATGAGTTTTCTGATCCGGCCCCTTTGGGATCAAAGTAGGTTGGATACGGCCCCCGGACCAAAATGAGTTTGACACTCCTGCGATACAGCGATACGATATATCGATATTTCAATATTTTTGCACATCCCTAGTTTTGACCTCTACAAACATGTTCTGAAATGTACAAGATTCTTGGATTAATTTAACAATTCTGATTTCAGTCTTATCTCAGATGTTAAAGGTGCACTGTGTAGCTTTTCAGTTGGGGGTCTGTCACCTGCTTGTTTCTATGGAGATGTCATTGCTGTGCCTGGAATGTTCCAAAGTGTGACATTAAACAGTTCTACTTTACATTTATTCAATTACATGTGGTTTTATAGTTGAAAAAATACTTAGAAAAACAACATTTTGACTGTGAGCGGGGTCGCCTCTCCACAGATCTGACCTATAACTCGGTCTGGTTTGGTCTCCACGAAGATAGAAATGTTTAATGCCACACTGTGAAACATCTCAGACAAAACAATAACAGCTCCATGGACAAAAATATTTCACGGAGCCTCCACCAGTAGAGTTACACAGTGCACCTGTAAATCTCCTGAACTTGCCTTAGTCTTTAATTAATTATTTAAGTAGATAAATGACGTTTATTTTCAGACTCTTTGGGCTTCTGTCAGATCTTCCTTCACTGTGACCTGGACACGTGTATCCGTAGAAACCAGAGGAGGGCGGAGCCTGTTCCCTCGGAGGTCATGGAGGAGATGGAGCGACGTCTGCAGCCTCCGAACGCCCAGAGAAACACCTGGGAGTCGAACAGCATCAGAATCAACACGAACAACAGACTCGACACCAAAGACTTGTGAGAATATTTGGTTTTACTCTGTAATAACTACACTTTAAAGGTGTATTGTGTTACTTTTCTGGTGGAGGTTTCGTCAGAGGCTTTTCTCCATGGAGATGTTATTGCTTTGTTTGGAATGTTTCACAGTGTGGAAACCAAACCATATCCCGCTCATAGTCAGAATGCCTGTTTCTCTAGGTGTTTTTCAGCTATAAACCACCTGTAATTGAATAAATGTAAAGTAGAACTGTTTAATGTGTGTGTGTATATATATATATATATATATATATATAATATATATATATATATATATATATATATATATATATATATATATATATATATATATAATATAATGTATATGTATGTGTGTGTGTGTATATATATATATATATATATATGTATGTATGTATGTATGTATGTATGTATGTGTATATATATATATATGTAATTGTTTACATTATATTAATTATATTAAGCTATGCAAAAAGTTTAATTTCTATGACTTCTTTTCAGACAGGAGGTGTTGGATCTGATCTCATTTGCCCTGAAGAACCCACTGAGCCCCATTGAAGACAACACAGAGCAAAAGGCAGGTTAGACCAGATTCATTCAAATAAAATTTGAATTTTGAAAATTTGAATTTCTGTGTCATGAGCAAACATTTCAAAATCTGATCTAATTCAAGGCTTTAGTTTACACCTTTTTTGTTTAGGTTTTGTGTTCATTTATGAAATTCTTTCTTATTACAAACAAATGAATTAGAATCAGGACATAATGTTATATACCCTTACCCAGGCTGGTGCCACCTACTGCCTCCGCTCAATTTCATTTCTCTCAAGTGACTAGGTCAGGAATCAGAATACACTAGATGGTTTTGCAAAAACCCCGGAAGTTGTAGACCACGCACCGGCCAATCAGTGAGGAGCTGTGAAGTCATGACATCAAACTCGTGTCGTCTGTCTGTGTCCCTTTTGTGGAACAGCACAACAGTAAACAAAACGTCGAGATGGACGTAGACGAAGACAGACATTCTGTGTTGACAATGATTCCCGAGATCGAGGATTTAAAGCCAGAACAAAGAGAATGTTTGGTGAATTTTATCAAGGGGAAAGACGTTATTGTCCTTCTTCCTACAGGATTTGGGGCATTTCATACATCACGACCAAATAGCAGCGATTGGTTAAGTAAAAAAAGTACCTGCCGCATGCCAAACAGAGAGTTCACCAGGAGGCTTTTCCGGCTCCTTCTGACTCTAGCTCCAATTGACTTACAATGGGATTTTATCGTCTCTCTCTCTATATCTGCTGCTGTGAGCCTCGTCATTTTGGTCTTAAAATGTTCGCAATAACCCGCTCTGTATGACCTTGATTTTTTTTTTTTTTCGCAATTTTTTCCGCCAAAAAAAAATCCTATTCATTACATAGAGGCTGGCTCCAGGTTCGCTCCTGTCACCGTGAGCATCATGAGCCTCATTTGAGCGATAGGTAAAGTCACACTCGCTTAGTCCACTTCTTACACAGTCTATGGTACCCCCCTACCATCGAGCGAACGAATCCCAATGCTGCGAGGTTAGACTTTTTCCATGAAGTGAAACCGGCTGATGAATCAGGCTAATATATCCCTGGTTGCTCCTTGTGTTTTCCAGGAGGCTGACAGAGTAAAATGTGCCAACAGTGTGGTGCACCAAGCGGATCAGACCTGTAGAAAACTCATCTCTGAAGCCATGAAGACGGCCAGAGGTTTGTCTAGAAGATCTGTGTTTAATTAAATGTCTTTGGGTTAATTTGGGTTAATAAAGATGGCCGTTACATGAAAAAATATACAACTAAATATAATGAAATTGCATAGTCCAGAAATGAAAATGTACGATTACGCTTCCTTCAGTACAAACACGAATTCACAGATGCAACTTTACTGTCAAAAATATGTCATCACTTCACAGGTTTTTATTTATTGAGCAGAAGAAACATTGATCGAGACGCTGGAGTTTTGTGCCACATACGGCCTGAACCAGGACTGAACCAAGAGGACTAAAAACCAGGGCTGAACCAGGAGGACTGACCCAGGACTACTGAACCAGGACTGAACCAGGAGGACTGACCCAGGACTGACCCAGGACTGAACCAGGACTGAACCAGGACTGAACCAGGAGGACTAAAACAGGATCGATCCCAGGACTGAACTTGAACTGAGCCGAGGCTGAACCGGGACTGAACCAGGAGGACTAAACCAGGAGGACTAAACCAGGAGGACTAAACCAGGAGACTAAACCAGGAGAACTAAACCAGGAGGACTAAACCAGGAGGACTAAACCAGGAGGACTAAACCAGGAGGACTAAACCAGGAGGACGAAACCAGGAGGACTAAACCAGGAGGACTAAACCAGGACTAAACCAGGAAGACTAAACCAGGACTAAACCAGAACTGAACCAGACTAAACCAGGACTAAAAACCAAGAATAAACCAGGACTCATGATAGTATCTTAAATGATGTAAAACTACAACACATATTTACCACATTTTTCACCAAATAAAGTAGTAATTAGAAACACATGAAATCCTAAATTAGAAAAAATAATTAATTACAACTTTTAGTGATTATTTCTCCTTTTCTTTTTCAGAAAACCACGTCCCGCCCACGACCATGAGAACTCTGGCGTCTGAACTCAACGAACTTAAATCAAAATTTCTCCAGAATTTAAAAACTCAAATTCTTCTGGACTCTTCTTTTATCGAATCTGAAAACGTGGACGTGGATCGAGCGGTGACGAAGGCCGTGCAGACGTTTGACAGAGACAAAAAGGACATTGTGTTTAGAATAATACAAGAATCAAAACAAGTTACACAATGAAGCTTTAATAAATAAAATCCTGCACTTTATAAATTATTGAATGTTTTTTTTATTGGTTTAAACATATTTACAATTACAGCCACTTTTGTTTTTGAGGTTCTTTCTGTTGTAAAAGAAAAAAAATGAGGAAATGTTTGAAACCAATCCATATATCATTCGTTCATTAGTTTTTCAAAATAAAATCAAAAATAAGAAAATAAAAAAACAGTTTTCTTCATTATTTGTCTCCAAAACCAAAATGAAAAAAACAGATAACGATTCTAGGGATGGGCATGATTAGTTGACTAATTGATAACTGATCATTAAGAATTTCATTGATCACTTTCATGTTTAATCGACAAACTGAATGTAGGTTTCTGTGTGAGGAGACGAGGCTGCGTCTGACACAAACACTGGAGTCTCGGTCTCACAGTCCCACGTTTGGGCTCTGGCTCCGTGGAGACACTGTACGACTCAGTGAATGTGTTTACAGCACATCAGTGTCCTGGTTTCGTCATGGTGCATGTAAACGAAGTATCCCGATTACTGCAACTTAAAGAGCTGCACTAAACCTGGACACGTCTGATCTCTGAAAACATGAACCATCCCCAACGCGACACAAACAGAACAGACTCACCATCAGCAGAACACCCCTGTCACAGAAAGAACACTCATATTCCACTGAGTCGAGTCCTTTAGTCCGACAGAAGCTGAACCACATCAGCGCACAAGTGTATAAAAGACATTTAGTCTTGTTATATTATTAGTTGTTGTTCATTGTCATACCCCTTTTTCACCACAAGAGGGGCGCGCTCGCACACCGAGTGAGTTCCAAAACTTGAGTGAATATAGCGGTGTGACGCTCGGTGCATCGGCTCTGTGTCGAACACTTTAATGTCTGAATGATTGTGTGCGTCCTTTAGATGTGAGTATTCTTGTGTGTGTTTGATTGGTATTATGTTTAGAGTTTGTAGCTGGAGTTTGGTAGCGTTTTGTGCAGTTTAGAAGTTTTTGTGGGTGACTTTAGTTTTGTATTGCGAGCCTCGTGGCTGTGTAATTGCGCATCGTTAAGTGTGTAGTTTAAAATACGATTGTAATGCCTATTTCCTTTATTTTACAAATCCCCAGTAACCCATCTCTTATATATATATGTGCATTTTCCTCTGTATTAAACCTGGGTAACCACACACACGTCTTTACGCACTCAGACATTAAAGAAACGTTCTACTTTTACCTGGATGTGGACTCCCTCATTCTGACTCACCTGAACTTCTATAACTGCTGTCCTGACCATATTACAGTCCTCATTACAACAAGGAAAGAGCTGTTGTTGTTTTTTTGTTTGTTTTTTTTTCCTCCGCTGGTTTGAGCCGAGTTGCCATGCAGTTTTAAGTTTAATTTCTGTGAGACTTGCACAAAGCTGAATTAAACACATTATAATGTTGAAACGGGCTGATGTGGCTCTAGAGTGCTTCTGGTTTATATGTCGTAAAGTTGAGTTTATTTATGCAGATTAGCAATAGTAATAAAGATGATACTTTTAATATAAAAACGTTTATGATTAATCGAAAATCGTTCGTTAATTCTCCCAACGATTGATTAATAAAATTTCATCGAATGCCCATCCCTAAACGATTCAATTTTGTGTTTAAATGTTTACATGACTTAAACTTCGATGCCGGACTAAACCAGGACTAAACCAGGACTAAACGAGGACTTGGGGTATCCGTTTTTGGACTTTGAAAATCTTGTCACCCTTCCAAAGTGTGAAAATTTACTGTTAAAAAAAAAATTATTTGAATTTTTATCAATATTGAGTAATTATTAATATTCACTCAAACTTCCCCGTCACTTCTTGTGCTGCCCGCGAGCGAAGTGGCAGGCGAAATCGTACTTGTCTTTACACAAGTGTCCGCAGACGTTACACTGAAACGGCTGCTTGTACCCGTGGCAGCCCATGTGGATCGTGTACAAAATATTATCCGCGAACTGGATATCGCAGTGGACGCATTTCTGTGGGTTTTCTTCGTCCAGAGCGGCTCGCGTCGGCGAATTGGCCTGGCTGCTGCTGTTGGCGTTGTGTTCGAAGCTGATCCCGGGGGTGGGGCTGCAGTTCTGCGACGCGGGACTGGACGAAGTTTGGGCGCTGCTGGTGCACTTGGCCTGGCTGGTGATTTCTTGGATGATGATCGGTTTCTCTTCGGTCAGATTTTCGCTCGAGTCTGGCGTCGGATCCGAGAGCTGACCGGCCAGTGTGGAGAGCTGGTCTAGAGGGTTTGTGAACGGTAAACAGGATCGGTTTTCGTCTAAGTTTGGGATGTCTTGGATGTTTCGGAAATCGTGATGTTTGTGCGAAAATTCGTTTAGGTAGTCGTTTTTTTGCATGAGCATTTGACCCGGGTTGTAGTTTAAAACCAGTCTCCGGGCGTATCCGAGCGAGTTCTGTCTCTTCTGTAAGGCGCTGTGGATCCGTTTGTTGTTGAACTGCTGGAGGCGGGGCACTCGGGAGGGGAGGAGCTTGTGACGGCGCCTCCGGTGGTGGGACAGGTTACTGCGGTCGCTGCAGCGGAAGGCGCACTGGTCACATTTGTACGGCTTCTCTCCGGTGTGCGAGCGCATGTGGGCCTCCAGGTGGCGCTCGTATGCAGAGGCGAACGGGCACAGCTGGCACCGGTGAGGCTTCTCTCCTGAGGGAACAGAAAAAAATGTTGACCAGTGTTGGGAGTAACGCGTTATAAAAGTAACAAGTTACTGTAATGCGTTGCTTTTTGCTGTAACACAGTAATGTTACGGCATTACAGGGTAAAAATGTAATATTTTACTCGGTACAAATGTCAGTAACGTGCGTCACAATGCTTTTTTAACCTGGAAAGAAATGGTGGGTTTTTCGTTTCTCTTCATGCAAATTCGCTAAAATCACCGCGAGATCAGCTCCAAGTTCTAGTCCAAGATTAGTCCTGGTTCAGTCCTGGTTCAGTCCTGGCTCAGTCCTGTTTTAGTCCGGGTTCAGTCCTGGTTCAGCTCTGGTTTAGTCCTGGTTCAGCTCTGGTTTAGTCCTGGTTTAGTCCTGGTTTAGTCCTGGTTCAGTCCTGGTTCAGTCCTGTTTCAGTCCTGGTTTAGTCCTGGTTCAGTCCTGGTTTAGTCCTGGTTCAGTCCTGGTTCAGTCCTGGTTTAGTCCTGGTTCAGTCCTGGTTCAGTCCTGGTTTAGTCCTGGTTTAGTCCTGGTTCAGTCCTGGTTTAGTCCTGGTTTAGTCCTGGTTCAGTCCTGGTTTAGTCCTGGTTCAGTTCTGTTTTAATCTTAACCAGATTAAAACATTTATGGAAACTTCTGCGACAGACTTGGGAAGAACTTTCTTAAGAATATATCTGACAATATCTGACAAAGGTCGACACTTTCATCAATCAAAAGTTTAGAATACATTTTGGTCAACAGTAAACAGGAAAAATGTTTTAAAAAGTGTGGCGTTCTAAAACTTTTGACAGGAATAAAAGCCACCCAAACACACAAAAAGGCCCCACCCAGCTCAGAAATCAATACAGGACCTTCTTACTGTGAGGTGAGAGCGCTGGTCATACTCCACGGCTTATCATATTATCATTGTAGTAACTCTCTTTGACCAATTTTGACCACAGCACTGTAAGAGAAGAGCCGCTCTGACCTGTGTGGATGCGTATGTGCTCCACCAGACGGGCCATGCCTTTGTTGCTGTAGCTGCAATAACTGCACTTGTATTTCCCGTCGCTGGTTCTCTCCAGTCCCTCCATCTGCACGTCAGGAGCCTCCCCCAGGGACAGGCTCATGTCGGGAGGAGAGGGCTCCACAGGGCTCTGGGCAGCAGCCTGGGTCTCTGCACAAGAACGGAGGAAAGAGATGAGAATTTGGTGTCACTTATAGGCACGCTGATTTTGAGTTTGTACATGGATAAGCTCTGTTTTTCTCTCTTTTTTTTTAACCAGTAAAATGCTTAAAGGTAAAAAATTGGACAAAATATATAAGCCACTAAGTACAAATTTGTCATACTGGGTCTCGTCTTAAGACCCACTTTTATTCTCTGGCTTTTAACACCGCGTGAGTTGTGTGGTCCTCTGTGTTTTTTTATTTTATTTTAATTTTTATGTATTTTTATTGGTTTTATTTATTTAGTGCTATTCTATGATTTTGCTTTTATTTTATTTTCCTGGTTTTATTATTTTAAGACTAGTATGATTATTTTAGTAGTTTTATTATTCTTATTATTATGTATTTGCGCTTTGGAAACTGTTTGTGAAATGTGCGATAGAAATAAAGTGAATTGGATCGGATATTTACTTGAGCAACTTTTAAAATTGTATAAGGTCACTTTCTTCATTTGAATATTTTGTACTATTTGAGTAATTTCATGTATCAATATTCTTACGAGAGTTTAGATAGTTGATTGATAGATTGTACCTTTTACTTTATTTAAATAAATGAGAAGTGGAGGAGTTATTGTTATTTGTGTAAGTATTTGTTTGTGTTTGTGTATATAAATCCTTTACAGTGAGAAATTCCTTTAACCCTTTAATCCTTTCCTTTATTCCCTTAATCCATTAATCCTTATGAACAAACATGTGTATTTTGGGTCCTTTTTACTTATATGTGAGTTATATTATTTGGTGATAACTATAAGTAATAATAAATAAATAAATAAATAAACAGTAAAATTCATGGTTATTCTTTTAAACCAATGCCATTATAATATCAGAAATGCATTAAAAAAGAGACCATAAACCAAATTCTGTGCATATAAACTGTATCAGATGCGGTCTTGGTGATTTTCTTGTGAGTACACGGTTATTACCAGTGTTGTGAAGGTTTCTTTTAATATGTATTCCTCTACAGATTACAGATCCCAAAATGTAGTTTGTAAAGTAATCCATTAAATTACTTAAAGTGAGTAACGTAATCTGAATATTTCGGATTACTTGATTTTCTGTAGAGAAGCAAAGACTCAGACATCTTCACATAAGATGTTTTGTCTGCTAAAATAAAATAAAAAGCCCAGACTTTCCTTAACCGTATTAAAAATATTATTGATAGAATGGTTTGGTCCTGTTAAATCCTGTTTTAGTCCTGTTTTAGATCTAGTTTAGACCTGATTTAGACCTGGTTTAGACCTGGTTTAGACATGGTTTAGATCTAGTTTAGACCTGGTTTTAGCCCTGGTTTTAGTCCTTGTTTAGTCCTGTTTTAGATCTAGTTTAGACCTGGTTTAGACCTGGTTTTAGTCCTGGTTTAGTCCTGGTTTAGACCTGCTTTTAGTCCTGGTTTAGTCCTGGTTTAGACCTGGTTTAGATTTAGGTTGGACCTGGTTTTAGTCCTGGTTTAGACCTGGATTCAGTCCTGGTTTTAGCCCTGGTTTAGTCCTGTTTTAGATCTAGTTTAGACCGGTTTAGACCTGGTTTAGATCTAGTTTAGACCTGGTTTAGATCTAGTTTAGACCTGGTTTAGTCCTGGTTTAGACCTGGTTTTAGTCCTGGTTTAGTTCTGGTTTAGACCTGGTTTAGATTTAGGTTAGACCTGGTTTTAGTCCTGGTTTAGACCTGGATTCAGTCCTGGTTCACTCCTGATTTAGTCCTGGTTTAGTCTTGGTTTTAGTCCTGGTTTAGTGTCCGGCAATGAGTGGAATTACTAAAAAAAAAGGAAAAAAAAAAAAAAAAAGGGATATAGCCCAAAATATGAAAACAGGAAAATACCTCTGTGTAATCCATTTATTTAAACAAAGTAACTGTAATCCAATTACCACTCACTGAAACAGTAACTGTAACAGAATACAGTTACTCATAATTTGTACTCTGATCACATAACTCTAGTAATCCGTTACTCCCCAACACTGGTTATTACAGTGTTTATTATTGTGTTTTAACCCCTCACCGTGGATATTATTGGGATAATGTTGCTCCATTGTTGTTGTTGTTGTTTCTTTCTCTCCGCACACAGAACCAGAGATCATGTTTACGTGCTGAGTCTGCTGGCTCAAATACTCCTGAAACTCCTTCACAAAATCCACCGACTCCGTTTTTATACCCTCCATTTCGTCCTTTAAATCAGCTGCAACCTGCAACAAAAACAAACGTCTCGAAATAAATATTAACGCAAATATACTAAAAAAAACAACAACTGCACATTTCCACTTATTTTCATTGATTAGCGCTGGTAGCATCACTTAGCTTTAGCTTTATGCCTCGGAATTACAGCCAAAATTCAACTATTATTCATCAGACTACACACGTACCTGTCCTGATGTCGTATATCACCATCCAGCTTCTAAAACAGTGACTTTATGAATAAAATATTCAATAAAATGTAAATAAAATGTGAAATTATTCCGCTAAAAGCTAAAGCTGTTGCTAGGTGACGGACGACTTCTTCACTCTGAGTCACGTGGTCTGTCCGGTCGGCCGTTATGTTCAATCCATCGGAAAATACACCACGCATTACAAACAAACTCTTATATTCTTGGAATTTATTCAGATTAAAATACAACCATGTGCTAGATAGATATATTATCAATTAATCTATCAGCCAGTTGATCAAACTTTATTTTTAAAGCGCTTTTCATACAAAAAAATTTAACACAAAGCTCTTTACAGTGATTTAACCCACCCCAGCCTCACACAACCAAACAACCCAGACAGTCACACACACATACATACTAACATGCTATGCTTATGATCGATATAAGTTATAAAACTGTGATTGTCGAATTTTATTTTGTTGATTTGGTGTATAAAATGATTTGTTTGACGGTGAAATTCAAAATCCCATAGTAAACGTGAACGCCGCTCTCACACACGCATGTAAACAGTTTTGTAACTCGCCATGGCTGCTCCTTTGGTCCGGATTTTGTCAAGGGTAAGGCAGATTTCCACCCAAATTTTTAACTGTATCTGATGTATTTATCGTGCGATGTGTCAGGCCCGTGCACAGTTACATGCACAAGCAAAATCTCGGTAACCTTGGCTTGAAATGACATATGTTGCTAATGCTAAGCTAGCTGTTAAATGAACTTTCTCTTTACTGTTTTCCTTCTTTTCAGTTTTTGAGGTTCATTCATTTAACTGAGCCACGTCAGAATCATTGTACGTGATTGTTTATTTTAGATTGAAGTAAGGTTGAATGCCATATGCTTTTATCCTCTCAATCATATCATTTTATTTGTGAAAATGTCCAGGAATTATGTACAAATATTAACAATAAACAATAACAAATCATTCTCACACTGGTTTGTTTACATGCAGCACCAAAAATCTGATCATAATCTAATTCCTGGAGTCATCAAACTATTGAAATGGAATGTAAACATTTATATCTGATGTGAGAAATCAGAATTCTTATCTGGATTTCTTTCTGATTCTCCACACCTGTTTGGGTTTTGACAAATGTTTAAAGATTGAAAGAGTTATTTTAAACTTCATTGCACTTTGTCTTCCAAATGTATCATGTCATTTCTCTTGTGCTAAAAACTAAGGCTGAAGGTTAATTGCATTTTTATCGTGATTTTGTTTTGTCTCCAAACTCATTTAATCAAGTTGAAATGATTTGAAGCTTAAAAAAGTTTATTTTGGGATTTTTTTTTTATATAAACAAGTATATTTATTTTATTTTTTAAATGTAGAGATTGTAGAACAGCTGGATATATAGTTTATTCTGGATACTTGTTATGCTTTTCTATGCCTTATTTCATGTTCAAAGTATATTTTATTTATTTTATAGTTTAAACTGCTCTAAGGTCCATATTTGTAGCCTGTATTTATTTTCCACTTGAAAGTTTTGCATAAATTATCAGTAACAAGTGTTTGTTTGTTTTTTGTTTTGTTTTTTTGAGAGAGAGAAATGCTGAATAAATGCATCATGTAACTAAAAAATAATAAGATTTTTTCCATAATTGAGCAGCCCTACTATAAACACACCAAAAATCATGTAATTATTTGGATATCTGATTGTTTTAGTTAACCACTGTAAACTCTACATCTTTTTAAGGATTAGATTGAAGTTGATTTATCTTCCCCCTCTCCCTTTCTCTCCATCTCTCTCTCCGTCCCTCAGTCTTGCCGGCAGCTCTCTTCTCCCCTCAGAGCCGTGCAGTGTGGAGGAGGATGGAGGTTCAGATCCACCAGTTCAGCTCTGGACCCGGACTCAGAACAAACCAGTGGAGTTTCATTTCTTCCTCTGCAGAGCTTCTCAGAGGAGGAGGCCATGATGAGGGACGCAGGTGAGGTACAAATACATAAGTGTATATCATAGACTTGTACTGTTTAAGGTGCAGATTCAGTTCATTAAATTAAAAGTGCAATATGACAGACTCTGTGAACTCAAGACATTTGTGTTTAGAGGAGCTTTTGGTGGACTGAGTTTTTTAGGTTCTGCTTTAACTTGTCTTAATATGTGATCTTGGAGCACTTTGTAAAGCAAAATTTTGTCAGTTTTACTTACTTATGTTAATATATAGAACCGGGGGGAGAAGAGCTGCATGGAAAAGACCAGAGCAGAGTGGGAAAAACAGACATTATTTCCTGAGTCAATAATTTGAACAGCTCATGTTAGGTGTGTTCTAGATAAACTCTCCAGGCTGCGTTTGTTTGACAAGTACAAATGAAGGACACTGGATAGAGGAGTTGAAAAATTTTAAATCATAACTTTTTAATGTATATTTTTGGTATTGTTTTTATTTTCTCAGTGAAGAAATACGCTCAGGAACGCATCGCTCCGTTTGTGTCGAAGATGGACGAGAGTTCACACATGGACGAAGAGGTCATCCAGTCTCTGTTTGAACAAGGAGTAAGTCTGTGGGAAATATTCATCTACTGTATGTAAAGAAGTCACTGATATGATACATATCTTGATACAGGGAGATTTCGATTCGATATATTTATATACCAATTTGATATGGTTGAATAAAAATAAAGGCTAAATCATGGCTATGTTACGACCCATCTTTGCTAAGGACAGGGGAAGTAACAAAAAAACAAGATGGAGAATGGAATAAATTAGTAATGTTTAATTAACAGGGATGTAAAAGGGTAACTTAACAGAACAGGCTAAAATATATGTACAGAAAATAACTTAAACTAAGAAACAAAACAACAGGATTAACATATAACAAGTTTTGTGCCAAAAAACGGGTCACGCAGGTGTACACAAAACAAGTGATTAAACTAAGGGACACACAACAAAACTAGACCACAAGTGCCTCAAAGTAAAACCACATAAACTCACAAACAGAATCAAGTGACCAAATGAAAAGGCACAAAACAGAACTAAACTAAACAAGTGTCTCAACACAAAATAAAGTCAGACACATACTAGTACAAAATGAATGACTGACACACAAGAGACACAAACAAACACAAAATTACAGACTTGCTACAAAGGCCAGCAGCCCCCAACAGGTGCGGCAATCTTCTTAAACAGGGGGAGGAGGCTGGAGGTGAGGCAGGATTGGACAGGTTTAGAAGTGCTCCACCAATCAGGGACCAGGGTTCTCACAGCAGGAATTCATGGGGATAGTAAAGAAATTAAAACACACACAAAATAAGTCAAAGAACTGGAGCCCTGGGGCCGTAACAGCTGTGATATAAAAGTTCTTAAACCACGTCTTGTGCAAAGTTCATATGAAACACAAACATTTTAATCCTCAAAATAATGAAAATGTCAAATGTGTTGCATAAACGAGTTTCCTTCCACTAAACAAACAACAAAACTGTAGCACTGTAACAAAATAATTTAGTAAAATATACCAAAAAATACTCTTGGCGATATATATCGAAACAGCAGCCCACGATATCGATACTGTATAAATGATACATTATATCGATATTTTTATATTTTTACACACCCCCTATTCTGCATAGGTCTATATTTATAAACCGTTCTGAATGTGTGATGTAGAAAATATTACAATATTAAACATAAATCTATTTTCAATAACTTATGGTATTAGGTTCTTTGTTTTCATACCTTTTGACTGCTCACTAGCGATGGTCCTCTTGGTCTGAAAAAAGAACCCAATAACATAAATTATTGGAAGACCAAATTAACTTCATTGGGCTATTTGCAATAACTGTTCGCAAAAGTTACATAGTGCATCTGTATTTTTATTTGTCTATATTCATTTCTTTTAAGCGCTCCCCGTTAAGCGTCTCTCTTCTCTCTGTAGTTGATGGGGATAGAGATCGATCCTGAGTTCGGGGGCACTGGCTCCTCGTTCTTCGCCTCCATCCTGGTGATCGAGGAGCTCGCCAAAGTCGACCCGTCTGTGGCGGTTCTGTGTGACATCCAGAACACGCTCATCAACACCCTGCTGTCCAATCTGGGAACTGCAGAACAGAAGGAGAAGTACCTCACCCGCCTCTCCACAGATATGGTGAGTCCTATTTCAGTCCTATTCACCACAAGCACAGAATTATTATCCTGCGCTTCAAGCACCAGGATCCTTCAGTGCCATTTTAAGAAGAAAATAGTCACATTTTCTTCCTCCAGGGTCTTTCGTCTGCTCCAAAACAATTTTACTTTTACTGACAGAGGATTGGCTGTAGACCGCTCATTAAAAAGGCTGATCAACAACAACAAAAAAACTCTCAACATAATATTTCATAGATTTTTTTTTTTTTTTGCATTTGTGGCAGTTCGATTTCATATTACAACCTTTTTTTTTCATTTATTTTTGAAAAACAAAGCAATGTATGTTTTGAAATGCAAAATGAGTGCTATGAAGACTTGTATTTGCAAGTGATTATTTTTACATGTTAATATATATTTAAGTGTAATTGTCTTATTTGTTTAATTTCTGTAAAATTGATATATTTTTGTATTTATTTTTCAGGTGGGTAGTTTCTGTTTGTCTGAGGCCGAGTCTGGCAGCGACGCTTTTGCCTTAAAAACTCGAGCAGAGAAACACGGAGATCATTACGTCATAAACGGATCTAAAATGTGGATCAGTAACGCGGAACACGCCGGAGTGTTTCTGGTCATGGCCAACGTCGACCCCTCGGCTGTGAGTCTGAACCATTTTCACTCGAGAGTTGGGACATATATCGAAAAATGGACAGATGCAAAATTTGAGTGCAAAGTATATCATCTCAATCAAACTTTATTTGTATAGCACTTTTCAGACATTTGAAATGTAGCACAAAGAGTTTCACATGCAAGAGAAAATGACAATAATTAAAAACAACAGCAACCCCCCCACCCCCTTGTTTCATCCATAAATACAAAAAATTTAACAGAAACATAAAAATATAAACATAAAGTCCCTAAAGGTTCTAGTAAAAATAAAACTGGAGAGCTAAGATCAGATGGAGACAAAGTAAAATAGTAATGATAATTTAATTTAAAACAAATACAATATCTATAACGCTTCTATCATTTATAACTAATGCTCTTCAAAATTGCAGTAAAAAGGTCTGGTTAAACATAAATTGAGGGAAATGTGTTCTCTCCCAAACAAGTAAAGTGTATAAAGTGATATTACTGTCCATTTGTGGTTTAATTCTTTTATTATATTCACATTTTGTACAATATTCGGTCCTCAGGGAATTTACAGGCACATTTACATTCCTCATAGACTCTTAAAATGTTTTTAGTGCAATACATACAAAATTTTAGTCACTTACCATTCCCAATGTCAAAAATATTTATCTGTAAAATACTGAAAAAAATCTTGAGGGTCATTTGGTAAACCTATTTGATATGTGATGAAGTGTAAAAAAAAAAAACACTATATTTTTTTTGTTTTGTTTGTTTAGGGTTACAGAGGCATCACGTGTTTCCTTGTGGACAGAGACACA